ACAGGTTACCAAAAAAAAGGATTCAATTTGAGTGGAAGTATTTTGGTAGCCATTATAGAGATTATCATCTCATAAAAGAATAGATACTTTACTTCCTCTTAAAAAAGACAAAACCTGGGTATAGAGCTTATGTAATGCAAATACATGTGATAGTATATGTGAAGGAACATATAGGTTTCTTGTCTCAAAAATAAAATACAAGATAAAAAAAGTTTGTAAACAAATAACACAAATCATCACAATTTAAAACCATTAGACAAATGATAGGACAAATTTAAAAGTTTATGGCTTGACTCTCTATAGCTGTCCCTAATGGAGTCACCAAACTATCATAACATATAGATCCAAAAATCTATAGCTAGACTTAATAAATGGATGGAGTCACCACCAATCTTTTTTAATTAGGTGTGATTGACCACTTAAGGAATCTATCCTTTTAAGGAGCTCCTAAGCTTGACTAAGGGTCCTTAAAAGAATAGGTTAGAGTATGTTAACCAGAACAGGGTTCGGGAGTTTGGTTACATGTGAGAAAAGTTATAACACCCCCATATGTCCATCCAAATGATGGTACCATTTTATTTTAAATTTATCCTAAGGTTTTGATTCTAATGGTTTTAAAATTTTAATTTTCAATATTGAACATAATTCTTAAGATTTTTTCATCAATCTAGTAGAACTCTTAAAAATATTTTCTCACCTCAAAAGTATTCAAAAATTCAATTTGCTTTTTTGAAAAGGCTCCGTCATCGGAAAGATTTTTTTTAGTTTTATTTTTTTTGTCAAAAATATATCTAATTATTCCACCATTTGGATCAAATTAGAAATATTTTCTCTTTTTGAATTTCTAAATTTTTCACAATTTGGGCTTATTTAGAATTTTTTTTATTTTTTGATCTTAATTTCTAAATTTTTTACCATTTGAGTCAATTTAAAAATTTTTTTTTTTAGAATTTCTAAATTCTCCACCATTTGGGCCAATTTAGAAATTATTTTATTTTTTGATCTTAATTTCTAAAGTTTCCTCCATTTAGTTCAATCTAGAAAATTTTCCTTTTTTAGAATTTCTAAATTCTCCAACATTTAGGCCTACTTATAAATTCTTTTTATTTCTTTTTTTTTTTAAAGAAAATAATATAAAAATTATTTTTCTTAAAATTTCATTTAAATTCTTCCACCATTTTGAGACAAATTTAAAGAAATTTCTCATCTAAAAATTTCTTAGGAATTTACCATTTGAAAATTTTTAAGAATCTCATCATTGGATAACTGTCATATATTTTCAACCAAAATTTTATTTTTTTATTTTTTTTTATTGAAAATAAATATTAATTATTGTTATTGAAACTTTATCTAAATTATTTCACAATTTGGGATAAATTTAGATAAAATTTTTCACTTAAGAATTTTATAAAAATTTACCATTTGAAATTTTTATAAATTTCATCATTGGATAATTAATACTTATTCTCAAAAAATATTTTATATTTTATATTTTATTCTTTTTTCTAAATTTAGTAATGCAAAAATATTAAAAAAAATAAACAATACCAAAAATATCCAAAAAAAATGAAACAGCTCGGCTGGAGTGGCTCAGCGCGACTTGGCTTCAAATACAGAAAGTGGTTCAATGACTTGCTCAGAGGCAAAAACTGAAAAAAAATCACCAGAATCTGAGAAATTTTCATATTTTTTCAAAAAAAAAATCTTTTTTCAAAAACCCCAAAAAATCTTTGAAAAATTTTCTTGATTGCTTTCTCTGATTTCTACCTTTCTCCCTGATTTTTTTTTTTTTGTATTCGTATGATCTGTGTGGGTATGTATTTATAGGGTTCTGAATATGAAAACTCTAATCCAGAAAGGAATCCTAATTTTCTTTGAATTTCAACCTTAAACCCAACTCCAACTTTACAAATCAATTCTAACAATTTCACACAAATGTAACTACCTATTTTTTTCAATTTTTTTTTAATTTTTTATTAGCAAAAATCACAAGTAGACCCTCAAACAGATTGGGGTATCTACAATTTCAAAACCCAAAACCTTCAAAAGCATAAAACCCTAAAACTTCAAAACCTTAATCCCTAAAACTTTATTAAACCCTAAACCTTAAGACTCAAAATCCTAAAACCCACAAAACCCTCGACCTTAAATTTTCAAAACTATAAATTTTAAAACTCTAAATTTCAAAACCCCAAATCCCAAAACCCTAACAATAAAATTCGAAACCTTAAATTTTCAAAACCATAAATTTAAAAACTCTAAAATCTAATCTAAACCCTAAATTCAACATGCATCCCCAAATTATTATCCGAAAATCATTTAAATCTTAAAGCCCTCGACCTAAACTCGTACTCAAAAGCATCTCAAAATTTTAAGGATGTCTACTGTAACGCCTCCAATCTCACATTAGAAAAATGTGTGGATAAAAAATGATATATATGTAGAGATCTAAATCCAAATCTGTAAAGCATATTTTGTGGGATAAAACTATGAGATCTTTAGGTCAAAGCGGACAATACCTCATAGGTTGCGTGCGGGTCTCCACAAATGGTATTAGAGTAGTCACCAGTTCCACCCGCACCCAACCTGTGAGATATTGTCTATTTTGACTCGAAGGTCTCATGATTTTGTCTCACAAAATATATTTCACAAATTTGAGTTTAAATCTTTATATATATAAATCATTCCTTATCTATAAATTTTTTCAATGTGGGATTGAAGGTGTTACACGTATGAAAATTTCACATGAAGTAATTTATTCTCAAATGCTACCTAAAAAATTGGGTATCTAAAAATTTTTATTTTATTAAGTTTTTCGTATGAGTCCTTAACCCGCAATAATAATGAGATTAAATAAAAAAATAAAATGAGATCTTAAATATAAATAGTCACACCTAAACTTTACCTAGAAGTTGGGGAGCCCAAACGGTCAAACTAGATTTCAAAATGGCACTTCATTTTCATGCAAATCATCTAATGGCATATATGCATTTATTTATTATTACTTGCATTCATTCTATATGTTTATACTTTTTACTATTGCTTCTTAACTAATTGTAGCATCATTAGGTTTTTTTTTTTTGCATAAAATGTTTTCATGAAAAGTACTATTCAAAAAAATATATTTTTTAAATAAAATTGAATTAACATTATAAGAAAAATAATTCTTATTGCTCTGCTTAGATATTGGAGAGTCATCAACAATTGTCATTGACAAAGAATGTTACTTTCATTTTGAGGAATGTTGTGAAAAATTTTAGGTGAAAAGAGTTATCTGTAGATTTCGCTCAGATGTTGAAAAATTTTGAGATAATTCTTTAACTTAAAGATTTTCTTGATATTTCTAAATAAATAATTTCAATAAAATCATTTTCTTGTTAAAGGAAATTATTATTAAATTTCAAGTCGAAACCATTTTATTCAACACTAAAAATAATACATGATTAATGAGTATCAATTTTCATAGGCACTATAGGGTGCTAATCCTTTCTCATGCGTAACTGACTTCCCAATCCAATTCTATTTTCATAAATTAAAAATTATCTTTTTGATAAATTTTAAACCCATTTTATCGTTTTATTAAAAAAATAAACTTTTTGAGTGATAAATCATATCCTTAAAAATATTGGTGGTGACAATTCCTCTTCTTTTTTTTATTTTAAAATTTTATATCTATCGATCCTAAAATCATTATGATAATACTTTTTTTGAATTGGGTAACAATTCAATCAACAGCCCTATTGGTTAACACAACCTCTTATTTACTTATCTCCATTAGCTGGGTTGCCAATAATTTTTTGGTTGAGTGATTAAAAGAGGAGTCATGACATGTTATAAGATTTGAGGTTGAGTTTAAGTAATCCTAATCCCGACATCAATATGAAAAAATTGATAATGTCTCAATATTCTTGAAGTGTAGTAAAGAATATCTATCTTTCTCAAACCTTGCAATTCATATTTTAATCAACCACATTAATAACTTATATTTTATATTGTAGTAGTTACTTATATCCCATATATACATTTTTCATGTTTGGTGATTTCTTGCTTATTGTTTGTCTTGAATAAGCATATAATGATTTGTAACAATTTAAGCTTTAGAAGGTTAAAGACAATTATATTAACTTCAATGATCAACAAATTGTTGTGATTTTTAACTAACATTAATGGTAGATTAGTAGTTAGCATACCTAAAATATTAAAGAGTATGAATACAAGCAAATAAAGTATAATTGAAAGTTAACTATTATTAGACTTTAAGGTAAAGAAAAAGTAGACTACATTTATTAAAGACAAATCAAGATTAAGCTTGGTCAACAATAATGTATCATTTTAATGGAATAAAAAGGAATTATTGAATTTTTCGAGTGGTATAGATTTGCTCTAATTTTATATTTATTTTCTCAATTTATTTCGTTTCGTTTAAATATATTAATGGTAATAATTATGTTCTATACATTAATAGTAGTTGTTTTGTTTTATTAAAAATTATTTTTTTCTTGTATATATAATTTCTAAATAAAAATATAAAAAGTCATCTTGGACATGTATAAAATGATGTAATTACAAATTACAAATAAAAAATATATTTATATATACGCATATTTTTACAAATTACAAAAAAATGATGAAAAATAAAATAAAGGGTTCCTTTTATGTCGTAAATTTTTTCATTAAAATTGACATAATATTTATGTTGTAAATTACGCATCACGTGCATTTTTTTAATATTTTACGTGAATATGCGTTTTGAATTTTAAACAAAATATTAATAATAATTAAAATAAAATTATTTTAAAAATTTATAAATTCAATAAAACAATTCAAAATTTTAAAATAAAAATTAAATTAAATTAAATTAGAGATCAATCATCGAATTTATCCAATTTTTCTGCTACGTAACCTAGCACGGCAGCCCAACCTCAAGTATAACAATAAGCGTTTTGGATGGACCGAAACGGAATAGAACCAATATATATATATATATATATATATATATATATATATATATTTAGCAAGAAAAAAGTGAATAAGAACCAATCCTTCCTGCCAAGATTCAATAAAATTGAAAATCTCATAAAATAAAGGACAAAAGGGTTGGCCAGGTCCGCTACCTCGGCCACAGCCACTACCAGTAAAAGATTCTCTTCCACTCACTCTTCTCAATTCCAGATCGCGGGCCCTCCGATTTTCGGTATCTTTCCTGTCGTTGACGGCGCTTGGGGGAAAATGTCGGGCGAGGAGAGATGGTGCGTGGTAACTGGCGGCAGAGGCTTCGCCGCCCGTCATTTGGTCGAAATGCTAATCAAATACGAAATGTTCGCTGTTCGAATCGCTGACTTGCCTTCTAGCATTGACCTCGAACCGTGCGAAGAGAACGGACTCCTCGGCGAAGCTTTACGCTCCGGTCGTGCTCATTACGTTTCCACTGATCTTCGCCACAAAGCTCAAGTACTCAAAGGTCAACCATTATTTCAAAAATCGCATTTATTTCCACTCTGTTTATTAGTTATTACTATCTCCCTTCATTATAATTGTTTTTTTTTTTTATTTCTTTTTGTAGCTTTGGAAGGAGCTGAGGTAGTTTTCCACATGGCGGCTCCCAATTCGTCGATTAATAACTACCAGCTTCATCACTCGGTTAATGTTCAAGGTAAAAGATAGTTTCAGAGTTTCAGAATTTATTTCAACTTTTTTTAGAAAATATTTATTTATATTTTGACTGCAATTTGTAGGGTCTAAAAATGTTATTGAGGCTTGCATTGAACTTAACGTGAAAAGGCTTATTTATACGAGCTCTCCGAGTGTCGTTTTCGATGGGGTTCATGGAATCTTTAATGGGAATGAATCCTTGCCTTATCCACCTAATGTACTAATTTCAATCTATTTGTCTTTTTTAAGTAGGATTTGGTATATGTTTTTTATTGCTTGGAATTGATTAAGTTTTTCTTTTTCAGCATAATGATTCATACTCAGCTACAAAGGCTGAGGGAGAGGCATTGGTCATCAAGTCAAATGGGGTTAACGGGCTTCTAACTTGTTGCATACGTCCTAGTAGTATTTTTGGCCCCGGTGACAGGTTGTTGGTTCCATCTTTGGTTTCTGCAGCAAGGGCAGGGAAATCTAAGGTGTTTATGTTCATAAATTTTTCATTGAACTGTATGTCTGTTTGATAGTTTGTCCTCTTATTCGTTTACATTTTAATTGATCAGTTCATAATTGGTGATGGTAACAATGTATATGATTTCACTTACGTTGAGAATGTGGCTCATGCTCATATTTGTGCTGAACGAGCTCTAGCATCTGGAGGAGAAGTTGCCGAAAAAGCTGCAGGGCAGGTACTCTTTTAATTGCTTTCAACTTTTTTTTCTATCTGTAATTGCTCTCAAATGATGATGTGCTGATTTACATGCTGGATGTAGGAGTTTTACCTTTAGCTTTAATATGATTTTAATAGATTGTTCAATAAAGAGCGATTTGTCAAAGCTTAGAAATTCTATTTTAAAGGTATGTTTTTACTAGATGCTAAAATTTTCCAGTATTTAGTTCTTAGTGGGTAATCGTTCAAGATGATGCTTTTTATCCTATTGCATTGCGGTGTATTTGCTTGACTAAGCTAAGATATCGGGAGGTCAGTTTTGATATTCTGTCCCTAAAATCAATTCCTTGCTTGATGGTAGTTATATAATGATTTGGCAGGCATATTTTGTAACTAATATGGAGCCAATCAAGTTTTGGGAGTTTGTTTCTCGAATACTAGAGGGTCTTGGCTATCAGAGGTATTTTCTGTTATTTCTTCTTCCATTTTGGTAATAATATATTAGCTTCAACTTTTTTTTTAAGTTCCTGGTGACATCATGTTTATGTTCTCTCTCTGTAGAAGCAATTCGTAAGTGATTTTCTTCCACATCTGGGTTAACTGTTTAGGATTAGTGCTTTCTCCTCCCCCCCCCCCCCCCCCCACCTAAATTAATATTATATATTCTGCTGAAATCAAAGTGCCAACAATTCTTGAGATTGTTATCTTTAGCTTGTCTATCTTTCTCCTCCTATCCTCAAATCCCAAAAAGTTTCAGATAAGCCAAAAATACTGCTTATTAGTATGTATATTTTGTTGTTTTACTATGTTATTTTTGTTGACTTTTGTTTTATTTTTATTTTGAGGCTGAGAACCATGGCACTTTTTGCAAATTATGCATATTCTTAATCTGTTTCTATATACTATATTCATTTCCAATTCAATTTCCCTTTGGTGGAAATTTGGGAATTAAAGATGCTTATGAAACTGCCGGACCTTGTATCTTCCTCTTTTCTGAACTGCTGTAATTTTCAGGCCAAAAATAAAGATTCCTGCCATTGTTATAATGCCAATTGCACATTTGGTGGAGTGGAATTAAAGATGCTTATGAAACTGCTGGACCTTGTATCTTTCTCTCTTCTGAACTGCTGTAATTTTCAGGCCAAAAATAAAGATTCCTGCCATTGTTATAATGCCAATTGCACATTTGGTGGAGTGGACATATCGGCTATTAGGCCCATATGGCATGAAGGTTCCACAATTGACACCTTCAAGAATTAGACTTCTCACTTGCAGCAGATCTTTTGATTGTTCGAAAGCAAAGGATCGGCTTGGCTATTCACCACTTGTCTCACTTGAGGTTCAATCATGTTTCAACTGGTTTTCTGCTTTACTGCAGCACTTTTTTTCCATTAGGTTTAATTATTTTTTAAGACTTCCAATTGTAGATCGGTTTATATCTGACAAAGTATAATTAAATCAATTAATCTCTCCAACTAGGTTTATCATTTTTTCAGAACTTCTTCTCAGTTAAGTAGCTTTCCCCATGATTGGCTCTGAGTTAACCTGCAGGCCTTCATGATGGCACTGGTCCATGTATTTGAGCTGGCTCATTCTTCTATTCTATGTTCAGCATCTTGTATCTGCTTAAAATGTGGTTATAAAATGGAAGTATCGGACAGCATAGACTTATGAGTGTTTTCTCGTCTGTACACTGAAACCTTCTAAATGCCTATCCTTTGTATGGACAATATTTAATACGGTCCATGTTATTACGTTGATGGTTTATTTATGACAATGTGATTTGATAATGTTGCAGGATGGTATACAGAAGACAATTGAGTCGTACTCACACTTGAGAGCTGAAAATCAACCCAAGAGAGAAGGGCCATCTAAAGCTTCTGTTTATCTTGGACAGGGGAGGGGTAATTTTATTTCTCCCTGCTGCTTTTATGATGTCTGAATGTGCTTATGTAATATTATGGACAAATCCTCACAAGTCATAAGAAACACATTATTGTTCAACCCTGTAGGCTGCCACAGCCTACTATGTTACTGGTTGGCTGACCTTGATTGCCACCAGCCATAGTGCTGCCAACTTGAAATATAGTTTGGAAGTTACATTAGATTCAACAAGATTAGGCTTGTCATATAATTCTCAATTACATTTTATCAGAGAGGCTTTAGCTAGTGATGCACCAGCAAAATTTTTTTTTTGGGTTTAGGAAAAAAACATTTCCAGTCGTAGCATACTTGTTCTCCGCAACACCATGCTGCAGCATTGTTCATATCGCTGACATCTGTATTGTTGCAGGTCTCCATGTCTTTTTCAGTTCTTTTCTTTCCAGTATTTTGGAGGGTGAAGATTCAATTTGTTTAAGGGTTAGGATTTTATGAAGATGTAATCTTGCTAGTATTTTGTGCTGTGTGACTGTAAGGTGGCTTGGTTGATATAATTAGATTGAGATTCCTTTTTATTGGGAATGTCATTCAGTGAAGAGACGTTCTTTCTATTTCCAGACATTATAAACCGAGAAGACTAACCTTTTGGCTTATTGCTCTGCGTTATTCTCTTTCTTTTTACTACCAAATTATGTAGTTTGTGTTTGTGTTTTCGCACAAGTTTGTTCTAAAGAAAGAGAACCCATCCCATAATATTGGACTGGTGGTTGGATTTATGATATGAAGTAGATGGATTTAGTGAGTTGAAGGCTTAAAAGCCAGCCAAGCATGTTTAGAAAGGAATGCTGTGCAAATCTCGGAGTCATGCTTCAATATTTTATTCAACTAATATATTATCTAGACTGTTGTACTATTAATGATGATAATCTATGTTTTAAACTTATAATGGCATTGATATATTTTTCAGTGCATGTGCATTGTGTACATCACTTAACCATCTGTGGTTTTGCAGTTGCTGACACGCTACTTTGGAAGAATAAAAGGCAGACACTGACAGTGCTGTTAGTATTGGTTGCAATTTACTACAACTTCATTGCTCCGGGTTCTACCATTATTACCACACTTTCGAAGCTTCTCTTGGTGTCACTAATTTTCTTGTTCATCCATGGTAGTTTACCAAATAGAATGTATGTATTGTCAACTTGTTCTTTAATGTATGTATTGTCAACTTGTTCTTTTCTGATAGTCATAAATTCTTAAAAAAGATAAATCTTATATTGCATAATTGCCAAATTTTGTAACTAGGTATCTCTCTTAAAAGCATCTTAATAGCATTTACTTAAAAAGTAAAGATCATCATAATCCTGGTCTTGGCGCTATAAAACAATGGATGCTTCTGGGTCATCCGTTTTGCTTGGTTTTATGTATTCTGGATCTTATTTATTGACGGGAAGGCTAAAACAAGTAAAATTTCCTAATGCTGAGCACAATAGCTAGTGGATATAAATATAATTTTCTGATGGTGCAGATTGGGATATACAATAGAGAAAATTCCTGCATCAAATTTCCACTTATCAGAAGAGAAATCACGGAATGTTATTATGTTGATGGCTTCATCCTGGAATGGCGTCATTAATGTTTTGAAGTCTCTTTGCAAGGGGAAGGATTGGATACTGTTCCTCAAGGTATTATTTTTCTCCTATACTGCTTATTTGTGTGCTTTAAAATATGTTAGAGGTCAATAGATATAGTACCAGGAACCTCTTGTCTTTCTGAAAAGCAGTGTAAGGTTGGACTGAGATTGGGTTCTCAATTCTTTGTCTTGGAGATTAGTAAGTAGATCCATGATATGTTCAATTTGTTTAACATGAGATCATATGCCTAAACTCCTGACCCTTTCTTTTCTCTTCCATTTCTCCACCACTGTGCTTTAGGTCTGTTATTTTCTATTACCATCAGATAAGTGTGCTTGCTTGTATATCTAAGTGTTGTTCATTGGGACACTTTAATGTGACAAATTATGGTGGCTGTAATCATTGTTATAACGTACTTTTGCTCTGGCAATGAACAGGTTGTTTTCTGTCTGCTGCTCCTTAGCTTCCTTGGAGCTATATCACTTCGGACAATTTTCATCATAGGTTCTCTCTCTCTCTCTCTCTCTCTCTCTCTCTCTCCCTCTTTCACACACACACTGGAAGAGATGCTTAGGCACCTTCAAAGAGATAACCCCATAGTACTCGACTAGCCACAATAGGCCGGCCTCAGATACCAACAAAAGCTTCAATAGATAACTATATTAGAGAACATAAGACAGCAAATGTTGCCTGTCCTACATAAAATATCTTGAAACTTCTAATCATTATATTAGATATTTTATCACTCAAGTTCTGGATAAAGCTTCTTCATCAACTTATTTCGTTAAATAAGCTCCTTTATCATTTTCTTATTGCAACAAAAAGGAGTTTTTGTGTGTTTATTTTTGGGGGTCTATTGTTGCAGGAATTCCACTTGCCTTTATAGCTTTCTATGTGTATGAAAAAAAGGAGCAAGAAATTGATGCTTTAGTTCTAGAAGTTTTCTCTATGGGGTGCAAATTGAAATCTGATATTGCCAGGAAATTAGTGACTTCCAAGAAGAATGACTGATAGCGCTGGAACCCAAATTTTCCTTTACACTAATGGGGAAGTTCTGAGTTATTTTGAGCTCTTATCGATGATTTTAAGTGTGGGCTTGTAATATTATTACTTGTAGCCATTTCATTTCTGGACCATTCTTTCCAAACTCCATATGTTAAGCTGTTAGATTTATGTTTCTCTTTTGTTCTCACCCTTTCTTTGGGTTCACTTGTATGTATTTCTCAAGAATGATTGATACCTTTCCTCTTTGGATTGTATACTGAAGTTTCTTTTGGGTTAATGGACCATCTGTTTTTGGTCTACAGAATAAAAGTCTTTCATAAAAATCTATTTCTTCGTACAGACGTAACACTAGGAGAAACGAATGGAAAGGCTTTGGAAACCCTAGCAAAGTATTTCAAGAGAGTAAAGTCCCAATTTCTAATGTTTATTTCAGGAATATTTTGCAGAACTAAGAAATTGGTAATTTTTATTTTTACTCAACTATGTATAAAATTCTTCTAAGCAAATCCTGACCGTCCAATGCGATAAACACGTGTGGTAAGTTGGAGACTCCAAGGGTTTTCTTATATAAACGAACGTATTATGTTAGGCTTTCAAGTCTTCAACAAGGTTAAAAACCTAAAACATATTAACATCCAAAAAAAAGAAGGAAAATATCATTGCTGGTAAAATCATGGAACATTTCACTTAGAATTTTTTTATTATAATTTATTATTGTTCAATCACATTAAAATTTTATTAAAGAGTCTATCACTTATAAATATGAATTTGATGTAATATTTTGATGGATCCCATACAATTTGTAATAGATTAAATGCAATCTAATAATGGTAACTGGTTAATTACAATGATTGTAGGTGATAAAGTAAGCCCACTTCACTAACAAGCCGAGTAATAGGTTTGAAGGTGAAGTTAACCTCATTGCACCCACTGTTGCATTAAAAAAAAAAAAAAAAAAGGGCCGAGATAGTTAGACATAGATAGAAACAGGATAGAATAGAGAGAATAAGTTTGGATCTGGGTTCACCTGGCAAAGAAGGGCGTGTTCGACAGATAAGTAAGTTTACGGATTCAAAGGTTGTCTAGAAGCGAATATGTTGGCAGTGATCGTATGGGTTTTAGCCCATTCGTTTGTGTTTATAAACACCAACATACAGGGCCTCTTTTTGGATTCAACGGCATGAAACATTGAAAGTTATTACAAGGAGTAAATTTCTCAAAAGTGGATTATGCAGTGAGCAACATGGTGTCGTTACAAAATTGATGGTCAAGTTTTCACTGGATTGTCTGGTCTAAATCCTATAATACATTCTCTCCATTTCCAAGTTTAATGAGCAGTTAACAACATTAATCAATAGTATTTAGACATATTGCACAATTACTTTCAAAAGAGGCAGAATTAATGTGCATTGATACTCCTGAGACATGTTTGGTGCCGATGTGCCCATGAATTCATAGTTTTCACCTCAATGCTCTTTTTTTCACAAGGAACATGGACATCAATATATACATATCTAAATGCCAGGAATAATATCATTAAAATTAAAAACTCAACACTCTATCTATAAATAACACTGTTGTTGGCACTTTTTTGTAGTATTATTTAAGTTTGATGTGGTCGAAAAATTCAGAATTATGTCCTAGCGTTGCCAATTAGTCAATGGAGTCGCTCAGTCACTTAACTGCATAATATTCTTAACGTGGAATCTCTGAGTCTTCGATCCAACCTTTTACAGCCCTATTTGCAGGCAAGGGTCACCTTTATGAACCAACCTCATTAGCCTAGCTAACCCAAGTTCATCGTATTAAAATCTACTAATATTAAAGTCCAAAGAAAGAAAAGACCGACAAAAAAAAAAAAAAAAGACCAAAACACTAGCTGGGCATGTTTCTTTTGTTTCATAGAAAATGACAGCTCCATTGATTCCATCTTCTTTTTTATCATTTAGTAATTTGGTGTTCCTGACTGCAAAGCTTTTTTTTTTTTTTTTGTTAGTTTGATGTTTTGAATGATTTTTAAATTATAATAAAATAATAAATATATTATTAAATTTAAAATTTTTTGAATTATAAAATTTATTAATTAATATAGTATTTAATTTTAACATAATTAATTTTAAATAGTAATATTTGGTAGATAAATAATTTTTTAAATATCTAATTAGTTAATAAATGATAAAAAGGTCAAAAAGCTTTAAACTAAAATTTAATAATTATTCGAGTCTTTATTTTTTTAATTAATAAAATTTTTAAATATTTATTTTCATCAATTGAATTTTTATTAAAAAATAATTAATTGTTTCAGTTTAATTAAAAGTTTAATTGAATAAAAATAAATATATAAGAATTTAATTAAATAAAAATAAAAATTTAAAATTTTAATTAATTAATATAAAAATTTAAATGATTATTAAATTTTTATTTGAGAATTTATTACTTTATGTCGTATTAAATTTATAATTTAAATATTATATTAAAAATTTAAATTATATATGATATTAAATATTTTGTTATAATTTATTGGAAATTCATTATATTATATAATATTTTTTTATTCCCCCCATTTGATTTTTCCCGTCGTTTGGTGCAGCAACATGACCTCACAGGACAGTGACCTGCTTTATAGGATCTTGTAGGCACTAGATGATAGTTGAACAAAGAGACAGGTTCATGATACGTGACATGAGCCCTGTCCATTGTCCCACATCACTTTGAACTCTTCTGACGATAAAATATTTCAAATAATTGGACAGTTTGATCATTTCTTGGTGGACTAATTTCACTTCCCTTTGTCATGATGTGGATGCAGATCGGTTATGATCAAATTTTGAAGTTGCTCATTTCCACCTGTTTCTTCAACTTTCCTTCCCAAATGCATTGCCAGCAAGTCAGCTCTGTGATTCATTTGCTGCGCATGCTCTGGCCTCTGATTCATTCATATCTTCATTGGATAGCATCGGATCAACAACAATCACTGCCTTCTCTACCTAAATTGAAACCACGTCGATGATCCAACCAAACCACCCTGACCGCAACAAAAAAAAGAAAAAAAATAACTTCTTGGCTCCTTTGAGACGGCGCTAAATTATTTGACTGTCGTATTACAGCAAGGCTATATCAATCTCCTATCTTTCCTATAGTATATGGTAAAGATTTAAATAATTTTTTTTATTAAATTACGTACGAACATTAACGGATTTATTTTTTTTTTGAAAATATTTATTTAGAATATATAAAGTATTATTGATGAATTTATTAATTTTATTAATAAAAAATTCAAAAGAAAATTTGAAGCTATCTGAGAGAATTTTTTTTATTTTTAAAAGCGCTCAAAATTTTTTTTTAAGTATTCAACAAATTTTCTCCTTCAAATTTTTTTATTTTCTAATTTTTTAAAATTCTATTAATATCCTATCACTCCATTTACATCTACTAAGCATATCAAATAAATCATATACACTTATAATTGCATAGAAAATAGAGACTCAACAACGCTAATAATACATAGGCTAGGTGATGATAGTTGCTTGCTGCTGCTGCCGTTACGCATAACCTTTTATAATAGTACGATAGGAACCCAATTTAATAATAGTGGTCAATTTTTTTTTATAGATAAGATTGTAATTTGAGAATAAAAAAATTATATATATTAAAATTTAAATTTTAAAATTATTGAGTATTAGTTTTAAATAATAAATTAACTAAATTAAGATTTAATTAGATATAACTGTTTCGGTTGAAAAAAAATTTGATTTGGAAAAATACATTTAAAAAATATTGTCAAAAATTAATGTGAAAATTATGGTTTGAGATTTTTTAATATTTAGCATTGATATGAAAAATTATAATATCTAAAAAGTTCATGACGCTGGAGATGAAAATATAATTTATTTTTATAAAAATAAATAAATGAGTATTTGATAATTTTATTTACAAATCATAAATTTTAAATTGGAATCGCATTTTTTAATTAATTTTTGCTATTAGTTCATTTTTAGTGATAAAAAATGCCTTTAACACATATCATAATGCGTTTAGTGTTATTTTTGTATTCAAAAATTATATTTGAAAATTTAAAATGTGATACCAAAGCATGTCCAGGGAAATATGACTTGCATCCGTGAACAAATTGACACTCCAATGACCCCTTTTGCGCCCATTTGTTTCTTTCAAATTATGCAATAATTGAATCCCAAAGTAAAAGGAATGCCAACACTTTGTATTATGCTAGAGTGAGAAACAAAATAAAGAAGAAGAACATAGAAGAGAGAAACCGGTGTCCTGCTTTTGACAAGTTTTGAATCATTTTCTGTTCCTGCTTGCTAGAAATCTCGGTCACTTTCAATTTTACAGAAAAATTGCATGTGATTATGAGTGTATCTGATCCATTTTCTCATCCACAAATATAATAATATCTGTTGTTTTGGGGGCTATTTTTTTTCTTGCAATGGGGATAATTGATAAGAAAAAAAGAAAGAAGAAAGAAAGAAAGAAACAATTATATGGATTGGCATACACCAAATTGCTCTGTGACCACAAATTTGATTCCATGTCACTTGCACTTAAATTTTTAATGAAAAATGAAAAAAAAAACCCTTATATTATTAAAAATATTTTATCTTTGATTATATGATTAAGTAGTTAAAATTGCAGGCTCTTATTGATAATGAATAAAACCAAACTAATCATAATTCAAAAGTAGAAAGCAAGAAACAATGCAATTACTTTCTTTATTTAATGTGTTTCGGTCATGTACTTTAATTATGTTTAAAAATTTTGTCTATATGGTAAAAAGGGGTCATATCAACATCATGTGAAGTATAGCAGTGAGGTGAAAAAAAAAAAAGGGAACATGGTACATTAAAAACAAAACTAGGGAAAAAAAAAAAAAAAAGGCAACAAAGGGCATCTTTCAAGTTGAAAATACGTCTGAAAATAACAGGTTCATCAGTCATTAATTTAGTTGGTAATTAAAAATTTTATTTTATATTAAATATTTCAAAAATAAAATCTTATTGTACTGATATAAAAAATATGTTTATAAAATCACCCAAAAAAATCAAAACCTGGAAACACTATTATAAGAATTTAGCCAAAAAAAACATTATTATAAGAAAATATTAGTTAAATGGAAGTATTTCATTTATAAATTTTTTATTATAGTTTTATAAATAATCAATTTTATAATAAAAATTATATAAAAATATAAATTTTACATAATTTTTTATGAATTTTATATAATATTAAATTATAATTAATTATTTATTTATGTACTTTATATCAAAGTCTCGCTCAGGAACTCGTCATTAGAATTCACAACAAGAAATAAAAACCAAAAAGTTTTATTCAAAACCTGCATCGTCTAACTGACTGAAAACTGCAACCATTGCCGCCATTTGCGCTTTTTAAGATAGGGGGCCTCAACCCAGGTGGAGCCCTGCCTGGAGCCTTGGCCGGGTACTGGAAATGGTGCATTCGTAAATTCAATGAAATCACAAGCCCATTTTTGAGAAAGAAAAAAGCCCACGAGAAATTTAAAGTAAAAAAAGAAAAAAAAAGTTAAATTATGCCACAAATTCTTATATTTATGAACATTTAAAATTTAATCTCTAATGTAATTATATAATTTTAATTTTTTTATTATTTAGATTTAATAATTCAAATACTTTTTAAATTCACATCATGACTAAAAACCATCTCCACAATTTAATTTATCATGTTAATTAACTGTCACATCATTAATTTTAATGAAAAATTTTTTATAATTAATTGAAATTATTAAATTAAAATAATAAAAAAATTTAAATTTATATGAATCATATGAAAGAGACTAACTTTTAAATTTGTACGAAAACCCTGGCGTAGTTTAACAAAAAAAAAAAAAAAAAGAACAGTTCCGTGCTGTGGATAGTTGGCTTGGCTGCCTTTTCTGCTCTGCAAACTTTGAAATGTTTCATTTTCAAAAGAACACTAAATAAAGCAAAAAAAAAAAAAGGAAAAACATCCAAAGTTTCTACTATGGCAGTGTCCAAAAACAAAGCACTTCCTTCAAAAAGAATTAACCTTTTCCTTTTCAATAGCCTTTTATATACAAGTTAACATAAAAAAAAAATGAAAAAGAAAAATCCTCGTTTTGTCCACAATCTCTGATTGCTGTTTCCTTCCACTTTCTTACTTTTTTCCCTTTCCTTATTTGATTCCTCTTTCTTCTCATTCAAGATTCCTGCTTTCTCTCTCTATATTCTTTTGACTCACTTATTTCAAGTTTTCTTTCTTTGGGTTCATTCAAGTTCATTTGCTCATTTTTTTTTTTTACAATGTTTGAATCTTTGTCTGAAAATTTGAGGTGAACGAAAGAAAAACATGGGTGGTGTTAACAGGGTGGAAGTGATAAACAGCAAAGGTTGTTCGAGATTGTTTGTTTGGTTCCCATCTTCAGTACCATCATTTAGAAGTTCCCAGTCGTTTGAACCAATGTCCCCTGCTTCTACCTCTCTTGGCTCTGAACCGTTAACGGTTCGATCCACCGGTCCTTTTTCTGGTCTGGTTATTTGTGTTACTGGCTTATCTAAAGGTTGGTAATTTTGTATCTAAATGAAATTTTTTTCCGTCTTTTGATTGATCATTTTGGGTGCTTTTTACAGTTTACTGCTGTCTAATTTTAATTAAACTCGTATGATTTTGACTCTGGGTACTTGAATTTTGATTGAACTCAGCTTGTTTTGCTATTATATATGTCAAAATTTTGATTTTTTTTTCTTCATGAAATTCATGTTTGTTATTGTTTATGTTCAGAGGCAAGGACACAAGTTATGGAAGCAACGGAGAGATTAGGTGGTCAATATAGTCCTAGTTTACATCCCCAATGTACCCATTTGGTGGTGCAGATATCCTTTGTCATTATCATTGTTTTTTAAAATTACTTTAGATTTTGGCACAATTTGAAACTTGATTGATTTTAAAATAAAGAGAAAAGAGTAGGACCAATATGACTAAAATTTTCTGACACTATTGTAATTGCCAGATTGATATTACGTGTATGATGACGATAATAAGGTTTCCTGTTCTCGGTCTATGTATTGTTTCTACCGGTGCAGTAGTTCTGTCAACCTTAATCATAGTTACAGCGTCAGCGGACGAAAGTTTGAGCATGCTTTAAGGCATGGATCAAGAAATGATCTATTCGTTGTTACACTTGGATGGTTTGTGGATAGTGTCAAGAGGAATGGTAAGATTAGGCTACTTCCCTGTTCTGATATGTTTTATTGCTGTATTGAGGATATGCTCTTTTCCAACTGTTACAAGTTTGTGCAATAGTAAAATTCTTACGACATTATCTTACAGCATCTGCTGTTGTGCTCCTAATATTCTGTTTAAGAAATAGATTTCAGAATCTAGATAAGAGTTAGAAAGGATATAATGATACATTATGTTACCGGCTACTGAACCACAATGCAGCTTGTAGTTTATATGTTTTACTGATATGGTCTGTGTCTTTATGAATCATCTGCTATTTTTATGTGGTCGATTTTTGGACTCTTAATTGCAATCTCCAAATGCCTTTTTTTTTAATTCAAATTCTACCATAGAATTTTATAATTCAGAAACAATCAGCCTATGGTGTTCCCAATTGTCTAGGTATCTAGTAGTGAAATTTCTAAGGTTTGCCAACAGCCTTGCGGTTGGTTGGTAGAATGGTGCACTTTTAGTTCTAGTGACCGGGATTCAATCCTTGACAATGTCAAGTACCAAAAAGAAAAAGAAAAAAAAAAGGAAACTTCTGAGGTGCAGTTTTGCGCCCTGCTTATCTACATCTCAGTTGTGGATAAATGACTTCTATGTGGAATTCCTTTACATGGTTTTAGGGAGTATTCATCCTTTTTAGTTAAGTAATTGAAACCTTCCCTTGTTAGGGGAAGCGGAACTTGAGTAGTTTGAAAAGTAAAGGAACTTTTAGAGCTAATATGTTTCTGTTGGTTAGCATATAAAAATAACTTTTTTCTCTGTTCAATGCAGTAAGGTTAAATGAATCACTCTACAACGTGAAGGGTGTTGGAGAACAAGGCACACGTGTAGATGAGTTGAATCGGCTTGTATCTACTGCTTCCGAAAGTTCATGTCTTCCTTCTAGTTTTCATGGAGCCAAGAAAATTGACATGATAGAAAAACCATATCTACAATTTTCTGAAAGAGACCCTAATAAAACTATGGACTCAACGCTATCTGGTCACACCATGTTCATCGATTCTGATATTTCAGATGAACTACGAAATAAGGTAACATTTAATTTCCTGCTTAAAATTAAATTTTCCTTTTTGTAAAGCGTGGTGTTAGTCATAAACTGAGGTCATAGATTTGGTTTCTCAGTGTCTATACATCAATACAAGACTAGTAAATAGCTCACTGTTTTAGTCATGATCCAGTTGTATGTTGCTTCTAGCAATTCTTTAAGACATTTAATATGTTGATAGGTTCTTGAGGCAGCATCTAAAGAAGGGGCCACGGTTGTTGATCGATGGTTTGTTGGTTGCAGTGCAAGTCATGTAGTCTGTGAAGGGAATTCTATCCATCGATATATTGGCCACTCTAACAACATTGTTACGGTGAGTGCTTCTGCATTGCATTATGCAAACAGGGTATTTTGTGCATCATCATCATCATAATGGTTTTGGTTCTGACATTGTTTTTATTTCTCCCAGTTTTCGTATGATGTCATCATGGGCAATATGCATAACAACTTATAAGAATAATCATTGCTTTGTTATGCTTGAACTGATTTGATATTTAATGTGTCTCAGCCTTTGTGGGTGCTTAAAACAGCTAAGTGTAGGTATCTGCAGAGGCTTGTTCACATGTCTGCTGATTTGGCTAGGCAGATTGGGACAGTGCTGGAAAATTTTCAGAATGGCATTGTAGGAGAGGTACTTTTGAATAAATTGCTGTCAGAATTATGGGATAATACCATTTTATTCTTCTGATAATGGCCCTTGAACTCATTTGAGAAATAGATTACACATCTTTTACTTCTATGATAGCAAAAGAGACTTGTTATTTCTTCCTGTGATTAGTTGTCAGGGTGATGGGAATATGACCAAGAATGAATAATTGTATATACAAAAGTGGAACAGATCTAACCATTAGAAACAATTTTGAAGGTTTGTGGATGAACCGAAGACTATCATTTAGCAGTGATGGATGATTAATATAGATTAATTCTCCAATATATAATTCATGCTGCAACTGATTCAGAAACTGAAAATTTTTCTTAAGCAATTGACCTTCTAAAGTCTCCATTTTGGCATCAAGTCATTAATTCTGCTAATTAGATTCAGCTTAGATTTCAACCATCTACGTTCGGCAGTTTTGATTGTGTTTTAATTCATTAAATCGATGTTTTCTTGTATGTTTGTCCGTTGATTTCTTTTTGTTCTTTTTAGCTTCTTTGAGTATTATGCTAATGTTAAGTTTTCACCTTTGTCTTAATAGGAAAATAATGTGGCTAACTTCTCTCAAGATACTCAGAGCTTCAAAAGGAATGCAGGTCATGAAGAAAGGCAACAGACTGTACATTTAGCTAAAACTGGGGTTAGAAATTGTCGCAATCGTCGTATGCAGGTGAGTGGTTAATCATGTATATGTCCTTTAGCTTCATATAGATGTGGGCTTATCATGTCATGCTTGTTATTATCGCACAAAAGAGCCTTGGGCATTTCAAACCATACCTTATTCTTGACTTGGGCGGTTAGGTATCACTGTTTTCCTTAGTTAAGGTTAAAATTTGAAATATACTATATGTAAACCCGAGAGACTACAGTAAGTCATCTTAACTGTAAACTCTATTGCATGGAAGAAATTAACTGGATGAACCTTGGGCATTGAGTGGGAGACACTGAATGGTTGGAGGGCTAACTGCGAAATGGTTTCTTGGTCATCAAAATGCACATTAGAAAGCACACTGCCAAAATGATATTGGCTATCAGATTGATTGACTTTGAGTAGCTGGAGGCAGACTAAAAGGTACAAATGGACTTGCTCAAAACCGAGTATGATAGACTTGTCCATTTTTGACAACCAGTGGTTCCTAGATTTCATATTGTAGCATGTAATCTATGGAGGGTCCTTATTCTATGGCATGCATGCAATGCAAGTTTCAAAAATGCAACTGATCAGCACCACATCATCTGTGTGTGTGAAAACACAAGCATATGTATGCACTTGCTTATTCTTTCTTCATGGAATGTCAGTATATATCTAGCATATCTTTAAGGACTACTTTATTACTGGAATGATTTTAATGTATTGTTATGAATTATAGCCTTTCTTTGAACATCTGTTCTCTTTCAGACTTGTCAAACCCCAATCCATCCAATAAGCCCAAGCAGTCTTCTGGATTCAATATGCTGGTCAATATCTGAACCCACTTCAACTGCTTCTATTTTCACAGTCTCTTTAGGCGGTGAAGATGTTAGTGAGCATCAATCTGTATTCTTTGATGCAAATGGGGATGGCAAGGATTCTGCTGCCTCATTTACTAACTTAACCCGGTCACTTACAGAAAGGTGATTGATTACTCTCTCTGCTATTATAAATACATGTCCCATTATTTTTGTTCTTTTTCATGCTTTAATTTAATTAGACATTGTCTCACTCCATCTGTTTTCTGCAAGTTGTTCACAGTGAGAAAAATGAGTTGATATTCAAAAACCACTTTCTTACCATACTATTTCCAGTCGATCGATTTTCTGAGATGGGGCCTTCTTTACGGACATATTTCAGCGATAATGGCTTTACATGTTTGCAGGTTTTGGACTACATCCATGCCTTTTATCAGGTATGACTTGGATAAGTTTTTTTCTGCTAGATTATTGTTTTAATTGGGTTATAACTTATAAGTGCAGTTATAGATATAAATCAGGTTATTGATATATTGTTAATGCAACATGTTCAAATATTGCGCTTGTCAAGGAAGCAATCAATCTTTACCCGGAACCGTTTGTTTGTGTTGCTGCTGTTTTGTAGGAGAACATGTCAACTCATGAAATAGAGGCTGCTATTCACACTGACTCAAGGCATGCTGACCGGCTTCGAGCAGTGTACACTAGCAAAGAGACAGTAGAACGTGGATATGTGAGTTTCAAACGAATTGATTTCTTAGGAAGCCGTAAAAGCTTTGAAATGTTGAAGCGTGTGAGTGGGGAGAATAACAGCGATGTATATGAGCTCCTGGTTAGAGCCTAAAATGTTGGATGGTTTTCATCGTATACCAGTACTGAAGATGGATTGAATCTTCAGCCGCAGCAGCAACATTTCGAGGAGAGTAACGAGAAGGCATCTTCATATGGCATTGCCTTCTTTAATTATACAAACATTTTTGGCCTGTCGTGTGTAATGAAGAGTGAATGAGTGTGTAATTGAGAGTGAATGAGTGAATTCATCAAATTTTGTATTTTCCATATATTTTATATGGTGAATGAATCAGGGTCGCAGAGTCTCGGTGATTCCAGGAAATTGCCTTGTTTAAAGCCTTTCCTTTTGGAATAACAATTGTATAACATGGACAAATCATCATTACAGAATGATTAACCATGGATCAATGTGTAAATTGACTCTTGAATTATATCAATATATACATATATATATATATATAAATTCACGATTCGATATTTAAATTTTGTTTTTATCAAGCAATTTACAAAATGTACTAAATTTATAAGACAAAACAATACCGTAAGTATTAACCAATGAAAATGTACCATGTGTTGATTTTATTCAATAATATCTTGTCAACCTAGAGCAAATGACGTGATTGAACAAAAATTAAAATACCAAATCAGGAATTCTGTTATAAATATTAAATCATGAAATGTCATAATTTAGGGCCAAATTACATATTAACCCATTAAATATTTATTAGCTCACTAAATGGAATATTATGACACTGACATTCACAGCTTACATTTTACACCATGACTCAAGGTTACTAACTGGGCAGTCGGGTTATCGCAGATCACCTTCACTCATAAAGACTGTAAAAAGAAATGAATTGAGATGTTCGACTGTTGGATTTGAAAGCTGGCTGGTAGACTTGTTAAGATTCGCCAATGATGAGCTGCCCCTGCTGTTCAAGCTCATAAAGCATAGCAAGTGCTGCAGAGTCCCAAGAACTTTTTTTGTCAGCTCTTGCATCTCCAGTGCATTCAATAATGCCGAATCTTGGTACATTCAAGGTGATTTTTGATACAAAGGTGACAAATCCCTTTTTTCTCTCGGCACCATTGCCAATTTCGACCGGAGTACTGCAAGGAAAAGTGGTAATGAGGCCAGAAACACTGAAAAGTAGTAGCAGATCAAAAAATGAAACCTTACCATAAGGTTGGATCATATACATGAATATTGATAAGAAACTAAGAATGATCTCAAGGTTTAGAACAAATAAAGAGAAGAAAAAGTAGTACCCTGATTTGTGTTCTGTTGCTTTGAATGTAGGCATAGGCCATAGCAGTTTCTTACAAAGCTCAAAAAGTGTGGTCCTAGGTCCTCCTTTCTTTGTGTTTATTACAATAACTTGAAAACATAGAGAGAGAAAGAGATGTCAAGTGTAGTTTAATTATTCTGTTCTAAATTTGGGATGGTAGTTTGCATAAAGCAGATCTTCCAGATGGAGAAAAGCAAAAAATCATAAGCATCAATACCTAATTCTTAGCATGTTAAAACCAATCAGATATGATGGAGAATCCTTCTTTCCTCAATGAAAGCACATTTAACATTTAAACCCAAACTAATTTATTGAACATGCACCTACATTATTATATCAGCTTGATTTTCTAGACAATAACATCATGTAATTATTAATTAGTAATTACTACTGAAAGACGAGGGAATTACATGTGTATAGACATTTGCTAGAAGAATAATGCAAAGAACTAGTTTAACAGAATAAGAATGATTTTTTACATTTTTTTAAAGGATTTTTTTCAACTTTTTAGTTCCAGGCCTTGGTTTACTGTACAGAATTGGTGAGCTCATTCAGTTGGCTTGATAAACTAAAGTTAATGTCCTTCAACAATTATCATATAATCATGTAAAATCACTAATACTTCAAATAATCTAAACTCGTTAACCAATCAGAGAAAAAGAAAAAAGACAACTGAATGTTGCATACCTGGGGTGGCAGGGGTAGTACTGCATGCTGTCTTTGAAGAATCATAAGTTGGGGAACGAAATGTAGTTGACTCTTCAAGCAATTGAATTTCAGCTCTCCTTCGCCTCTGATGGATTGTTGGCTCCAACGTATCATCATCAGTGGTTTGACAGGAATTTATACTGCCCTGTTTCCTTTTCTTCCGGGAGATTCCTCTATTCTATTATTTTAACAATTGAGTAACAGGCATTGCCAATGTGAATGCCAACAATCAATTCAAAACATGCTTTAGTGAATTAATTACTCATACCTAATTGACTAAAGCCTAAAAGGGAATCAAACATAATGGTTCCATATAGAAATAAAATTATACCTTTTCTGTCCATGAAATTTTATTTTATAAGAGCCTTTGTCTTAAAAGTTTCAGCTATTGCTCTTTATAAAATAATGAAGAAATTTCTAGAATAAAACTATTTTATTTTTCTATATTTTTCTTATTACAAAGCTAGAATTGCATGAAAATATATAAGCTAAAAACTGAATATGCTGAATCTTAAAACCAAAGATTTTCATGCATTAAAATAGCTAATCAAAGGAATAATTTACTCTCTACAAATAATAGGAAAATATCTAATGAATTAGGTGTAATTACCCAAATCACTCCTTATTCTAAAACTAAGAAACTTAACTAAAATAAACAAAGTCAACTAATCAAGTGATAATGAAGATTAGATTTTCACACTCTCCCTCAAGCTGGGTGGTAGATGTCAATCATACCTAGCTTGGACTTCAGATTCTCAAAGTGGTTTTGAGAGAGAGCTTTATTAAGTATGTCTGTAGTTTGGAGACATGTGGAAGTATAAATTAATCTAACAATTCCTTCCTCTATCTTCTCTTTAATGAAGTGAAGATCAATCTCCACATGTTTAGTCCTATCATGATGAACAGGATTCTTTGCCATACTTATGACAACTTTGTTATCGTAGTACATCTTTATGGATTCTTCTGCAGAAACCTTTAACTCCCCTAGCAACCTTTTCAGCCAAGTTCCCTTACATTTGCCATGAGACATAGCTCTACACTCAGCTTCCGAGCTACTTCTACCCACCACAAATTGCTTTTTCTTCGCCAAGTAATCAAATTTCCCCACACATAGGTACAATAACTAGTAGTTGATCTTCGGTCAATAACTGATCCAGCCTAATCAACATCAGTATAAATTTCAACATTTTGACTTGATGTCTTCTTAAAAAATAACCCTTTGTCAAGATTCTTCTTTAGGTACTATAAGATTCAATACATAGCCCTCAAATGTTCTTCGGTTGGGTTATTCATGAATCTACTTACCATGCGAACTGAAAAACTGATATCTGGTCTTGTATGAGATAGGTAGATGAGTTTCCAAACAAGTCTTTGATATCTGCCCTTATTTGTTGGTGCACTTCCTTCTTCCATTCCTACCTTATTCATTGTGTTCATAAGGGTGCCAGCGGGTTTGCATCCAAGCATTCCAGTTTCCTTTAGTAAGTCTAGGACATACTTACATTGTGAAATAGAGATACCATTCCTGTGCGAGCTACCTCCATACCAAAAAATATTTGAGGTCTCCCAAATCTTTGATTTCAAATTCTTTGGCTAAGAGGTTCTTTAGGTTGCTAATTTCTTCCACATAATCTCCAGTAAGAATAATATCATCCACATAGACAATAACAATGGCTATTTTTCCTTCAGGTGAATGTATGACAAACATGGTGTGATCAGTCTGGCATTGTGAAAAACCATACTTCTTTATCACTTTTGTTAGTCTATCAAACCATGCTTGTGAGGATTGTTTGAGACCATATAAAAACTTTTGAAGTTTACATACCTTGCTAGAATTGTCTTGGTTTTTGAATCCTGAAAGGATTTCCATATAGACTTCTTCTTATAGGTCGCCATTAAGAAATGCATTTTTGACATCTAGTTGGCGGAATGGCCAAGCTAGATTTGCTGCCAATGATAATAACACCCATATTGAATTAAGTTTAGCAACTGAAGCAAACATCTCCTCATAATCAACACCATAAGATTGAGTAAATCCTTTTGCAACAAAGGCGAACTTTGAATCTGTTAATACTTCCATTTGCATTGTGCTTGACAATAAAAATCCACTTGCACCCAACTAGATTTTTCCCTTTGCATAATTCTGAAATCTCCCATGTTTTGTTCTTTTCTAGGGAGGGCCCTGATTTCTTCCAAAACAATCATTTTCCATTTTGGTTACATGAGTACTTCATGAATATTATTCGAAATCTGCATATTGTTTAGTGTGGTAATATAAAACTAATAATTGGGTGATAAACCTTCATAAGAAACCACATTACAGATTGGGTGTTGAGTACATGATCTCACACCTTTCCGTAGAGCAATCGGTTGATCAAGATCATCAAAAGATTCAATTGAATCAGATTCAGTAAGAGTGTTAATTTTGTTGGTTTCAAGTATCTCTGGAATCGTTTCAAATTCTTGGTTTTGCTTTGAAGGTGTACATTCTCCTAGATCCTTCTGAGTTTTATGTCTTCTTGAATAGACAATCAATTCTTTGTTTATTTTCCCTTGTGTGGACTTCAAGCTTAGAGGATCTGGTTGGATGTTTTGGACTTGAAAAGGAGTTGGAGGATCTAGTTAGATGATTTGGACTTGAAAGGTAGTTTGAGAAGTGTTTGGTGGTTCAATAATAAGATCTTCCCAAAGCTGATATTCTCGTGTGATTGGATTCTCCCTTAATGGTAGTTTTGGAAAAATAAGGTTAATTTTTAAAAAGGTAACATTCATGGAATGGTAGAATCTCTTTGTTACTGGTGAGCAACACTTGTATCATTTTTTATTTGGAGAGTATCCGAGAAATATGCATTTGATGGATTTGAGATCTAATTTGGTTGGTAAGAACAAATACAATGCATCCAAACACTTTAATGGGAATAGACAAGTTCATTCGAATATGAGGATAGGAACCAAGAAGGGATTGGCAAAGGCTTTGAAATTTCAGGACCCGATAAAGCATTCTATTTATAAGATATGTAACGGTAAGAATAGCCTCACCCAAAAAATGCTTAGGTACATGGGCAGCCATCATGAGGGATCTTGCAACTTCCAACAAATGTCAGTTTTTTCTTTCAGCAACGCCATGCTATTGAAGTGTATCGATACATAAGCTTTGATGAATTATACTAGGCTTCATTAGATATGATCCAAGGATTGAATTGTAGTATTCTCTCCCATTGTCAGTTCTCAACACTTGGATTTTGGTTTTGAATTGAGTTTGAATCATATTGTTGAAGTTTTGGAATAGGTGGCCCACTTATGATTTTTGCTTCATAAGGAATACCCAAGTAACCCTGGTGTGAACCATCTAGGGCCAGTAATGTTATTTACTCTGGAGGGACCCCAAATGTCACTATGTATTATTAAAAAAGATAAGGATGGGATGATTGCTGATTAGGATATGTGGTATGGGTATGTTTGGATAGTTGGTAGACTTTACACTGAAAGTTATTAGGATTTTTATTGAATAATGAGAGAAACAACCTTTTGAGGTATAAAAAATTTGGATGATCTAACCGATAGTGGCACAACATGATAGTTTACTAAAAGATGAAGCCACATAAGAAGTCTTTTGATATTGTCTTTCACAATCATTAGCTCTTAGGATATAAAGTCCTACACACATCTTAGCATTGCCAATCATCTTCCCTAAGTCCAAATCCTGAAATTCAGATATATTTAGAAAAAATTTAGGAACGCATTTAAGGTCTATTGTAAGTTTGTTTATAGACAATAGATTGCAACTTAGATTTGGGACAAACAGACAAAATCAAGTGTTATCTCTTAACAAAACCTGTACCGGCCACTTTTACAAGTGACCAATCAACAATGCGAACTGTGAAATTTTAATGACATGGGTTGTATTTACTAAATATAGATGCATCCCGATCTGAAACTCCTAAATTCACAATCCATGAATTTGATTTCTCTAGCTTTATACTCAAGACACTTAGAAAATTACCTTTTTATGCTAAAGAATCTGTTCCAATAGGAGTGGTAAGGCTCTATAGTGATTGGAAAACATTAGCTCCGGAGTTAGAGGTAACCTCTGACGCCGAGCTCTACCTTCCGCTGGCCATGCTAGACTCCGAGTGAAAATTTTCAAAAGTTCAGATCGTGCTTTGATACCATGAAGAATTCTTTAGAACAAAACTATTCTATTTTTCTATATTTTTCTTTTTACAAAGCTAGAATTGCATGAAAATATATAGGCTAAAGATTAAAAATTCTCAACCTTAAAACCCAAGATTTTCATGCATAAAAACAGCTAATCAAATGAGTAATTTACTCTTCACACATAATAGGAAAATATCTAATGGATTTGGTGTAATTACCCAAATCACTCCTTATTCTAAAAATAAGAGACTTAACTAAATAGACAAAGTCAACTAATCAAATAATAATGAAGATCAGATTTCCACAAATAATATCAATAAAATATTTATAAAAAAATTTATCATGCTATAAGATTGCTAAAAGGAGTATTTTCTACAAATCCACCAAGAGAAAAACAGACTGGACATGCATATCATCAACAATTTTAAGCATAAACCAGAACAAAAATAAATGAAAATTAAATATATATGAAAATTTTGATTGGGTGAGTGAATGTGGGGAATTAAAGAATCATTGTGAAATTAATGGCTGATCTCTCCATGACCAGCCTCACTCATTTTCCATGTCTCGGCAAGTTTAATAAGCACATACCTCAAGTTCCTTCAACAGATATGAAGCTGCTTTTCCTTTTGCTACTTTTCTGCTTCGATCAAACCCCTCTCCAACCAACAAAATATCATCCAGCTGTAACCGAAGCTCAGCATGCACTATTTCCCCCTTATTTATACAACTTTCCTTTATAAAATATCCAAGAGAGTCACATAGTTCATTCAGTTCTCGAAGTGGAGGCAGCTCAAGCTTATCAGGGGTCACAATTGGAGATACAAGTGGTTCAACAATTCTCCAGACTTCATCCAGATTCAGGTTGGTATCAATCAAAATTGCCCCAACAATACTTTCAACCAGGTCTCCAAGAGCCTGTTGTCAAGAAAGTAGAGAATGTAAAGTATATATCAAAAAGATCCCTATGGTCAATAATTGCGCAAATTCTATGAGTCATAAACTTATTTATATAGAGTGATTCTAGCAGCCACATAGTATACACGGAAGCTGTATCAAAAACAGCGATGGAATATAACAGAGCCATATAATGTATCTCTAATTATTCACTATAAAAAGATTAATAATAAACAAATACTTGAACATACCTTAGGACCTTTTATGCCTGGCCCTGATCCGGTGGTGTCATGAGATTCAGGGAAGGACTGTACATATTCACTTATATGGTTTAATAGTAAAGTTGAACAATGTTGAAGATGCTTATGAAGGTCATGACGCACGGCAACTTGAGCAAAACTTTCATTATTAACTGAAGCTGAGCGCAGGTCAGTCAACTCTCCTGGATCTATGTCAGTGTGATTGTGGTAGAGATATTGGGTGATCAGCAAGTCCAACACAGAATCACCAAGAAATTCGGGCCTCTGTAGAAAATTTTGAATATGTAAAAGGTGACTTCACGAGAGACCTAAAGCTATATAAAGTTATATGAACCACGTACTCGTATTTACATTATTCACAAGCTTTCCAGACTACCAGAAATTTTCGTCCTTGGACTCCAAAACCCACTTAAATTTATAAGAAAAGAACAAAATAAAACATGAATTCAAGCATAAGACAAGTAGAGAACTTCTGTAACTACCTGGTAACAGTAGAACTCATGCACAGATGCATGTGTCAAGGCCTCCTGTAAGAAAAACTTAACAGAAAATTTGTAGCCAATTTTTGACTCTATAATGTGGATTTCATCATTGGGGACATAAGATTGCAGGGATGCACGATTAATGGCTTCAGCTACCAATGAGGGATCAAGTTCGGCATCAATCCCAAGCCACTTCATCATATGGAGGGCAGAAATGAGTCCACCAGCTATATAGTATGCTCCTATGAGAGCTTCAACACAATCTGATATGGTTTTTGAACACATCCATCGGTGGCCTCTATCACAGGATTTACCAACCTTAATTTTCGGGTCTTCAGTCTGAAATTTTTTATCTAAAGGAACTTCTAGAGAGTCCACCCCACACTTACAACGAACAGGGCGAAGAGATCGTTGTCCTGGAGCTACCCAACGCCGGGGATCAAAAGCACTGTCCCTAATGTATCCCTGTTATATAAGAAATAAAAGCAATGTAACCAAATAACAGTTTATAAAACTTATAAAATTCCCAAAACAGGTAGAAACAGCAGAAAGTTGAGCAGAAGAGTCAGTTTTCAACAGATTAATAAATGGATAGAATTGACAGATATTTCAGAGCCTAAATTATAGACTCCAATATTCAATAATAGCAAGAACTGGAAAGGATATGTTAAATAATTCAAAGGAAAAGTCCAAGCATAGTTGATGCTTCTTTATTTAAACAAGTTTATTAAGCACAACCTGATGATAATATCTAGACTGAATAAAGAAAAAATACCATTCTGCATGCTTGCAAGCACAAAAGATCATAATATATGATTAGAAGTCCCACAATATGGCACAAACATTAAATAATTTTGTGAAGTAATTGTCACAAGCTCTGTAATGCTTAAAAAATAATATCCATTGGAAAACATAGCTTTCATAACTGTAAACCATTTCTTTGAAAATTATACAATTAGAGGGTAGCAGATTATACGGGGGATAACATTTTGAGATATTAGATGCACATCATCAGTAAGAACGATGATATCCCAGTAGCGAGCACTAATAGTTGCCCCAAAGAAAATACATCCATTAAAAATGGATCTCAGCCTATGCATGATGCCGAGCCTGTGATTCAAGGGAAGGATTCAAGCAGAAATAAGGAAATGGCACCTGTAATTTGCAGTCAGTTCCCAACTTATGCAGGGTTGAATTACAAACTGCCCATTGACGCCTGGCAGATAATTGTCCTTCATGTTTGTTGGGATATCTAAGAAAGAGATGGCAGCTCACAGCATACTTTAGAACTGAATCGCCAAGCAATTCCAGCCTCTCCATGGAAAAGCTTTCACAACATCTAAGTGTTGTTAGTGCTTCCAGGATCTATTAGTATAAAAAAGATATCAAATTATTACTAAAGGAACAACTCATTTCAGAAACAGCCAAAGTTAGATGACAATGATAGAGCAAACCAATGAGCTTGGGATATCGAAGTTGCTGGAATGAAAGTTGATCTCTTCTCTAAGTTGACTGGCCAACATTAAGGACTCCAGCCGGTGCATCAATGATGGTAGTAAGTAAAATGCTTTTAGAACACCTACTGGGACATCAAGGACAAGTAAAAGCTCAGGGGGCATGTGGATATGATTCCGTGGGTTTTCATTAACCAAGCCAGCTTGCGATGCCTTAGCTGAAAAACCTGCTCAGTAATGGGAAAATATTAGAAACCATGTGAAGATAAGGTACAAAGTTAGAACTATTTCAAACTTAAGTACCCTATTCAAGTAGTTCGAAATTGAAAATCAATCACTGAATTATTATTTTTATTAAAATCTTTGTTTCATGATGCATGCAATCACGGAGTAACTAAACCAAAATTGCTAACAATGCTGAAATAGAAAACCATTCGGTAAATGACAATAACTTTTAAGTTAAAACTTTAATGTCACCCCTAAAATAACAAAACTTCTTTCTCTCCATTTCATTGCTTATGAGGGGCAATCAGCAGTTTTCAACTCTAATACTTCCTTTCTTCCAGAAGATTATTTCTATTGTTCTACCATGTACAACTTTGAAGAGAGGACAGGCAAAGCTAGTTAAGTAAATGGCTGGTGGTGAGTAATAACTACCCTGCTTCTCTTACCGCCCACAGACACTCTAATAATATTCAAGATGAGGAATATGTTCCATACCACCTATTTTCCCCTCCAACTACCTTCTCTCTATATTCAAAGCTCCTTTACCCCATGAAAAATCTGGCATCACTAGATGATGAAACTGGAAAACCAACATGAAAATTCGAGAGCTCTACACAAAGCATGATTAACTGATGAAAAGAACATAGACATATAGATTATGTTTATACTTCTTCCGGCTGATTCTTTGTTTTAAACAGGCTTAAAAACTCAGAGAATATAAAGTGGTAAGCAGAACAGGAACTTCCATTTTTGTTGGATTAGAGGTAGCAAAATGTCTTAAGAATAATGAACTGGTTTCCAAAACTACATGATGAACATCACATCTACATAACTTCTTATTCTTAATGTAGCAAAAAATTTGACAAACCTTCATCATTAAAATTGACAAGCAAGTTGTGCGGATTATGACTCTGCTTCAACAGCAATAAAGGCTGTCCTGGATGTTTCAGCACAATCCCGTACCTGAGCAAAGCAAATGTTGTCATTGGAACCATAAAATGATGCAAATATAAGAACAGTAGATGGAATCACCTATCACTTACTTTTTGTGGAAGTATTCAGAGAAGGTAGCAAACTCTGATGAGACAGTATCAACAATTTCATTGAAAGAACTGTCAGCAGATGTATCACTCACTAATTCAATGATGGAGTATATTCTTCCGGTGTGAATAGCCAATACTACCACATTACTAAGATTGTTAACATCAACTGAACTGTTAGCAAAGTGGATTACATTGGTCTCCTTGCACTCTGTCACAGATGAACCAGTATGGTTCAATGATGGATTGCCTCCATCGCCATCAGCGACTAATAATGAATTTTTATTTAAAAATTCTACAGCAAATGTACAAGCCGTTATCCCTGGCCAGTTTATTCTCAACTCATTACTTGAACCATCCTCAAGGGGCAGAAGCAAATACATGTTGGATGGACTCCACAAAGAGCTTGTTTCATTCTGAAGTAGAAATTGTCTTGATGTTCCAGATTTTTTAGATCCAACAAATAACCTCCCAAACAAGCCATTAAAAAAAAATTCCTGAAAGCGCTTTGCTTTCATCATCTAGAGTGAAGAAAATAAAAACAAAAGAACGAGATTAAAAGCAAGTACATTATTTTGAAAAAAAACAAAAACAATTTTACAACATTATGTTTATACCTGTTCTGAATCCAAATGCATTTGCCCACATGAAGAAACACATGTCTTAACCATCTTTCCAATCAAGTAAAGATCCAATTCAATATTACCCACATCATCAGCAAGCTTCGATTCAATTAAAAGAATAAATCCAGAATAATGCACACCAACAATATTACATGAGAAGTCAAATTTATAGGCAAAGAAAACAACAGCATCAAGTTTTTCTCGCCAACTTCCATATAATGCATGAATGCAGGTTGTTCCATGCAGCTCCTTCCGTTTGGTAGTTCCTTTGTACCACAAAAAAAAAAGGAAAAACAGGAATATGAACCCAATTTACTTTCTAAAAGACTAGAAAATGCAAACAGGGGTAGTAAATAGAAAGACAGGCAGAAGCAATAACTAAGACATCCCAAACACAAATATTTATATCCAGAAATTAAGTAGACAATTTTAGTGATTTTTCCTTGATATAACTTGAGAAGCAAATAATCAGCAAGTAAAAAAGCAGTCTATTGTTAGTATTTTCATTTTCCATTATTACTCCCATGATCCTGAATAGTGTTGATTCAAGTAGAGGGGCACATGTTTTATGCAGATGATGACAAGGAGATGAGAAAGTGCTTATTCATTTAATGAGCAGTTTGGTTCAATTTTGAACTCAAGCCCACATTACTTATCACAAGCCATAATGGGAGATATATGGATTTTTCTTACGCATTCGAAACCAAAGGTGCAAAATGAATCATTAAACAGCAGTTTCACACTTTGAAAGTTTATTTGTATATACCTGCACCTGAATCTGAATCTTTTCCTTTAGAAATACAATGATCTTCTGAAGGCTCTTCAATGGATGGAATGAGATGATCATCCAATGCACCCATTTGATGAAGCTGCTTACATGCTTCTAAGCATACGAGCTGCTTTGCTAAATGAGAATTCCTAGATAGAGGACCAACTATTGTTTGAAAAGCTGCATTAACAGGTAATGTTAATTTGCACTCATATAACCCTCCAGAAAATGTTAACTTGAAACTTGGCTTTGGCGTGTAATACCTACATTTAACAGAAAATATAAGAGATTAATGGCTTCAACAAACTACACAAATATAGTGAAAAGTGAAAATGAAGCAACGATAAAATAACAAGAAACAGCATGCATACTTATCACCAGGGAGCTTTTCACAATATTGATGCATGAGGCTAACAGCAGAATCTGCAGTAACTGAAGCTCCAGTAGCATCCACAACATAAACATTTGTTTCTTCGAATGTACAATCTTTTAGAAGGCATAGATCAGGATCTCTATTTATAGCTGTATTTGTCATTGCATATTCACTCCTGATTATATCATATATTTGATTTCTTTGTTTCACATTACCCCTGTCAATACATCAGTTAGACTCTATGCCATTATAACATATATTAGAGATGCATATGACGAGAAATCTCCAGAGAGTCATAAGTATTACAGACAAGCAACGCATGCATGCTTAACAAGGAACACAATTTTACCTCTCTAGCATCATGATGAATTGGGAATTACTCCGCCTAGCTCTTCCTCGAGATTGTATATAACTCCGGACTGTCTTGGGCAGGTCAAAACGTATCACACAGGAGCAACTTGGTACATGAATTCCCTCCTCAACCACATCAGTAGCAAATAAAAGATTCACCTGTGCAAAGTTTTTGATCATTGACCATAAACTATCTAAACATCAGTGAATATAAGCTATTATATAAAAATATCAGATACCTTCCCAGATCGAAATGACTCCAACGTTTCCTTTTGCATCTTTGGTGCCAGGGAATCAGCTGATGTTCTACTCCCAGTCAAATATGAAACCACGAAATGTGATAAATAGCTTACTTTCTTCACAAATCTTTCAATTACTTTAGCAGTAACAATTCTTTCAACAAAAATGAGGCACAATACTTGTCCAGTTTCTCTGCAACCACAAAAGTAAGAGTAAGCCAACATTGTTATTATATTCCAAGAAACCAACCACTGAAGCTTCCTATTACCCAAATGACTGGAAAAGTTGAAGTAGTTCATGCAATTTTGGAGATATATAGCCAAGATCTACCGCCTTTAAATGGTCAAACCCAGAATTCAGAAACTTTTCATCACCTGAAGGGATGAGAAGAGAATAATATTAGTGACAGACAAATTTATCCAAAGACAAGTGAACTTAAACTTCTCTAAATATGGTGTAAACCAGATGAAGTCAGATAAAAGTTACAGCACAACATACCGAGGGGAAGGGAGTCCCCAATTATATGTAGCACTTCTTCAAGGAAATTTTTACACTGCAACACACTTTCTCTATATGTTTCACACTCCTCTTTGGTGTCAGGGATGTTCTCTAGACAGATATAAACAGCCTATGAAGGAAGTAACAGAAAGCACATCACCTCAGGAGCAAATTGGAAGACGGAAGAAACAAACAATGTAAACCTAAACAAACCTTATATGTGTTAAATTATGGTGATTGTATAAATTGACATATTTACAAGGAAGATTAAAACATTTAGGTGGATATTTAAGAAACACAATACAGCATTGTTGTCAAACTGACTTGGTCAATTGCTTATTAGATTAATGTATCTATCTGAGTTGAATCGAATTCTATCTCAGTAAATAAATAGTAATCAAAAGTTATGAGAGCAGCCTGAATTTTATATGGTAAGATAAAAACAAGAGGAACGCTATTCATCTTCAATTCAGTCTTCTATCCTCTCTAGTTGAAATTTACTGACAGCTCAATCATACCTCATAAGCACATATGAGACCAAGATTGTCAAGGCAATGCAGAATCTTGGAATGGTCATTTGATAATCGCTTTCGTAGGGTCTTACACTTATCATTGATGTCTGTATAAGAAGTTTGCAGTGAGCCTTGCAGCTTTGACAATGAAGCATCTGTCTATCCAGAACAAAAAATAGAAGGCCTTCAACATCCCCACATGCAAAGAGCAAACAAAATATTTCCACACACATGTGAATCACTTATATAAGTGCTCGGATACCTTTAACCAAGAGGCTTCTACCATTGCTTTCAAATCCAAATTAGAAAACTGTGTTGGATCAAAAAATCTACAACTTTCTTTTGCAGAAGGAACATATGCTTCCATCTCTGTCCTGTCTTCAATAGTATATATCTGCAGCAGCACATATTCAAGATATTGTTCGTATTAACATAGGCTTTTCCAGCAAATCAGTCATAGCTAACCACAAAAATTAAACAAATAAATAAATACCAAGCAATCCAAAACACTTTCAAGTTCTGATATTTGACAAGCACAATCATTGCTGGATGAGACACCTGCACAAAGTTGAGTCACAAAAACTATGTAAAAGCATAGAACCAAATATATAGCATCCAAATCCCAAATATCATATAAAGAATATAAGGAAAACAAATCAGGTGAAATATTTCTGCAACAAATAAACTGAGAAGGACAAGGCTCTAAATTTCAAGTTCATTTTCTTTTTCTTTAACAACTGATCATCAATGGTTCAAATAATTGATGAACCATCTTTTAGATCTTGGAGTCACTCTTTTGAAATAGGAACAAAGCTCAACCCACATGGGAATTTAAACAAAAGGATAACCTTATGAAGAGAAAACAATTCAATATCAGATGGAAAACAATAATAACAATATCTTACCTTTGCCAATTACAGGCGATGCTGTCATTCCAAAAATCTTTGGCTTGTTATTAAATTTGTGATAAAATTCCTAAACAAAAGAAAGAACACAAAAATGCTTTCACTTTTAATAAGAAAACAAATAGATGAAACAATAAAATAAAGTAAATAGTCATTAAATTCTTGCAAAAAATGATGTGGATTGCTGACCTTCATTATTTTTGCATATGGATGGTTGCCAGTGGCACGGTGGCACTCATCTATTATCATTAAGGACACCACCTCTAGACTCAAGAAAGCCTTCCTCAAGGCATCCAGTAGAATTTGAGGTGTCATAACCAGAACCTACAAGATCAAGGATATACAAGTGCACATCAGCTATAACTTGATGTTAAAGTGGAGAGAAAGAAAAAGATTATATGAAGAATGATTTAAACATTATCAAGGAATAATGTTTGCAATGTGCCCTTACAAAATTATCTACTAGAGGTGCATAAAAAAAAACATTAATATGAACAAGACAGAGGATTCTCAAAGTGAGAATGCTAGAAACAAATGAGATTTCCAGGCAACCTAACAGATATATGGTTTAGTAAATTAGCATAAAAAATAGCCTTCTTCGAGCTACTTAAAAAGCAAACTTACATCATGCCCCTTTATTTCTTTCTCCCAACAATCTGAGTTCCATTCATCAACCCCCTTAGCTCCATAGTACTGTTCAACTTCCAAACTTGTATGAATCTTTATGTATTCAAATTGCTGCAAACACACACACACACACACACACACACACACAAAAACTTCAATGTTCAATTTTTCGCATTACCAGAAAAAAAAATTTAACTTTCCAGGACTAAAAAGCATACCTGATTGACTAGATGAACAGTGGGGGCCAAGAAAATAATCAACTTTTTATTGTCAGTCGACTTGATAGCTTGACCAAAATCTTTGATGAGCATCACAGCTATCATTGTCTTCCCTCCACCTGTATCCAACACTGCTATTACGTTTCTTCTCTTTGCAACTTCATACACTTGCAATTGATACCTACAACACAAAAACAAATAAAGAAAAAACAAAAAACCACATTAGTGACACTAAAAATTCCCAAACTCAAACAAAGAGAGAGAGAGAGAGAGAAAGAAAAGGGCAAACCCTCTAGGATTCAAGTCCGTAGGATTTGAAGATGAAGAAGGGTCTTCCTTAACAGGATCATTATTGTCTAAAATCATAACATCAGGTGGGCCTGAGTTCATCTCACTGAAGCTTCTTTTTAGAGGGTTATCCTTCTCCTTTGGAGAATACATGTTGATATTTATACAAAGAACAATGAAAAAAGAATAAGAAAAAAAAAAGGTTAAAATTTTATTGAATGGGATTGAGTAGAATGAATAAGATGAAAACACACAAAATACGTGAAGCCCTAAAGGAAGAGTTGTTTGGTGAGAAAACTCGAGAAAATGGGGTGTGAATGGGATTGTTCCAAGGACATTGATTCTACAAAATTTACTGTTTTTGGGATTTCTAGTTAACTTATTTGTTTTTTTTTTATGGACCAAAAAAAAAAATGAGAGACTAAGGCCTTGGAATTGGACGCATGATCAAGATTCAAGAGCCCTGCCCCTGCTTCCCCTAACACGGCACGGTCTGCAATTAACCCTTGCTATAAACTAGACCAGAAGCACTGGTCATTGGTGGGTGAACGAATAGTTTTATTATACCGTCGCACTCAGGATTAAAAATATATATGTTTATTATTTAAAACTGTTGATAAACATCTAAAAAATCATAATTAATCTTTGGTTATTTCAATTAGATTTTTTATAAAATAATTTAAAAGTTTTTCAATTGAATTTTTTAACTGATTTTAAAATTTTATTATTATAATTTAAATAATTTAAAAATTTTATTATTATAATTTAAAATATAAAATATAACAATTAGGAATTTAATTCTATTTTTTATTGAAATTTGAGGATATATTTGGATTTTTTGTTGTTTATACTTGTAACTCATCAAGAACCGTGTGTCAGGATTCAGGTTAAACACAGCTGTTTGAAATTTTGGACCGAAGCTGTTTGGTTCACGAGCGGTAGTGGAAAGAGCAAAGACGGCCCCACTTTGTTGGACACAGTAATGCCCCAGTTTCTTAAATGGGACCCAAACCAAAGCGCAAACGCAAACAAAGAAGTGTTCACTGTTGGTTGAGCAAGCAAAACCGTAGAAGAACATTCTGTGTGTTGGGTTTTCAACAGTAGAGGAAGAAACGGCTTTTGTGATTTTGTCACCTCATCACTCAACCATACAGTACACCCTTTAAAGGACAAAACAAATGGTGCTAACCAACCTCCTTGTGGCCAATGAAACTTTAAGCTCGAGTGAGTTTCGTTGGTGCAAAAATTGAATTTTGATTATTTAAATTAAAAATGTAATACTTTATTAATAAATAATACGATTGATGACATTTATATCAAAAGAGTGTGAGGTGACTTCATTCCGATATATGATCACAAAATTGATATGGTTGATAAAAAACAGAGAATAAATGGTTGCTCTTTTATCCGATTCTAGAGGCCTTACCAAAGTGGCTCCAAAGAGGGCATGATTCTTTTCTGGATATCAAGATTTATGTGCTCAAACTGAAAAAAAAAAATTAATATGTAGTAATTATTTAACTGTTGTTTCTCTCAAGGAATGGAACCAACAATATTTTATAAGATACCGGAGTCAAGTTAGTGCCATGGGATATAACAAATTAGAATATAAATTATCCTTTGACATCCAATTGTTTGGTAGTGTTATTTTGCATTGGTTTGATCTGGACGGCAAAACTAATGCACTTCCAACGGTGTTTCCCTTGAATTTAACGACAACTAGTCTATCACCGTGCCACGTTAGCACTTGATCAGGCCTGGGGGATGGTCATCAACAGATGACATCCTACGAGCAGTAGGATTTTGAAAAGCGACTCAAACAGTCGAACTCCATACCGTTGACAGTTGAGAGGTCAGACAAGAATATAGAAAAGAAACGTCAAAATTTCAGCATGAACCCTCGCATAGTGCTGCTCTGACTTCCAACAGCATTAAGCAAATTTTGGCACAAGAGTTACTTTTCATGAATCGTACAATCAGCGTGTAATTCATTTCTACATCCCAGAATTACAACCACCCCCCCCCCCCCCAAAAAAAAAAAAAAAAAGAAAAGAAGTCGCTGGCTGGTTTCAGCCACCCCTGATGCTACCAAAATGCAATTGCTGCTGTCACCTGGCTAAACATTAATGATACACTTCTGCTGCTGCGGCTTTTTTTTCACCTCGCTTCTCTTTTTCTTTTTGTTTTTCAAACCCCTTTTTCGTTTTTTTTTTTTCACTTTTTGTTCAGGCTTCAACTACTTTCTCTTCCATTTACATGTACAAGAATGACTAAAGCGACTATAACCTGATGGTTTTTCTGTTGTGTCAAAAACTCCTATACCTCAATCTGTCAATTTCATGGCTTCAATATATCACAACTCGAAGTAGTCCTGGCTGTGGTTCTGTAAAGTCAAGGCACTCTTCTTCAAGGAGATAACGCTGTACAGCAACTGGAAGCCTTGCTGGCGTACGAGAACCCCTGGTATGATGTCCAGTTCCAACACATATGTAAACCTGCAGGCGCTGATCTTCTGCCCGTGCTGTGCTCCTGAGCACTGATAGTTCATACTTCAGTACATGAATGGCTTCACTAACATGCAACCCATCCAGATCTATCATCCGCTCCTGCCCTCTGACATTCTCTGGAGAAACTGGGTTCCTATATTATTATAGTTCATAAACAGTCACACAGAACAAACTAGTATTATGCCCACCAAAATAATAAAATGATATAACAAGAATTTAGATTACTGCAATAATAAGGAGAATTACCAAGATTCATAACTAACAAACTCAGGTATATTAATTCATCAGAGCTGTGAGTATGAAAGATGGACGGATAGAGAGAGGAGAAAGGGTGGAGTGAAGGAAGTGACAGATAGGAACCAATTATACTTAAGGCATGAATACTAACCCCACAGATGTCAGCAACCAATGTTTTTTTATTCTCTGCCAGAAAAATATCTTACCAACCCATTGATAAACAGTGTTAAAAGCAATAACAACAATAGCAACAAAAGAATGGGTTGAAGCCTGTTAACCACCATGTCAACGGACCAAGTGCAACAGGAAAGAAATGACAAACCTCTGGCCATATATAGATTCTTGAGCTTTTCCATGAGCTGCCTTCATATGCATATTGTGCAGTTGTCCTTTCACACTAAGTTCCTTTGCTAGAACCTTATTGCCAATGACGAATGCTTGATGTGCCTATTTTAAATATATATAAAAGGTAGCATCACTTAACAATATGGATAAGTTGAGCGGACTAAGTTCAGTGTAGGATATAGAAAGAGAGAGTTATTAGAGCAGACTTCATCAAGCACAGCTGTCAAACTTTAGAAATTTGCCTTCTACCTGTCTAATAGTTGATGCACTCTGTACTTTGCGTAATAGCGCCAACTTTGGAAAGCAAGGGTTATTCATCAAACACATGCTCATTCAGGATTCTTAAACAATAGTTGTGACTGATACTCTATTGTTATATACATAACAAAATATCACTACACTACACTTGTTTTCTTCCCAACTTGAGAAAGTCAAACAGCTGCATTATTCAACATGAAATACCATGAAGCTTACCTTAAGAGAGGATGGGAGGACTACTATTGGAGTTCATATTCTATTAATTATTTCTATTTGATTGCATATGTAGCTAAGCTAATTGATGTCTGATATAACTTAGCGGACAACTGTAAAGTTACAAAAAAAGGTAGTCACAGATGCAGAAGCAAATTTTGAACCACTATATAAGAGAGGACTAAAAAAGGGAACTCATTTCCCAGGTTGCAAAAGGAGCACAAATAAATGAAAAAAATAATAACAAAAGGAAAAAAAGTGGTGGAGAATTAGGCTGAAACATTGTTAAACAACTTATTCCATTGCTTGCTAACAAAAATGTCAAAGCTACAAATAAATCAGTTTAATATGTGTAACACATTTCCAAGGAGATACCTGTTCAAAATATGCATTGCGTAAACAAGCATAGTCTCGAGCTTCTTCCCGCGGTTCAGAGTACAAATTTGCTGCCAGCTCAATAATGTTAAGGCAAATAGATATGCAAAAAGGCATAGATCACTCCTATTATAAGCTGTCTAAAGGCATGAACTTAAGGAAATGGAGAATATTACCCACTGCATCTCCAGTTTCAAGCCAAACAGGAGCTGAACAAGCTGAACCACGAGTCTGCAACCTATTAGCATAAAACCCTCTTCCAGGTGAAGTACTGTAGGTATTAGCTGACCCATGAGAACTTCTACTTGACCCAATAGTTGAATCAGCAGAACCATTTCTATCATACTTCCATATTCCGGAATCTTGAGAAGCCATTTTCCTGGCAGCTGACACAAAATCTATGGCACCTCTAGGTGGAAGGGAAGAATTGTATTTGAGCATAAGAATATTATCCTTGACAGATGATCGATAAGGATTGGCACTGTGTTGAAGATCATCTCCTGCATATTTTCGAGGACCTCTCTGACCATCTGACACAGTAAGTGCAGGAAAATCTAGCGTACTTGGATTGGGAGCTGACAATATCTTCGAATTCAGGTTCTGTTTGAAACCACCTTCAACTTGAAGCTGCAATAAAATCAAAATAACCCAAGGAATGCTAAAAGATCTTAAGATGGAGAAAACAGACAACAAAAATACTGATAATTTTTTAGGATGCTGGAAACCTGTGAGCCACAAAGCATGGAACAACAACCTAAGAGGACATAACCTCAAAAAACAAGAGGAGAAAATCCCATAAAGAAAAACTACCCCTCCATACGAGGCTACAATATATTATGAACCAAAAGCTACATACATGACCATCGTTGAATTGAGTCACCTCAAAAGTTTATGAGGAGCCAGCTTTTCCCTGTCAAACCACAGTTGGCATCCAAACCATAATCATCCATGGCATTCACAGCAGATTCCCAACATCCCAGAAATATTATATAAGAAGAGAAAAACAAAAACATTTTCAGCGTATGAATTAAGGAACAGCAAAAACTGAAGTTAAGAAAAATCTTTTGCATCCTGATTTGGACCATAAACCATTCCTTTAGTAGTTCTGCAACTGTCACGCAATTAATAATCAGAAAATGAAAAATATAAAAACTTGAAGATGCAAACAACTGAAGCATCACTACATCTTCAAACAAAGGATAAATACAAGCACTTGAAACCAACTAAAAACAGTTGAGCAACACTAACCTCAAGCTGAGTGAGCATTTCGATAGTCAGATTTAAGTCACAACCACTGGCAAAATAAACTTCAGCAAGGCTTTCCGCGGCAAATCCAGGGAATTGAGAAGCCAAAAAATCCATAGGATTCATCTCAGTATCATCCATAATTGTGTGCTCACCCAACAGATCATTAACGAACCCTTGTCTAGAATTTCCATTATATGGTTGTCCCTCCTTCCCATTGCCAAGAAGCTGATCACTGTTAACAAATTGTTTGTCCCAAGGTTTGACTGGCAAATGCAAAACACTAGCTGAAGTAGGATCCTCTTGAAAGGATGAAGCAGGATATCTCAATTTTTCAGCAAAGTTATTATCATTACCATAATGATGCAGCAGGTCCTGCTGATCACCAAATACATATCCATCACCAGCAGAAGCAGGAAACCTTAAAGCTTCACTACCATCATGCAAGGACAAACCTGCTAAAGAGAGGCTCCCAGATCCAATTCCTTGAGAATCATCCTCATTACTAACCTTAAAGTCTGGTGTAATGTCATCAGGGAGCTGGCGACGCCAGAACTGATGAGCCTCTTCATCAGAAATATTGGAAACAGAAGACTCAGACCGATCAGGCACTGCTTTTCCTATAGTCCCAGAAACAGCAAACCTAGCTGTTGCATGAGCTCCACTGGTGCTTCCTAATGAAGATGTTGACCTAAGAGAAGAGGGAACGAACTCTGCTGCATTAGGATTCAAAGTTGTTACCTTGCTAGGGGTACTTAGTTTTGTGTCACTAATTTGGATCCCTTTCTTGGATAAGCTCATTCTTTACTTCAATTGAAAAATATATAGATTCTACATAGATAAAAGAAACTGATGCAGAGGATACAACCTAGAGTTCCACTAACTCTAACCAAAACCTGCAAAACCGTCCATCATATTACATTATTAATAAGTCAAACTTACAAAAGAATCTTTAATTGAAGACAAACACACATACAATAAACCAAACCTTATCAGAAAATAACTTAATTACCAAATCTAGAATGAGATTAATACCCAAAAGACCACAAAATCTCAACATCACTCCTCATAGAAACTTTCACAATAATCATTTCCATGAAAATAATGATGATGACGAATCATGACGACAGCAATGATGAAGATAATAGAAAAATAAATAAACAATTTAACTCTTGTGCATGCAAAATCCACTGCTTTAAATGAAACAAATAGATAATAGTAATACTATAATTAATTAACAACTGAATGGAAATTACAGCTTATCATTTCCTATAAACAACATCAAAATAATCTTGATTCACGATTATGAGTTAAATAACGAGTTTTTCAATGGATTAAACAGACCAAAATTATGCCAATATACTGTTCAAAACCCTAGAATTCACTTACCAACAAGACTTTAACTTGAAGATAAAAGGAAAGCACAAAATTCGCAAGTAATAATTAAACAGCAGGCTCATGTAATTAAAAACCCTAATTATAAAAACAACAATCAAATTTCCAAATATATATATATATATATATATATATATCAAGCGTTTCTACCTAAAAAATAATTGAATCGAAAAGCAAGCATAAATCAAAGCTATAATCTTGCATTATCCTAGTTAGTAATTATCAGAGATCTCAAGTCAATCCAACACCACAAAAACAAAAAAATATAATAAAAAAGTCAAATTTTGAAATAAACAGAACGAAGAAAGAAAAATGAAAAATCGAGAGATTCAATGAGAAATTTATACCTTTGCTAAACAAATCGAAAGGATCCATAGCTAAAGATATCAGATGAGAAAAAAAAAAAAAGAAAAAAAAGAAACAGCAGATAAAGGAGAACCAACAAACAAAGACGGTCTACTGGATATTCTTTTTAATTAATATATTGGGATTTGAGCTTTGTTTTTTTTTTGGCTGCAGTATATTATTTCAGCTTTTTGTTTCACAGCTCTGTTCTTTTTTTTTTTTCTCTGTCTTCGTTTTTTTCTTTAATATCACTGCTACTACCAGCACCACCACAAAAATAAAAAACAAGTCATCCAACCCCTTCTCCACTGGATTTGACTTCTTTTCTATTCTTTTTTTTTTTTGTTTATAATTCTCTCTCTCTTTCTAATTTTATTATCACCTAATTTTAGAATTAATGTTTAAAATATTAATAATTTTATATATTTATATCATATTTTATATTATAATTCATGATAAAAAATATATAATATATTTTTTATTTTATTAAATTTATTTATTATTTTTATTAAAATTTTAAAAATTTTTTTATTATTTATTTAATTTTATATCATATTATCGTATTTTAAATTATTAAATTTATCAAATTCTATCCGTTTCACAACCTTATCATGTGCTGAAATTGAAGGTTTTTTTTACCAAATATAAATATTATTATCATTCAAAATTTTTGTTAAACAACGTAATTTTATAAATTTAATTTCAAATCAAAAGTGGTGATATTTTTAATTAAAAAATAAAAGACTTGAATTATATTTTTTAATTAAAAATTAGGTTCATTAAAATTCAAATCACTGAAATCAAATGTTGGAATGCATAAAAGCTAACATATTAAAATTTCTTTTACCTATGTTTGAGACACCAAGCCAACCAACTGTTAGTTTGCTTTCTAGCTTTATTAAACCTGTCAAAGCAAAGTGACAAAATCGGTTGTCAATAACAACAACATCAAAATTTACCCTTGTTTTTTTCATGTCTTGTCTTTTTTCTTAAATTAATTTTCATTACTTTTTTTATAATTTATTTGTCGTGTTTCTAATAAAATAAAAATGTACAAATTTTTAAGGAGATATGCATGAAGGTTTTTTGGGTTTTTTTTTTTTTTTTTTTTACATGGGATGCGTATAATCTAACAAAATATCTAGTTTAATCTCATAACAAATAAAAGTAATTAAATAACAATGCAAAATTTATGAGTGATCCACCAAATGGTAGTAATAAATGCCTAATAATAAAGGTTTAAGCAATTAGAGACTTGCCAATTTAAGACTTAAATAAATCAAATTATTTGTAAGTTTCTTTTTTTTTAATTTGAGATGAATTGGGTTAGAATAATTTAATATTTTATTCGAGAGATTCATGAATTTAATTTATTTTAATTTAATTTTAAAATTTTAACATATATACATATAAATAAATAATAAATATTTAATATTTAATATCAATATTTATTATTTTATTGAATCTATTAAATTAAATCAAGTTTTTTAATTAAATTATTAATAAAATTCAATTGATTTCAATCAATTTTTAAAATTTCAAATTTCAAATTAAGTCAAATTAAAGTCTAATAACATCATTTATTATTGTCAGTTAAAAAGTTAATATAGTAGTCATGGAAGCAAATTCAAAATGGTACATACCTGATTAGATTTTATTGTACTTTAAATGTGGTATAATTTAATTTATTATATCATTAATTAAATTTAAATATTAATTTTAATAAAATTAAATTAACATAAAATTTTTTAATCATAATTATAATAATTTTTATTATTATTTTAAATCTCACAATAATTAATTTCACCTCCACTCAAATGGAGGGGATGTCGGCTTGTCTCCAAACGTTGAATACGATTTAAATGTTAACACCACTTACTCTAATTATAGGTTAAGGTGAGTAAAATCAAATCATACAAGTACCGAAATGAATTTGCACCTTAATTAATCTTGTTTTACAGTATCAAAATAAGTTGTCCCTAATTGTTGAATGCGACAGTTACATTCGATAGATAATTTTTTTTATAACAAATAAATAATAAAAAATTCATAAAAAGCCGAATACATTTATTAAACGGAATTTAAATTGATTAAAGAGGTAATAACAAACAAAAAGTCTTTTTTTCCATATTAAATTAGAAGAATGCGATGATTAATTTTTGTTAATGTTATATCTTCAAAATGGTTCAGTTTTGAATAATTGAATCCCCAATTTGTTTGAATTATTATTTTGAATATAAATTGATTAGTTAACAAAATTTAGAATAGCTACTGTTTTGTATCAGCAATTGATTAGAAAATCTATGGCAAAGGAAAACTCTAGGACTATATATGGCAATTGGCAAAGCATTACTTTTAGAAAATTTGGTAAATTATGCCATAATTAGCAGCCTTTTAAAATTTAAACAACTTTTGATAATGGAGTTGAAAAATAATTGTGTACCATCTTTTGATTGGATTTCAAGCATTTTCCTTACCAAACTTTCCAAGATACCGCACCCAATATTACTATTAAAGTTACAAACCCCTCAATTGTTTTTTAGATTAGAAAATAAAATCGCCCAAATTTTGGAAAAAATAGAAACAAAGTTAATTCTATTATTATATTGAAAAATCAAAATTAAAATTCAACTTTTTAAATAAGGAAAAAAAAAACATGTATCAATCATTAAAATATTTTGATGAAACAACCTTAAATCTTATTATATATTCTAAAATTAAGATGAAAGTATTAATTAATATTACAACGAACCAAAAACTGTAATATTAACAATTTATTTACTAACATTTAAAAATTAATATAAAAAAGTCATAATTTAATGATAAAAATAGATTTAAATATTAATATTTAAATCTTAAATTTATATGATTACCAAAATAAATTATATTGAATTTTGTATTAATAATTTTTTAAAAATAAAAGCAAACGGATAAGAAGAAAATGAGACTAATTAACTCCTAAATAATCAATACATTAACTGATTAAACTAGCATACGTTACGAGCGGGAAATTAAATTAAGGACAAAAAATACTTATGCAAGTAGTACTACGACCATGTCAGGCTCTGACACTACAACCCTATGCGGACCAAACCTTTTAAATATTTAATTAGTAATCGACATGCACTGCTTACAGGCAGTGGGAAAGGAAAGAAACGTGAAAAAAAAAAAAAGAAATTTTTAAATAGTACGTCTCTAATTTCCTGACAGCTGGCACGTCCTATCCTAATAAAGCGCGCACTTCAGAATTACAATCCTTTATTTTTCTCCGCCATATAAAAAATTAACTAATAAGATTGTTTCACGTGTACTGAACCATATCTGATTTGATGAGTTCTGAAAGTTATGCGGGGGAGGAGAATAGTGGAGAAGCATGAGAAATAACCGTCAGGTAAAAAACAGTTGACCCGGAGAGCAATTACAGTCCCTTCAACGGGGGCGTTATCTCTTTTCTTTCCTGTCTATATATACAAAAAAACATTCACATTTTTTTTGTAGAAAAAAAAAATCAGAGGCATATAGGGAGAGAAAGATGGCGAAAGTATCTTTGTATTAATGCAATCCAGATCCATAATTGTTTTTTTTTTGTTTTAGAGTTTGCTCTTTGAATAAATAGACGCATAGAAGAAGAGGAAGACAAAAAGAGCCAATTTGGGCTCTGAAATGTATATGCAGTTTATAGTTCTTCTGATGTTTGTTGCTGATCAAGAGAAATTCCAAGAAAGGGAGTGGGAAAAAGAGAGATAGACGAATTTCTTATCTGGGTTTGAACAAAATAAAACCTTTTTCTTAGGAATTTGTAGTTGTTTTCTTTCCGAAATTTTAGATGTTTTTGTGAGAAAAATGTTTTGTTCTTGATTATCTTGAGCTGAACTTCATTGGCGTTACTACTTTTGCAGGAGCACTCCAATGGCTGCAGCGGTTTTCAAAGACCCAAAGAAAACGCACAAAACCAACCAAAGCGAAGTTGAGATTGCAGAGTGTGATTGCTGCGGGTTAACTGAGGAGTGCACGCCAGCTTACATCGCTCGCGTACGTGAAAAGTATGAAGGGCGATGGCTTTGCGGGCTTTGTTCGGAGGCGGTTAAAGACGAGGCAGCTAGGTCGGAGGAAAATATAACAACTAACGAAGCATTGGATAGACACATGAAGTTTTGTGAGCAGTTCAAGTCTTCGAGTCCTCCAGCTAATCCTGCTGAGGATTTGATCTCAGCAATGAAACATCTGCTTCGAAGAACTTTGGATTCTCCAAGGAAGAATGGATCATCACCTACCTCGTTTGTTCGATCCAAAGATTGTTTTTCCACTCTGTGAAATGGAGAAGTTAAGAGTGAGATTTTAAGATGATCTATCTATATTGGATTTTGAATAAGGCAAGGTTTAACTTAGATAAGTCATGTTTTAGGTTTTTTTTTTTTTTTTTTTGTCATCTTCTTGACATAAGGGATTGGATGAATGAAACTGGAATCTTCCTTCATGTCCTTCAATAAAATGATCATCTTATCAAATTACAAATTTCTTGAAAGTCAGGTAAAAAGGGCATTCCTTTTACGAAAATTCTAGTTTTATAGAACTGTTTGATTGGTAGCTTTGCATTACATTTTGGGTGCCGTAGAGTATTACCATTTGTTCATATGTTCTTATCTGAAAGAGATTAATGCGTTTTCATGATGATCGGCAAGAAGTACTTCTTGATTGAAACATGTGCGCGGCCCACACATCTCAATACAATTTCCTCAAGGTTTTTTCTTGTTGTTTATTGGCTTTTCACATTGCAGAGATTATTATTCGTTTATTTGATATTATGTAACATTCTCCCCTTTGAGAGGATTAAGGGACAGGGTAAAAAAAAGACCCCAAGAGAAGTGTCTGTATTGCAGTTGCTTGGCACAACTGTGACAGTGGGGGGGGGGGGGGGTTCCTGTAAAAGATCCTAGAAAATTCTCTGGTGATGGCACTTGAGTACGTTGGACCTTAGACTGTGACCTCGTGAGGCCGCCCTTGGCAATTGTTCATGTGGTTGGTCGTTGCGCCATTGTTTTGGCATTAAAATCGTGGCTAGTTTTTGAGAATAAAAAGGTGGGGGACCAGATAGGAAAAGAACCTATTGGCCCCTTTGCTTTGTCAAGTTGAGTAGTGTGACGAAAAAAAGGACTAGGAATTCTTTGTTTCAGATCCAAAACTTCTCTAATACTATAGATATTTGGAATTGCCCTAGATTACAGATAATTCTCTCTCTCTCTCTCTCTTGAAGTGGATCTTTCAGCCCTACATTATCTAGGAAATTTGGCTATTGTTGGTTTATGCAAGGATTGTAATGGATACTAGCTATTTGGTTTCACTATGAGTAATGAGGGAAAGATTTGAGTGAAATTTTTTAGGTAAAATTCATAAAGTTTCTTACTAGTAACAATTAAAATTAAAATTAAAATCAAAAATAAAAATTGATAGATTGAAAGATATTGTTACATAAATTAAGTGTGCATAAATTTTAAAAATTTTAAAAATTTTTATATATATTTTTAGATAAACATTTTTAATAAAAATGTTTACATTTTTTTTATTATTGAATAGATATCGATTAAATTTGAATTATTAATAATATTTTTAATTATTTTTTTATATATTATTGATCTCCACATTAAATCGTATTAATCTACCGATTTGAATTTTTTATTAAAGATTTTATTAAATCATTTTTTTTTTTTAAATTCACAAACTTCACTTAAAAAATTTTATGTAAATTTTGTTCAAATAATGATTGGGGTAGTATTCTAAAGTTGGAAGTGTGTGCAATTCTTAATAGATTGCAAGTAGCATGAGAACATGGTTGTAGGTTTTTCAATATTGGAATCTTACATTCTCATGGAGATTCACAAATTAAATCAAGAATTTTAACTGAAAGATCTTCTCTATAGGAATTGTTTATTGGTCAAAAACTGTTAAGAAATTAGCATTTTCAAATTATTTTGTTTGGATAAACTAAAATTTTATTATCCAAAACTTATTTACAATATCTCCTTCAATCTGTCTAAGCCCGTGGAGCCCGTATCTTACCACTTCCTTCAGCATTTTCAAGTTGTTCATATTTACAAAGAAGTTCATTTTTGTACAAATTTATAAAAAAGTTAATTGGGCACATAGTGATTGCTTTTAAATTGATGAAATTGCATAATCCTTACAACGCTGTGTAGACTTAAGAAAGGCGATGAAATGTATTGCAGCTTAAATCTTATATTATTTAGGATACATATGAATGGACAATAATATTAATTCCGGTGAGATTAAAAGTAATGACGAAAGTGAAATTAATTACTGTAGTAGTAAAATTGAATATTATAATGATGAGATGTGTATTTGGATGTAAATGTAGAGATGATAAAGTGTAGTGGGAAGAAAATGATTATTATAGACATTAGATTAAAATTTAGAGTGTACATTTAATACTAATGAAATTAAAAAATTATTAAAAATTACTGAAATTATTTTATATCAAATAATATTTTTATTAATAAATTTAAAATTACTAAAAAAATAAAGAAACAAAAAAAAATGAAAAAGGAAAAGCTAAGTGGCATGGGATAAAAATATTTTAAATATATAATATATAGTATTTTAAATATATAATTATATAAATTTATATAATTATCTATTGTTTTTATATACAATTATACAAATTATTTATAATTATATAAACTTATTTAATATATTTATATAAATTTATAACAAATTATTTATTACTTAAATAATTAAATAATAAAATAAAATAAGAATGGGTGAAATTGGAAGATAACTGAGGTGGGAAAAATAAAATTTGCACTGGACTTTTCAGGGTCAAGTTGAAACTTTAATTCCAGTGCAATCAAATACTTTTAATTGGATTAGTGATGACATCCAAATGGATTTTCATCAAAATTTTTAAGTGTTGAACGCACCTCACCGGATCAACTGGTGATGCAAAGGAAGCTTTAAACGTTTTATCAGCTTTTACTTTCTAATCATCAAAGTTTGGGAAAAACAGATTGCATTATTCTCGATTCAGAGGAAAATGTGTTGTACCCTTGTAAGACCATGCATTCGAACCAACAAAAATCATCGAATTTGATTCCAAAACCACTTTGATCAAAGCAAACGAACTGCCTGCCTGATTTAACCAAATAAATCCTTGGTGTGGGCTTTTGCTTTGCATTCCCTGGAAAGAAAAAAGTTCCAAAGAGGAGATAAGGTTCTTTGCGGTGCACACGCCACTCTTTTCACTTTATGTCCAAGTATTTACACAGCTGCCACTCAACGTTGGAAAAGTTAACTTTTATTTTCTTTTATTTTTCATGTCAAGAAAACAAATGGAAAAAGATTGATATGCATTGCCATCCAAATTCGTCAGTGGTTTGCAAAATCCACAATTCTCTAACGATTATCAGCTCCTTCATTAGAATAACTGACAATCCCCAAGAAAGTAAAAGGGAAAATGGACGTTAATTTCTTGCTATGGATTCATCTGAAAGCGATCCTGATCGTCTGCCGTCTGAATTAAACTTATAGCTAAAGACCAAGAGTACACGTCAAAACGGTTGGCGGCGAATCCACGTCTTTTCCAAAATTAATCATGAATGAATCGTTTCTCTTGTATAAATGTTACACCACAAACCCGACCACCCAAACCCAGCTAGCCTGCCCGACCTACACTTTCGTAAAAGAATAAAACATTTAATCCAAAAAGTAACAAGTGCTTTTTTTTTTTTCCATTAAAATCATTAAAATCCAAAAAAATGCTAATGAAGCAAAATGGTAAATATAACATCAAACAATGGCACTGTCCAAACATAATGTACGTATCTTATCCACAAACGTTGTACTACTCGAATTAAAGCGTCTTACAGTCTTGTTCCAAGTTGCAACATTTTTTTTAACGAACATAAATTCTTCAACTTTAATCTCTGTTTTATTCTGGGAAAATAAGAAAATTGATTGTACAGCAATTTTTCTCTATAACACAACGATCAGAAAAAAAAATGATGCACATGACCTTTTACTGGAGCCGACAGGCGACTCTCCTGTTCAGCTCCTGGCGGACGGATTCATGGCTGAGTTACGCATTGACTCTTCTGGCTTGTGTTTTGGCTTCTGCTTTTTACCAGGACCTGGAGAACGTAAGATATCGTGTCAGGCGGAGCGGGAAGCCCACGGAGGGGAAGGCGGAAGAGCCGTTGTTATTGCAGCCGAAGGGAGCTGGGGCTGGATATACAGGTAAGTTGTCGGTGGGGAAGATCGTGGGAGGGGTGCTTTTCGGGTTGAGCTCGGCTCTAGGGTATTTGTTGATGCTGGCGATTATGTCGTTTAACGGAGGCGTGTTTTTGGCTATTGTGTTGGGCTTAACGGTTGGGTTTTTGGTATTTAGGAGTGAGGACGAAGATGAAACTGCTGGTGCTAATAGCACTTGTGCTTGTGCCTAATGAAAGAAAGGGAAATTTATTTTTCCTTTTGTTTTTCTTGTTTTGGGGTTTGGGAGTTTGGGCTTTGTCTGATTCTGGGTTTGCATTAGATGACAATGGTATGTATTAATATGTAATCATCTGAGTCTAAGATACAAAGTCTATAATTGTTTCAAACTATGGTTTTTCTCCTTGTGATTGTTTTGGGGGAAATGTTTTACTGGAATTCTGCTGATTGATGATACAACTTGACCGGAAATGGGACAGAAATTTAATTTCAAATTCATTAATCTTGCTCTTAATAATAAGAAACTTTGAATTGTTTAAACTACCCAGCCACTCCCTATGACCTTGCAAGCCATTCAAGTCCAGTGCCTTGACAGCCATTGGCTGAGCCTATAATCCAGGTATAAGCTTGTCATCAACATAACCCTTGTCAACTGGTCCGACCTTCACCAAGCAGATTACACGGTGCGGTGTTATGAGTTATCAGTCTTAGCTCTGCCAAGGTAAACACGTGAAGATTTGAGCCAAGGAGAGAGGTTGAGAGATCATCGACAGAGAGCGGTGAGCTGGGATTGCTTACATCCGACAGCGATAGTCTCTGGAATTGACATGGCTTCAAAATCTTTTGGCCAGTGTCAGATGAGGAGGTCTTGCTCTTGTAACAGCTTAACACGAGAGATTTCCATGTAGCCTTCTTCAAAGGCATCTTATATATCAAACTTTCCTGATATCAAATTTGTAATAATTAGGTTTTTGCAGACCAAACAAAACAGTCCCTTTTGTATGCAGAAAAATTCAAGTGATACTCAAAGAAAAGAATCTAAGAAACGTGAAAGAAAATGAGAGAAAATGGAAATCTTTCCAGGGTCTAAGGACTTTTGTGAAGGCTTATGAGACTTTTATAGCATAGTTGATTAACTTACCTACTCCTCAATTATTTCTTTTTCTCGTATCTTTTTATGTGCAAAAAAAGATAAATATATTCTTCAAATACACAAGCAGCCTCTTTGTTTTGTGTCTCCATACCAGAATACCTCTTGACTTTCAACTTCAATCAAAAAATGGGAAAAAGAAAATTTGTTGTTATAAGCCTTAATCAAAAATAGTTTCCACAATTAGAAATATGCATGAATCTCCATTTAATCATTGCCCTCTTCCCTTTTCTTTTTAGTATTTGCTATCTATATATCAGTCATTTCATATATCTTTCAAGCACATTTTTCACTTTTTTTGGTGTCTAGATAAAATTGACAATTAAACATCACAGAGTTTAAAAATCAAAATTATAAAAAATAAGTGAAAAGTCATTTATTTTTAGTATTTGAAACGGTAAGAGATTAAATTTTGTTAGCGCCAAAGAATCCACTGGAAAAGTGGAATATATGTAATAATCACTAGATATTAATATTATACATGGCTGACTGTAGCTTTCATGGAGTTTTTTTTTCCCAAACTAAGGTATTAAAAAATCTTAATTTTTTGATAGAGGTACTTTAATTCTTATTTCCAGAAATGGAGTATTTTTTATATGTGAGCACCAAAAAAGTCACCCAAGTACTTCACTTCACCTTTCTTCTTAGATTTCTCCTTCATTCCTTCTCTCCCTCCTCAAAAAATAAACACTTTTCTTTCGAATTTGAGATATTAACAATGGACGACTGTTCCCCATTCTTCTTCTTCCGCTCTTCACTTTTGAGTTTCCCATATTTATTCAACATCCAAAGCTCTCTTCTTTATCATTTTTCCTATAAAATAATAAACAATTTTGTAATAATATAAACATCGATCCTCCCGTTTCATACAACCCTTCACACGAATCCCCAATTTTATCGGCAAGATGGAGTCCTCTCCTCAATCTTCTTCTAAAACTGAAACAAAATTGTTATAGTTTATTGAATATGGTACTTTTTCTGCAACTACTGTTGGGCTATAAAGTTAGTTCTAAGCAAACACAACGATTGGTTTACTTTGGGTATTATTTGGTTTTTGGCTTTTGTTATTTGTTTATTACTTCCAGAAGCTTATTACTATAGTCAACAACACCATGTACTCCTCTATTAGCTCTGCTACAATTGCCACCAGAATCATCTTTTCAATTTGTATTAGGCTAAAGTTTTGAAAGCTTGAGATCAACAATTTAACAAATCCAAATCAAATAACGAAGTCAATCACCTTTAAAATATTTATATATATGGTGAAAATTTGGTGGGTCAGGAGAAGAAGGTGTGGATGTTTATAAAGAAAAGATGGAGTGTGATCTGGTAGAGTGGAGTAATCGGTCAGAGGGATCTAGAGAAATTGGATCTACATATACTACAAGACTGGTTTTTTTTTTTTTTTTTGTCACATAGATAATTAGATAATGATGTGGCAATGACGTAGGATATGTTCCTTGTTTATAGAAAAAAAATTAAAAGAACGATTATTTGCACCCCCACATTCTTCTCTTCACACCCTAGTTTTTTTTTTTTAAATAAAATTATTTAATTACTCTTTCTCTTTTGAATAAGTTTTTGAAAATAAATTTTTAAAAAATTTTAAAGACTTCCGAAAATAAATTTTTAAAAATTTTTAAAGATTTTCAAAAATAAATTTTTGAAAAATCTTAAAAGCTTCAAAAAAATATATTTTTGGAACTTTTAAGATTTTTTGAAAATTCATTTTCAAATGTTCTTAAACGTATCAAAATATTTCAATACGAAATATTACAAAATTAAATATGAAATCAAATAAAAAAAATAGAAAGAACATATGATTTGAAAATTTTAAATGTAAAAAAAACTTAAAAATTTCACCCATTTAAAGTAAAAAAAGTATAAAATAAAAGTAAATTACTTGTTCTTTTTACTTGTATTCTATTTCGTATTTAATTTCATAAAATTTTATATCGACATGTTTTTGCGCGATTCGAAACTTTTAAAAGTACATTCGAAAGATTTTAAAAACTTTCAAAAATTAATTTTTGAAAATTTTTAAAAGTTTTCATAAATTAATTTTTGAAAATTTATTTGATAGAGAAAAGATAATTAAATAATTTTATTTATAAAAAATTTTAAAGCAAAAAATTAGAGTGTAAAAAAAAAAAGGATGGGGTGCATTTTGCAACATTCAAGATTAAAAATTCTCTTAATTAAGAAAAAAAAAATTATAAGTGTCCTACTGTCAGAAAAAACTCAGCTTTCATGGGTGCCCAAGCATTTTGGATTAGGTTGAGGATTACGGTCGACTTAACTTAAAAACTTGACAAATTAAATAAAATATGCAACAAAAGGATACGGTGACAATCATTAGATTATTTCAAAACATGACTTCATGTTGATAAGATAAATAAATAAATAAATAAATAATGAAAAGAACATGTTAGGCAATACAACTCTTAGTCACGAGGCAAATTTTGAGAGTTAAAATTTTTGTTAGATAAGATAATTACAAGCTTTGACCCTGTCTCACGTTTTCTTTTCCTACAACAATAGTATAGCTATGGCTTTAAGGTAGTTGTTTAATGCAAATAACTCATGCAACTCATTTCCCAGTATATCTTGCATTTTGTTTAAAAATGTCAAAAGGAAAGGATGAACGAATCAATCTATCTGCAACCAGCTTTTTTTTTTGTTTGTCTCGCGTAGAAAAAAGAAAGACATAAATTTAAACCAAAAATTAAAGGTAGAAATATAGCATTAAACTTGTCGATCCGAAATTTCGAATGCCAAATTCATAAACATGCCAAACTTTTTGTTTTTGCAGAGTGTTGGTTTTGTTGAGATTAATGTTAAAAAAAACACTGGAGGACACCTTGGCCGCCGGAGAGCCACGATGGAGGCGGCTTTTATCATAAGAAGATTTGACCAAATATCATATGATTTAAGTGAAATAAAGACAAAAATGCTGATAATTACATCTTTTGCTTTTGGTTTTCGTTGTATGATTTCATTGGAGATTTCATCAACGGATAAGGTCGATAAATGCCAAAAAAGTCTGTATCACATGTTTATCAGGCCATCTATTTGACAAAACATTCTTAATCACTGAATTGAGGGAGGAGCCTCCTTGGTCAAATCTGCTCCGCATAATTATTATTTCATTTTCTCCTATCGTTTTCTATGAATGGAAAATCAGGGTTGTAGTTGTTGGTATCTACAATTCTACAACACCTAAATTTTGGGGTTGTAACCAACGAAGAGATTGAATTTTAGGTAATTTTTTAATTTTCTTGTAGGGGTTAGCGGGCTAATTTGTTACCTCATCTTCCTTATAAATGCTAGAAAGGGAAAAGAAATACCAGTGGATAATTAAATATAAATTGAAAATGCTTGAGAAAAGTAAAACAGAGAAAATAAATTAACAAAAGTTATCTAAACCTTTTATGAGCCATTGGGCTTTATCCCATGGTTCATGTAGTCCATTGCCAAGTTACAAACCTACGCTGTGCCTTCTCCTGAAGGTTTTCAAAATATGATTATCATTGAATTATATTTTAATGAAAAAATTTATATCTCTTGATTCAAAGAATCTTCTTAGACTGAATGGAATCATGAACTATGTAGTTTGAGAATGGGAATGAATATTGATAATTTTGCTTTCTCGAGCAAGAAAAATAAAAGTAGAAAATTAGCACCAAAAAATTTAAAAAAAATTCTCATTTTAAATTACCCAGTGGACAAACTGACAAAGCCATTGATTTTCATCCAAGAAAAACCCAAGAAAAATGGGTTTTCTTTTTAGAATAATCAATAAAAGTCCATTTCTTTGGTCAACATGTGGGAAGATATTCGAGACTGTCTGAACAGAGAGAATCAGAGGGAAAAGCAAAGGAAAAAGCAATGCAGTAGCTGCAGCAGCAGAGTCCAGTCCAAGAGCGTATATGTATTTTCCCAAGACACCCATTCCGGACTTTCTGTCATAGTATATATATAAAATACAAAAAGAAAAAAAAAAAAAAGTATATTCTACTACTATAAATAAAGTTTTTTATTGTATGAAAGTACACATCTTTCTAACTTTGACCGAAGAAAGACAGAAAGAAACGGCAGCCAAAGGCAATGCCCTTGCAGCTTACGGCGCTCTTTCTCTCTTCCTTGCTTCTTCGTCTCTCTTCTTCCTGGCTTTCTTCTCTTAAATCTCTCTTTTTTGTTTTTGATTTATATTCACAACTTTTACGCTCAAACAAAGTTTCAGACATTGTTTTTTATTACTACTAATACGATAACTTATCCATACTTAGCAAAAAAAAAAAAAAAAGACAAAGCAAAAGCTTTTCTTTTTAACTCTCTCTATCTGTTTGCCTGCCCTGCTCTCTTCTGCCTCAATTGTCCAAATCTAAAACCAACCCTTTTACTGAATTAACCTAACCAGACCCTTGTCTTGTTTTTGGGTAAGTTTCTTTTTTTTTTTTTTGGTATTTTGTTGATGTTGCAATCTTTTTTTTTTTTTTTCTTTAGATCTTTTGGCTTCTTTGGCTTGAATTTGGAGATCTCTGTGTTGGTTTTGTGGTGATTAGATCAGGAGGATTTTAGCTGTGCTCATTTGGCTTTTTATTGTTTTAGCATTTTGGGTTTTCTTTCTCTAGCAACTGTGCTTTTTGCTGTTTCTTTGAAGTTAACGTTTTCTGGTAATCTGAAATGGTGAACAGCAAAGATTTGTAGTTTTTGCTGAATTTGTGGGTTGTGAAGTGCACTGAGAGTGTAATTTTAGTTTGTTTGATAAAATTGAGCGCTTTATTTTGTATAATTTGATTTCATGAAAATGTTGGCGAGGCATGATAATTATGCTTTGAAGAAGGGTGGTAAAGTCCCAAACTTCGTAAACATCTAAAGGAGGGTATATTGATTGTATGGGTAAATGGCGAATACAGAAATGGACATTCATGTATGTTGTATTAATTGTTCTCTACGACGCCGACATGTGTCTTGGCTGTCATGTTCCCATTAAGTTTGTAGATTCACGTGAGGTGACATGGAATTTGATCGCTGATTTGTAGTCTTAACTCTGAGTGGGAATTTAATCAAATATGATCTACTATATCTATGTTTCTGCCTTCTTTTTTTAAAAATGTTTTGGCTGCTGATCAAATGAGTTTGTTTATAACTAGATTTTAGGCAATTTAATCCATGTTTGCGGGACTAGAATTTTCTTATGATTTGTGTTTTAGTGTAGCTAGAACTTCCTGATGTTTGTTTAAGTAATTTCTTGAATTTTGATTTGAGGATCTCTTTTAGGGGAGATGTCTGTAATCATTGTTAGCTTTCTGCATAAGTTGGCGTAAATACATTATAGCAAATACTGTAGGAGGCAAGGGAACATTAGAAGCCTTTTGGTGCTTGATTCATGCATCTTCTATGCTGTCTACTGTTCTAGAGAATATGGGCTTACTCTGCAGCAAGAACCGTCACTATACTGAAGCAGATGCTGAGGAGAACGCACAGGTGGACTACAGTTTACATACATAGTCTCTCACCCTTCTGTGGAGTACAACTGGGTGAACTCTCTGGATATGGCTTTATTCAGATGATATGTAAGTTTTGTTTAATTTCTAGTTTATGCATTTACAGGCTGCAGAAATTGAAAGGAGAATTGAACAAGAAACAAAGGCTGAAAAGCATATCCAGAAGCTTCTACTACTTGGTGTGTACAATTTTTTGTGTTCCTTGTTGCCTAATTTGTTTGCAGATAAAGAGTAATGTACTTTCATATTTGACTCTGTTAACTTCTCATTCTTATATTTGAATGGCTGAAGACATCAAAATGGAATCATTCACAGTGTCTATTCAGCATTATCCAAATTTTATGGGAATGAAATGATTATAGTAAATGTTGTGAGCGTTTATTTGTTTGTGTATGGAAAATGTTCATGTTTGGTTGTGGTCATTGGGGACTTGGATATGCATATGGGTGTTATCAAGTACTTCCATTTAATTGTTTGTAATGATGGACTACATTGCACTATTTTCATTTGTTTTTGGGCAAAGACTTTGGTGAGTAGTAACACTTAGAATTGCTATGGGTTTCTCAGATGGGAATTAGGTGCTTAATATACTTCCTCCTCCTAGCTTAGAAATGTTTGATCAGTTATTTCTTAACACTTGAGATAAGCAGTTGAGCACCCTAAACTGTTCTTACTGATTTGCTGCAATGCTTTTGTTTTCCTTTCTTTTGTTCCTGTTCTTTCAATGCTTGCAACTCTCTGAACCCCTCCCCCTTCTCTTTTTTGGGTTGCTCCATAAATGATTCAAATGTTCTTTTGTTTTCAAGGTGCTGGTGAATCTGGGAAGTCAACAATTTTTAAGCAGGTACAACAGATTGATTGGCCCTTTATGGTATTTCACATTTATTGACAATGCTCATATGTGTATATTCTTTTTGTTCTACATGACTTGTCTGCAGATAAAACTTCTGTTCCAAACTGGCTTTGACGAGGCAGAGCTAAAGAGCTATATCTCAGTCATCCATGCTAACATCTATCAGACTATAAAAGTACGCAAAACCTGAAAAGGGTGTGTTGGTTATTTCCCTTTTGTATAATATAAGTATCTAATGGTGCCTGGTGTCAGTTATCTATGATGAGAAATTTTATTTCTGTTATGAGATGAGCTTTTATCCATGTTTAAAAATTGTGCTTTTATATGGTTCAACAGGTATTATATGATGGATCAAAGGAGTTTGCTCAAAATGATTCAGATTCTTCCAAATATGTTTTATCATGTGAAAATAAGGTTTGAAGTCATCATTTTTCTGCTACACTGTATTTGTAAAGTTTTTTAAATTGCATTCTGATTGCTTTCTTTCTTTTTTTTTGAATAAATCATTTTTTTTAGCTTTGTTCAATATATTACTTTAACTTTCTATTGTCTATCAGGTAATTGGAGAGAAACTATCTGAAATTGGAAGCAGGCTGGATTGTCCACGTCTAAGTAGAGAACTTGCACAGGAGATAGAAACTCTCTGGAAAGATTCTGCAATTCAGGTGACTGCTTCTTTATCTATAGATGATACAAGATGATTTTGCATGGCTTCATTTATTAGTTTTGCATTTTTAGTGTTCTTATTTTTTTATTGGGGGTGTGGAATTTACTGAACCTGTTGAAATGAGAAGGCTTTTTTTTATGGTGCATTTTAGTACTTATTCACTCCGTGTACTTGTAGGAAACCTATGCTCATGGTAATGAACTTCAAGTTCCCGATTGTGCAAGTTACTTCATGGAAAATTTGCAACGGTTTTCTGATGCAAATTATATTCCAACAAAGGTATCTAAAATTTGCGATAATTCCTTCTTACTGAAGTTTTGGTGGATGTATACATCCTGCTCACCAGAGAAATTATCATATGTATGAAATAATACCTCTCAATATGATGAATGTGCATGATTCAGCAAATATTGAAAATGAAAATTTTTATGTGCCTGTCTGGAATCTGGATCTATGTTAACTTATTTAGCATGCAAGCTGTCGGTCACGTTGCATTATAGCTTCTCTTCTAAAGTTATTTCTCAAAAGTGTATAAATATATATTTCAGAATTTCTAACTCTGCCCATCAGCTTCCTAATCTGTTTTCATATTGCAGGAGGATGTTCTATATGCGAGAGTTCGTACAACTGGTGTTGTAGAAATCCAGTTCAGGTGAATTATATTTCTTCCTAAACTCTCCTTTGACTGTGCAAGTGCATTAATGTAAGAACTAGGTTAGCCTAATAAATGAATCTGTGCTTTTACCTTCTAGACATACGATTTACTTATTTCAGGTTTATATACTTATATAGATAAAATTCAAATAGGTACTTAATTAGGTATTTATGTTTGACATGATCTTTGCACATTATAATTTTGGTAAGGTGACTTAAATCAATCTTTAGATCATTAGATGCAGTATCATTTTCCATCTGCATTTACTTTGTTTAGTATATTGATTGGTAACTCATGTTGTCTGTGACCTCTGCAGCCCTGTGGGGGAGAATAAGAGAAGTGGTGAAGTATACAGACTCTTTGATGTGGGAGGCCAAAGAAATGAGAGAAGGAAATGGATCCATCTTTTTGAAGGAGTTACAGCTGTTATCTTTTGTGCTGCTATTAGCGAGTAAGATCCTTTCGCTTTTGCCATCTGTAAATTCCCTTTTGTTTGTATGCCTTACGATATGATGTGGTTTCCATATCCAGAGCATGATGTGAAATTTTATCCTGGTAATTATTGCTGTTTTAGGTATGATCAAACTCTCTTTGAGGATGAACAGAAGAACCGGATGATGGAGACAAAAGAACTATTTGATTGGGTCTTAAAGCAACCATGCTTTGAGGTTTTTTTATTCTATATATGCTCTTTGTAATTGTAGAAAATTGATGATAGTTCAGCTGGAATTCCTCCTGATATAAAAAACTTGTTTGTTTTGTGCAGAAAACGTCCTTCATGCTGTTTCTAAACAAATTTGACATATTTGAGAAGAAGGTTCTAAAAGTAAGGCCAGTAGAACGATATACATATATTGGATGTTGAAAATTTAGCATCAGTATGGTCTTTTAAGTTTCTACATTCTGTAGGTTCCACTAAATGTATGCGAGTGGTTCAAAGATTACCAACCAGTTTCTACAGGGAAACAAGAGATTGAGCATGCATATGAGTAAGCAATTTATCTTTTCCCATCATTGCCAAGGAATTTTCATCTTATGGCCAATTTGTTATTCTCTTTCTATTCAGATTTGTAAAGAAGAAATTCGAGGAGTTGTATTTTAAAAGCACGGCCCCTGATCGAGTGGATCGGGTCTTCAAGATTTACAGAACCAGTGCCCTTGACCAGAAGCTTGTGAAGAAAACTTTCAAGCTCGTGGACGAGACTTTGAGGCGAAGAAATCTCTTCGAAGCTGGGTTGTTGTGACCGCAGCAACCCAATTGCAAAGACTGTTCATAACATGAAGAATGTGATAAGATTTTGGATGCTTTAAGGTTAAAAGGTCATTTTTTTTTTTGTTTTCCTTTTTCTAGAAAAAACCCAATGATTTTAGAGACTGATTTGTTCAGAGCAAAACATTCCCCCGAGATTGTTTTTTCTTGTCTGTTTCTTTCGTTCTTTCGGGGTGGGGGATGGGATCAGACATTTGAAGGAACAATGAACATGATATTCTTTCTATCCTAGTAATACAACTCATTGTTTATAATATACTAATATTTGTAATTACAGGAATGTTTCCCGCATGTTGTGACGGTAAATCTGATAATTTGTGTTTTTTTGTCGTGTAAAAAAAAAAATACTTGGATTAATATTATATATTATATGAAATTTGTATGTGATAATTTACGTGGGTATAAAAAATATAAAATAAATTTTTTATTTCAGTTAAACCTAAACCTATACATGTTTTGGCTATAATTTTAATTTATTTATTTTATATATTTTTCATATTGTGTCATGTATTAATTATTTAATATAAAATTTTTATTTTATCATATATTTATCATATTTTTGTTTTGCAAAAAAAAATTTTGAGTTATTAAAAAATAAAATTTTAAAAATTATTTATTAAATAAAAAAAATACCAAAAAGTATTAAAATTTGAAAAAAAACATGCGACATATTTTTCATATGAACAAAAAAATTCTAAATATATATTAAACATTGATATCAAGTGGATCCATAAAAATATATATTAAATATTTTTTAAAAAAAGTGCAGCACAAAGATTACAAAAAAAAAAAAAAAAAAAAACGAATCTCACACAAAATATAATAAAAAATTAGATCAGACGTTAAAAAAAATTATGAATCATTAAAAATATTAAAAACTGAAATAAAATAAAAATAAAAACTCAAAACCATAAGTGGGTGCCATTACGTGATATACTTTTAATATTAAATAAGTTACTAAAAAAATAAAAGCTAAAAATTATTTATTGAATTTATAAAAGAAAAAAAAGAAAATGAGAAAAAATTAAAAAAAAAATGGCATATTTTAATATCAAATGGGTCTAAAAATAGACAAAAATTACATGAAGTTTTTTATGGGACATTTGTGAATTTTTTAAAATGATTTAATAAAAATTTTAATAAAAAATTCAAACTAAAAATTTAATAGAATTTGATATGAAAATTAATAATATATAATAAAATTATTTAAAATATTATTTATAATTCAAATTTAATTCATACTTATTTGACGATAAAAATTTTAATATTTTTATTAAAAATATTTATTTAAAAATTTATATATATATAAATTTATTAAATTTTTTTCAAAATTTATACACTTAATCGATATAATAAAATATTTTAATCTATTGATTTTGATTTTAATTGTTAATTTTTATTTAATTAACTTTCGTTTATGAACTTCAAAAGTACTTTGCTTAAGTTTTCCCTTTAAAAATATATAAAACATCAATTAAGTTTTTTTTCTAAAAAAAAAGAAAAAATTTAGTATCAAGTGGGTAACAAAATTATATATTAAATATTTTAAAAATAAAAAACACGCGACAAAAAAAAAAAAGACGAATCTCACGTACAAATAAAAAATTAGAGCACATAGTTAAAAAAAAATCAGGAATCATTAAAAAAATAAAACAAACAGTGGATCCTACAAAATAATAATGGACCATTAAAATATATATATATATATATTTATAGATTTTTATAGACACCACCAAAAATAATGGGTCCCACATAAAATAATATATTTATAATAAAATATAAAAAATAAAAAGTATGCATAAAATATAAATAAATAAATAATTTTAAAAATAAATAAAAATAAAAGAAAAGGCATCAGCTCTATTGTAAAAAGGTTTTTTAAAAATAAAATATATAAAAAAAGCCAACAAAAAAAGAATCCTATAATAAAGCTGAAAGCCCCACTGAATTTGTTTTTATAATGAATCATATAATAAAAAACAAAGAAATGAGTAGTCCCACTTTAAAAAAAAAAAAAGTGAAGAGCCGAGGTGTGATCTATACGGTGCCAATCGATTCGCAATATTTATATAGTTGATATAAAATGTAAAAAAATATAAAACATAAAAAAAAATCTTATTAAGGAAAAAAATAGATCCCATCCTTCTACAATGGAAAGTATTGAAAAAATAAATTTATAATATTAAATATTTAAAAAATAAAAACATTAAAATATTAAAAACAGTAAAAACAGAATAAATCAAACTTGACAGTAATAAAATTAATTTAATAATTATTATATATTAAAAATTAAAAAATATATAAAACATAAAAAAAGTTGGTCCACAAAAAAGTTAAAGAAACCTACTTTAAAAAATTAAATTAATAATTTAAAAAACAAAAAAAAAAGAAAATTGGTCTCACACAAAAAAGTGATTTAATAATTTAATAATAATAATAACTAAAAAAGCAAAAGAAAAAAGAAAAAGAAAAATGATATGTGACAGCGTAGTGCTGTGGTATATCGTAAAATTCATAAAAAAGATTCTCGTCCCGTCTTAGTGGGAAATTGGCTCTAACCTTCCAACCAAAATCTGCTGACGTCATGCCAGTATTATTCTGTCGTTAATAATTTTTTTTTTTGGTTCAATGAAAAAAAAAAAAGGAGGTTTTGTTCGAAATTAAATTTTTATATATTTTTTAAGGGTTTCTGTGATTATAAGATCACGAAGTGAAAGATTATTTTGTTGTTAATAATATTCCTTGAAGTCATACACCATTATGGATATAATTAATGTCATTACGTGTCAAACATTTTCAGCTTCTCATGCCAAACATGCGTTCCGTTCCCTTTCCTTCTCTTCAACTTTGTTTCGCATTTCACAATACAGTTCACAGCGGTCCAAGCTTTTGTTTTTTTTTTTCGATGTCTTGTACAATTAGCTATTTTTTAATTTACCTTCAATTTTCAAATCTTCTCAAATAGATTCATTTGTAGTAATAATTATCCTTCTTGAAGAGAACGAGCAAAAATTGATGTCTTGATTTAACATAAATAAGTTTGATTCTTTTTTTTTTTTCTAATTTTTTATTGAATAAAATTTTTAAATATTTTAAAATATCAAGCTCGTTTGATGTTATTATTATTATTAAATATACATATATTTCTTTATTTTTTAATGTAATAATTTTTTTACAAAAAATATTAGCAGAGGTATATATCACATCCAGATTTTTTTTTGTTTTTTAATTTTTTAAATCAATGATACAGTTTTTTTTTTAAAAAAAGCTCACTATCATTAATATCACACGTCCAACTCAATTTTTTTTTTTTTTGCTTTTCATTTTTTTTAAATTAAATTATTTTTTAAAAAAATCCAAAGAATATATACAAATGATACTCTATTTCATTTTTTATATTTTTTAATTAGATAAATTAAAAAAAAAATTGATCAATTTTTTTTATTAAAAAAATTTTAGATTAAAAAACTGATGTATCACATAAATTTTAATAATTTTGATTCCCCATAAAACATGCCATATGACAATCCCTTTGCCTTTACATTTTTATTTTCATTTATTTTTCTTTTTTATTTTAATTTATAATTTATCTTTTATTTCTCTATATATTTAATTAATTATCTCATTTTTAAAAAATCATATGCTGTCTATTTGATATTATCATTAAAAATTATTTTTTAAACTTTTTAAAATTTTCTTTATTATTTTTAATCAATTATATAAATCTTGTACATTTTGATTTTGTACAAAACCTTTCACGTGTCATTCCGATCCAATAAAAATTATATTATTTAAATCGAGATTGAATGGAAAGTGAGATAATTTTATATTTATATATATTAATTTTATATTTATATATATTTTTCACCATTTTTTTGTTAAAAATTATCTACTAAGTGAATCTCACATATAAAAAAGATAAAAAAATATTTTTTATAAAATATATTTTGTGAAAATATGAGATCAATTTATGTATTTCCATATCACTCTCATTTAAGAAATTTTATACCATTTGATTTTTTTTAAAATTAAATAAACTTTTCAAAAAAATGATAAATAAAAAGAATAAAAAAAATTTTTTTTCAACCACGCTAACACAGTAACATCCCACTACCAACTAATACAGAAAAATAACGCAAAAAAATTAGATTCGGTGTGGACGGTGACACTACGCATGTCTCAATTGCAAAAACATCCAAATGGTTGGTGGTGGAATTTGGTGACGAAAGCCACGAGTCACATACATTCAAGTACATTTCTACATCACAGCACTGGAGTGCAGAGGTGTACGGGCCCCGATGGTAAATAAAATATTCCCTAATTTTCACCAACCCAAAATATTCTTCCATTGCTTTCCAGTCTTCATAATTTTGTATTATTGCCCATGCGAGATTCATACTAGTTACGATGCAGTGGGGCCACACCTCCAGCGTCACGGAAAAGTTTTAAACAACGAAATAATAAAAATTTTTATTTTCCACTTTTGTCCTTCCAAAAATCTATGAATCACTACGACTTGTTCTTTTTATACTCCTTCTGCATTAGAGTCACACAGCATATTCCTTCCCCTCCATAAAAAAAACCCAAATCCTAACTTCCATTCGGTAATTCGAATCTCGTGATCTCTACATGCAAGTTTTTTTCTCGTAATTTCTGGTATGTTTTTATGTTTTATTCTCTTCCTAGCTACTTTCGACTTCTTTTTTCTTGTAAAATTTTTTCCACCAAAACGAAAGTTCTTTAACCGTGTTTAAACATTTTCTTTTCACCTTCTTTCTCGTAACTTTAATTGATCGATTCAATCTTGGTTGCATTTGAATTTGATGAATGTAGAGTTAAGCTTTTCTTCTGGTGATTGGCTATTTTTTTTTAAAAAAATAATGAATTTATTATCCAAGAAACAACAATAGCTACAGTATTCAACTTCTATACAAATATTTTTCTACGTAGCTCCCATTTCTCACTTAGCACTTGGTCATAACCTATGTTCTTTGGACCTACTAATACTTTTGCTACTTGCCCCAAGATCTGCTTGCATGTGCTTTCTTCTGATCTGAAAAGTCTTGTGTTGCTTTCTGCCCAAATCAAGTAAATATATGCTCCCCAGGCCAACCTCAATATAACTGAAACTAGTGCTTTCCCTTTCAGGCTGCATATTGCCCATTGGAACTCTTCCTCCCAGTTAGCTACCCCCTCTGCAGATTACATAACTATAGCACCTGTTTCCAGACAGCTTTGGAGTATGTACAGCTGAAGAAAATGTGACTCCTGCTCTCGCTTTCCTGTTTATATAACACACATCCCCAGGAATCCCCCATGAGATCAGCCTATCCTTAGTAAGGAACCTGTTAAGGATGGCCATCCAAGCTACTATAGAGCGTTTAGTGACACACAATGCCAGTGGAGTAGCTAGGGTCTTTTCATACTAGTCTATTCTCTGTTTGTGTTAGGAATCTGGAAGCAATACTCCTAAGCTTGAGCATCTTTTTCAATCCCCAGCTGTAGCTAGGGGAGATTGGAATCTCCCATATGCTTCTCCCCTTTAGCACATAACTTTGGCTTCGTTTTTTTTCCTTTATTTTTATTTTTCTAGGAACAAAGATTACCTCTTCTATTAATTATAAAAAGAAAAAACGAAAAGCTTTCACAGCATTGAATGATTTGCATGGATTATTTTACTTTTTTCTCGAATATAATTTTTTCTTTGTATTCTTAAATGGATCATAACTGAATTCTAATTGGATTATCATTTTTCTTTGTAGGTGAATTATTTAGAATTGGGCGGTGAACTTGAACAGCCAATTTGCCCAGCTCAGAAAAGGTTAAGGTTTCGTAATTTGGAATTTAGCGGAAGTCTGAAATATGTGGATTAATTGGTTGTTTTTCATGGATTAGGTTGGAGGAGGGTCTCCATATATTTTTCCAATAGAGCCGTTTATATCTAATGGTTTGGGAGCTCATTTGTTTTCACAGTTTAGTTCATTGGTTGACAGCTCTTTGTACATTTCTAAATACTTGCATGAACCTGGTAGTCTTGCATTTCGAGAAGCTTTTAGTTGCATGTCCAAGTTTGCGAATGCATTACTGTTTTGGTTCTCTAGTACTTCGACTTCGAATTTGAGTAGGGATATCTCGGTTGGTAATCAACGTGGTTTGAAATCTGGAGGTTGTAGGTCTTCAGCTCAGGTTAAGCACATTGCTTCTTGTAAGAATAATCTTGCTGGATTTCACTTTGCTTCTGAATCAAGAGGACAATCTGCCACCCCACTTGTTTTGGATAAAATTTCAAGTTATGCAATGAAACACTTCCTTGGAGAAGCGGAAGCTCTCCACTCCTCTCTTCTGTTGTCATTAGCTGCTGCTCTCATACCACCATTTGATAACTTGTAAGGCTTTTTATCTCCCAAATTACATTTTCTTTATCTTTCTGCATCGTGTTTGTCTAGTCAATTGGTTTCTCATTCTTTAAGCCATTTGATTTAATGTGATCAGATCTTCGAAGTTACTAGCTGTTCTCCTGGAAAACACAAAAGTTGAAATGCAAGAGTGCATGGATCGAAGGATTTGTCAAGTTGGGATTCTCATAGGCACCTTTGTTGAAATTTTAAACGAACTGATTTTAAGGTTTTCCATAGGTTAGGCATGGGATTCGCATCGAAAAACGTCATCGGGCCAACTTGAATAGTCACAATGGGAATGCACATCACTTTAACATAATCTGGCCATCTTTGACATGTTGGGGTTTTCTGGTTTCTTCTTCCAATAACTTAAACAATGTCTCAATGCTTTCATGTGCTTGTTGCTACTGGATGAAGAACCATGAAGATAATCAAAATTAAGTCTCTGAATGTGTATGCATTTGGTTTTTGTAAGTACTTGTGGATTTTGCTTCATTCCTCCTACATTATTTTATAACGTGATGCAGTTTTCCTAATGCTTCAACTACTCGTTCTTGACTTTCCTTTTTCCCGTCATAGATATTCATCCATACTCTTTGTGTCAGAAATTGTTTCCAAAGTGTGCTTCTATGCCAGTGGGTGAACTGAACAATAACAATGATTTTTACCAGGATCTTCTTAGGTACTTGAAAATTTTCTTGCTGAAGACACAGTTTAGTTTACTTAAAAATTTTACCTACTGCCAAATGCCAATCAGGGCTTTTTAAGGACTTGGAACATTCATAAGCTGTTTTTTCAAAGTCATGAGTGTGGACAGATTTTAGGTTCACTCTTTTGTTCTTTTCCCTTTTTGTTTTTTTACACACTTTGATGTAATTTCTGTATCCATTTTCTTACGAATCTTTTTCTCTACGAGTGTGCAGGGAGGATATACGAGTGTGAAGTGTCCAGTACAAATCTCACCAATATTTTCTACTTTGTGAAACACTGTTACAAGTATACATACACTTGTCTTATAGTGAAAGAAATATTTGTGCAGTTGGAAGTAACCAGATTGGAGTGGTCTATAGCAAGGATTTGTGCAATAAGTAAATCTCCTTTGTCTTAGCATGTCTTTATACTGTAGACTACAATTTTAACTACAAAGGGTTGAGATCCTGATATGGGTTGTATGTATGCCAGGGGCTTTCTTTGACATGTACATTGGAGATGTCCAAGTGTCAGAGCAAACAAAAGAAGACATTGGTCAAAATGTTGCAAGCATTATAAGAAGATACTGAGATGGCTTGTTTTCCATCACCATTATCTCAATTTTTAAATGAACGAATGAATGCTGGTATGAGGACCTCAACCTTTCCTGGATGTTAATACCGTACTTCCGAGCGGTGGCTGATGACCACAAAAGGGCAATCAGAAAATTCAGGACAAACCTTTCGATGGTTTGGCTAGCAAATCATACAATTTCGGATAGTTTTAACTAGGTCAAATTGTACTAATCCTCCTTTGTATGAAATGGTAAATTTAGTCTTTACTAATTAATCTATCAAAATTGAATCCTTAAACTTTTATAAATTATTTAAATTACTAAATTAAGTCCAATCGAAAACGGAATTAAATGCTTGCCACTAATATTGTTTATGTGGATGTCGACTGTGATGGTCTGGTATTGACCAATCTGATATGGTATTTTTAAAAAATTTTTCTAAATTAAAATTGATGACAGAATTTTATTTTGGACACGTGAAAAATTTTAGTCATTTTACATAAAAAAAAAACCTGGTGTATTGTTCATCCAGAATTCAGAACGCAATCAAGCCCTTACTTCGGTGGGATAAGAATAAATAATTTTATATATACTTTTCAACCAAGACTTTAACCTTTTCATTCGTCAATCCAAAACACTTATTCCATGGCACAAATTTCAGTGATTCAAACCAACAAAAGGGTGTCAAGAATAAAGCAAATGAGAGGGGTTTACAAAATCAACTATTAAAAAACAATTTCCAAAAATTCAAAACAAAAGTTTAAAATTTGAAAATGAAAGTTTGTTGACGATATATGGGTTTCAGCTAGAAAGAGAAGAATGCAATGAAAAAGAACAGGGAGTCTCAGCTTGAGGAAGATCTGGTCCGCCATCAAAAACCCAATACCATTTCTCGACAGAAAACAGAGCGGCCCTGCTTTTATCCCTTGGAGCTTCTACCAAGGCCTCTCAAAACCTTCTTTTCTCCTAATTTTCCCCCTTTGAATTGGTATAGATATTGAATTATTTTGAATGATTTACTCCTTCATTCGTTTTTTTTTTCTTCATATCTTCATCAAGAAATAAACATACAAAAGAGACACGACTCCAATGTTTCTATTTATATATTTTTTATTTGCATGCTTGTTAATTTTGTTAATTAGTTGTGTAGTTTTCTATTTACTGCTGGTGCAGCTTGTCGGAGCCCCTGAGGATATTACGATGCAGGAGATAATATGAATTATGGAATGCCCACAGTTACCACCCTGGCATGGTCGGCTATTGCTTATAGTTGCGAGCTGCCTATTTGCTGGCGAGTTGGGAAGTGTTCGTGCGCCTATTCATCGGGGCACCGATTATTTTCTAAAAGCCCCTTCTAGACGTAAAAGAGTTTCCGTGCAGGTGAAGTAATTAAGATCCCAATTTCTGTAGTCGATTACCATATAGTTTTACTTTATCTATCATTGCATTTGTTTCTTCTATGTTGGGCTTTTGAAAGGTTGATGACCCTGTAAAAGACCATGAACATTGGGTAAGACCAGAGAATATGAAGAAACCAAGAACTGTCCTGCAAATCAATGAGAGTACCCTTGGAACAGAGATTGCAGCTCAAACTTCAGCCACAATGGCTGCCTCTTGTTTGTTTTTAGACACATTGATCATCCCTATGCACGTCGTCTTCTTAACAAAGCCAAACTGTTGTAACGTCTTCGCTTGGGATTGGTTGAGGTCAATAAATTTTTTGAAGTGTATTATAAAGATAGAATTAAAGATATTTCAATGTATTATATTTGTATTTATATATCAAATAAAAAAAATTGAAAGTTATTATGAGTAAAAAATTTATACGATAACAGACTCTTTGAAAATCTAACGTATAAAACAACCCACATTCTCTCACACCTCGAAGTCCACTAAACCCCAAAAAATAATAGTTGTTATGTGTAAAAAGCTTATCTATATTCCCTCACATTTCAAAGACCACTAAATCTCAAAAAAAAAAAAAAAAAACACTGTCATGTGTGAAAGGTTTATAGAACTCTTTTATAGATAGTGGTATAGTGATTGCATTTTTGTTGTTTAATTGGAAGTTTTGGACATTAAAAGTTTTGTTTTTGGTTTTTTTTTTTCGCAGCTTTTCCAATTTGCTAAATCACACAAGTGAACTTACGATGGAGAATGCCCCTTCTATTACTCTTACGACGGAGAATGGCCCATAAATTTGTCTTCAATAAAAGACAGTCTTGGCCCATCAACTATCATTCTTTCGATCGCCCAAATACTGGGTTCCTGATGAGCCGAAACCATCTCAACTACATTCTTAGACTTCGGCTGGCCAGGCTAGGTTTTTTTGGGTCAGAAGCCTGACTGGCTTTTGGTACATCTGATCTTGTAACAAAAGAAGGCCATTCAGCATCACCAGGCATGAGATTTAACATACAGACTATCTGATTTTTTTTTTAATTATATGCTATTTTGATCTCAAACCCTGATGATAATTTGCAATCAGGCAGAAATGAATGAGGGTGGATTTTTTTGATGATAGAAAAACGAATATGGAATCAATTGATGTAGTGAACTTGATCACGTATTCTTTTTCTCCATGGTGAAACGTTTTCATGGGTGCGGAAAATGCGAGATGAGCTGTCGTGGGCAGAAGCACGGCTACACACCGTTAAAAATAATGTTTCAAATCATATAGTAAATTTATTTGAAATTAATTAAATATTATTTAAAAATAAATTTAAATAATTTTTTTTTTTTAGTAATATCTTATTCAACCTGAAATTTTTTTTTTTTTATAAAAAAATTCACCTTATAAGATCGAATCGAGTCAGAATCCATCAGGCCTGGATTAGGCTGTCACCCATGATGTATAGAAGTAAATTAAAAAAAATTAAAAAAATTTACATATGATGAATGAATACATATGAATATGTGTTTGTTTATATTAAAAGAGTATATATTAATATATGTTTGTTTAAATTAAAAATATTTTATAAAATTAAAAAAGATTGAAAGAATTTATAAATATTAATTATGAGTATTTAATTTAATTTATATGTTTATAATTTTTTATAATTAATAAATCTTATTTTTTATTTATAAACATAAATTGATTGAATTAAATTAAATTAAATTATTATTTTTTATATATTTAATTATTAATTATTTAATTATGGTTTAGGATTTTTTTTTACCCAACAGACACTTCCACCCATAAGCCCACGCATGTGGAGTACATCACAGAAGAAGCAGTTAGTGCAGTTCTCGATGAGTTCAATTGGGACCTTAAATATGCTGGAATCCAAGTCCTTTCCCAGGTCTGTTAAACTAAACATTTCAACTCTTCTTATCGGGAGGCATGATGGTAGTAAGATTTATCATTAACTGATTACATTGCTTTTGCAATGAATCTGATCTCACCATTCACCAATATTCTTTCTCTTCAAAATGCAGTCTTTCTTTCAGGGTTACCAGGCTTTGAAATCCTACAAGGACCAAGCTGACAGTTATATTTGCTCAGTGCTTCCTCAAAGTCTTTACTATAAATTTCCCATAACTCCAGGTCTCTTCTGGCTCTCTATATGTCTCTGCTTCATTTTTGATACGTGATGATAATGAAAATGACGCTTATATTTTAAGTACTAATTGATTTGATCAGGTGGTCTGAAGTATGATTCACTTGAGAGATGGAGCCAACCTTCAGTGTGTCGCTGGAGCTTCTTTCCTTTTCAGTATCTATGGTGAATTGCTTCGAGAATTCAACCAAAGATCCACTATGGGGACAAAGAGTTTGACTCTACCCACCTCTTGGCTTTTGCTAAGCAGCAGGTAAATAAATATCTAAAACTACCCATTAGTTAATTTCTTAAGAAAATAGAAATGAAGTACATTAAATTAATTCCTTTGATAGCTGTAAAGATCAGAAAACAAGCTGTAAAAGTTGTTGGTCATGTAATTAATATATTTCAACAATGCTTTTATGGATGGGATGTTTTATCAGAAAAAAAAAAAAAAAAGATACCATTTACTTACATATTTCTTTGGTTAAACGGACTACATATCAAGGAAAAACCCACTAGGAAGATCCTTCATGGTTGTGTTTGAGAACAATCCACCAAAACAGACGCACCACAGAGGTGCTTCAGTCCCATTATTGGATGCTATGTCGGACGTGAGCCGCCCAATGAGCTTCGTTCGTTCGTCGGACGTTAACTGGCGCTATTCTTGGTTAACTCTATGCTGTTGCCGCCCTGGCACAGCTTACTTGCCCTTTTAAGCCATAATTTTCTTTACCAACTCGGTGGCAAATTTTAAGAAAGTGTGCAGATGGTGGAAACACTGTTGCAGGAAAACTTTTACTAGGTGTTTTGAACCGAAAATTCCAAGTCAAAAACTCATGCTTTCCTAGAAGTTTTGCAATGTAATTTTACCAATTACTATCTATTTATCTCATTGAATTTAACCTCCTGAGTTTGCTACTCTGTATTAAAAAAAAAAAAAACCCCAATTTAGTACATGAAATGAACATACATTGTGGTGCATTGACACTTTTTTTTTGTTCAATTTTTCGTTCCAAGTACAATGGATTATTAAATCAAAACTTCAAAGAGAATAAATGAGAACAAAGCTTGAACCCAATGCAATATCCATATCCACACGATAACAATAAATTATATATGTTTCTTTATAGATTCTTTACATAAATTAGTATCCCTTCCCTATATTAAAAACTTATTGAAGTTGATCAACATCGAGTTTGGGTATTTTGGATAAGCACAAAAACACTTGTTAATTCGAAAAAGTACAACTACTACTACTACTAAGATTTCACTAAACAATTATTGTCATTGTATTGTCAAAACATTAATTGCTTTTTTTTTTTGGCCAACAAACATTCATTGTTCAAATAAAAATATAAAAGTTACATATATTATCTCTTCAAATTGATGAATTCTTTTTTTTTTTTAACTAATGCTAACTATTTACACAAAAAAATCATTAATTTTGTTTTCTCACTTCGGAATTTGGATTATTCAATTAGATTAATTTCAATAAAAAAGAGAAATAATGTTTGTAGTAAATAAAAAATTAGGAGAGTTTCAAATTTAATTTAATTAGTTTATATAATTATTTTTAAAAAAATTTAAAACATTTAAAATTTATAATTTTTTAAACTTTGGATGCAAAAAAATATTTAAAAAAAAAAAGAGAAATGCCTTGTTGATAAGGTTTTTGGTGGGTTGTTAGTTACTGCTACTTTTTTTTTTCTTTGATATTGTTGAAGAAAAGTTTTTAATGTATGTTTGTGGAATGGGAAACTTTTTTCAAAGGTCGCTATACATATTCTTTTTGTCACCTATGAAGGGGGAAAATTATCCAACACAGGTGGGCGATAGACAGCTACCATTGATCTGAAGCGCGTAACACTGTTCATGCAGCGTTTTCCGAGTGAAAACCCCAAATTAACCCCAACGTGCTTGACAGTGACGGGGAAGCAGAAGACGTGCGTGAATGCAATGCATTGAATTGCTTCGACACGTGGTCGTATCGTCTGCCTCATTATTTTAAAAGACAAACATCTCCGTCCCCGTTTCCGGCCTATCATGCCTTAAGCCGATACTGCGAGAAGCCGTCAGCTTCATCAAGCTTCAGCTCAACATTTTTTTTCAATGTTAATTTAAGAATTTTTTATTAAAAAAATGAAGAAAAACACAAAAACAACGTTTCAATTGTTTAGCTTTAGCTATTTGTTGAGAATTTTTTTATTTTTACAAATTAATAACTAATTAAAAAAAAAAGAAATTTTTTTGCATATTAAGACAACATTTATTTGTAGATATTTATTACAAGAAAGCCAAATGGAGCCAAAGCTAAGCTTTGAGGTGGACAGATGGGAGACAAAGATCTTTTATATTCTTATCCAACCCCTTCCCTCAAACAAATAAATAAATAAACGTGTGGGTCCCACAGATGTGGATAAGGCTCACCAGACCCAAAGATCATCGTCAGTTCCACGTCATAAATATCCGTCTCGGCCCAGAGAGACACTTGAACGTGTCGTCACCTTGTTTCTGACATTGTTCCACGTGGTACGTCAGATCACCATCAATCAAGCTAATATTTTTGTTTTCATCGCATTAATTACGGTGCTACTATCATTTGATTGCTCAATTTACAGCTGTTCTCAAATTGATAAATCCATCAATTAAAACATTATAATAACTGATTGATTATAATATTTTATATGAATATTATATTATTTTAGTTTACAAAAAAAGAAGCTTCTAGAAACAGAAATTTGGATTTCATAGTTGATCGTTAATTATGAGACGTTTGATTCGGATAAATTCCCATTTTTTTTTTCAAAATTTTGAAAATAATTATTTGATTTTTATGAAAATACCTTAAATAATTTTAATAAAATTGATAAAGATTATTTAAAATATTTTCATCTTTTTCAAAAAATTAAATAAAATTATTTAAGATATTTTTAACTAAAAATACTTTAAATAAATATTTTTAATTTTTTATTGAATTATTTAAAGTATTTTTTGATTTAAAACATTTTAAATAATCCAATTATATTTTATAATCTAATTATATCAATTTTTGTTACTTAAAAAAATTAAAACTCCTCAATTGATAATATTTTATAAATAAAAATATCAATCAAATAAAATATTTATTTTTTTATTACAAAATGTATTATTTATTATAAATAAAAGTCAATAAAAAATTATCATGATATATGTCAAATAAATTATGATAATTATTTAAAAATTATTATACATGAATTTTTTTCAATCAAACCAATAAATTTAAATACGAAATATTTTAAAAATAAAAAAATCTAAAATATCACATTTTTTTTAAAATTCAATATATTAACTAAATTTGCTTTTATAAAATTTATTAACAATTTTCTTTTTTTTTTAGCAATTTTAGTGATTACAACAACTAAGCAATAAAATACTAACTGATATACTCTTACATGGCAAAGGTACATTCGTATGCAGAGAAGAAATTGTGCGCTCGGGAACACCTGATAAAACCTCATTTCTTTCTTTTTCATTTTCTTTTTCTTTCCTTTTGCTTTTATAAAAACTAAATAAAAAGGGAAACAACAATAAGGTTCTGACTTCTGACAAAGAATGGATAAGAGTGATAAGAGTCCCCAGCTGCTTTATACGAAACATTTTTTTATATTTTTATATTTACAACAACAAACGAACAAATCTCCAAAACGCATAAAACATTCACATCTTTCCTGCCGCCCGTTCTCTCTCTCAGTTTCTTTGTTTTGTTTGTGTTTTAAGGAAGAAACACTTCTTCCTTTCTACTTTTCTAGGTGAGAAAAGGCAGAAGAATTGGTTACGTCTATTGCATTGGAAAGGATAGAAGCATCGGGGTTTGGGCGGCGCGTTATGAACTGCTTGTGTGATACTTCCAGATTTGAATCCACGACGGTGAAGGAAAGGAAAGAGGTAGTGGAGGAGGAAGACGATTGGAGGAGTTCATCGTCTACTACGACGTCGTCTTCTATAGGTGGGAATAGTGATGACGCGTCTAGAAGATCCTCGGAAGGTGGAGATTGCGACGAAAATGAGGTTCAAAGCCCCTATAAAGGTGGTTTAGACACGATGGATTCGCTTCAACAAGTTTTGCCTATGAGGTTCTTGTCTCCGCTCAGCTTTGCTTCTCCTGTCGATATTTTTTGTCCTACAAATATAATAATTCCTTCTCACTTTCTTTTGGGATATTTAGAATATTTATGTCTAGTTAAAGAATGGTTTGGATCTGTGTCAATTCAGTTAGAAAATTTAGAAGTAAATTAGTTAGGAGTGATTTATAATCTTTTTCATCTAAGATTTTAGTAAGTAGTTTTCATCAATTAATATGTCAAAATTTGGGTTTTTGACAGGAGAGGAATCTCAAATTTCTACAATGGCAAATCAAAATCTTTCACAAGTTTAGCTGATGCTTCCTCAACTTCTTCGATTAAAGACATAGCAAAACCTGAAAACGCTTATACCACGAGAAGGAGAAATCTATTGGCAATCAACCATGTATGGGACAAGAACAGGAATAAAAGACCCATCAGCTCAAGCAGAAGCACATTGGCTCTCGCTGTTGCCATGAGTAGCTGCGAAAGTGTCTCTAGCACGACGAGTGAGGACTCTAGTTTAACTTCAAGCCCATGGCTTCCTCCATTGCACCCACAAACCAGAACATCTTTCAATTATAGTACCCCATCGTCGCCGCCTTCAATCGGCAGGAATTTCTCTAGCTGGCGGTCCTCGTTCGCTGATGTACGGGAATATAATAGCACTGTTACAGGAGGCACAAATCCACATTGCTCTTTAATTCATGATAGAGCTGGCTCTAAGAAAGAGACCTGATAATAATTTGTTACAGCTTTTTTCAGAGTTTGGTCATATTCGAGGGTGATTAGGCTAGCATATGCATCTTATCGGCCTCCTTGGTCGTGTCCAAAGGGAAACATTTCCCCAAGTTTTCGACAATTTTTAGTTTTTTTTTTTTTTTTTTCTGCCTAATGCAGGTCCATGATCTGCTAAGTGCTAATTTCATTTTAATAATACCAGATAGTGACTCGTTCATAGCAAGTCTAATGTTTCTGTTTACATATTATTGATGCCGAAGAGAATCTAAGTGATTCAAAGTAAACGGAGAAAATGTCTCAAATTGATACCCAAAGGTAATACCTGTTCTATGTACATACACTAAAAATTTCTTTATTCAGCAGAAGAATACAATAAGAAAGCATTTCTACAGATAAAACAAAAATGGACCAGGAGAGGAGAGGACAAGCTTCACAAGAAAAAAGAAGAAAAAAGAAATTCCTTCTTTTGTAATTGAGGTTATCCTGATTACTAAAACTTAGCGTCCAATACTCTGTCAATAGAAATCAGATGTTAGCAACAAGAAATTTCTTCTCAATAAAGCAAATTAATGTCTATCCCTAAACAATGTAGTACCACCTAGTCCTAAGGCTACCTAATGCGGACACCATCATGAATTTGAAAAGTTCTAGAATCTTGCTGCTTAAATCCTATCTTTGATCACCAACCTGTGTCCTCAAAAGAGTACTCGGACACCTTTTTCAACCTTATGCATTAACCTTCGCACCAGCTATGCTAAGAGTTCAAATAGTTGCCTTACTTTTTTTGATGCTGGATAAGAAATTGTGCACATGAATATTCCGATAATGATGCAGGGATTTCAACGTCTGAAGGATCTATTGCAGGTATTGCAATATCTAAATCTTCAGTTGAGAATGGAATGCTGCAATTGGAAAACGATTTTAATTCAATAACAAATCAAAGTGACAAACATGGTTCCATGTAAAACAACTCCATGGATTTTGGCAGGGGAAAAAAAGCAAACTTTCAAATGGCACGCTAACATCTATGGTCTGGTAAGTTTGATTATACACAAATTTGACAGAGAAAGCACATTACCTCAGATCATCATCCAGCAAGAATGAATTTGAGGCCAAATACTGGTTGTCCTTGTTTAACATCTCCCTCATTTCAGCAACAACCTGCCAGTTGATAATGTCAGAAAACAAGGGAAATTATTATACACAAACTTACCACAATGAGTCTGTAACTTGCCTCATTTGACACACTCTGTGTGCCATATTTGTCATCCCAGTACATGGTACTTATTCGATAGATTTGCCTTATAGTCAGTGCCTACACAAGTACCATAATAGCAGGAAATCTTAATTAACCTCCAAAAGGGTGAATGGAGATAGGGGATTCAGATAAACATTAGCTTACCGGACACAAATCATGGTTGATCTCATCCAGAGACTTTTTTCTCTTCTGATGTATTACCTAAATAAAATGTAGAATGAACAAGTGAACAACATAATAGTTTATAGCTTAACTGGCCAAAAAATGAAGCTGGGGCATGTACCAGAAAACCAACAGCTTGTCTAATATAATTTAGCTCATGCCAAGAGGTTCCTGCAAACTACATCTTCCAATATTTCAGAACAAAAACAATTGTGTTCAATCACTACAATAACTTGCTAAGGACAGTTATTTACCTCCTCCTTTGCATTGACTATCCATTTCTCTAGTTCTGCTAGACCAGATTTAACGTATTCCCCATTTGAAAATGAGCAACATTCTCTTCGTAGTAAAAGACTGGAGATAATTTCAGCCTTATAAATTGATCATTCAACCAATGGTCACTAAGATAAAATCTAATACTATGAGCACATACCTGTTGAAAAGTGACATATTGACGAAGGAGAAAACCTGGGTGATCAGCTTACGGATGAAGAAAGAGGGTACCTTCATGCACAGGAGTTAGGTAAGAGATGGTAATTAAAGAAACAAAACCTGGTATAATTTTAATCATGACTGCACTACATACTTCATTTCATAAGAGATCCTATTGAATTTTCCCATCAAGCTACCGCATAGATTTTTTTTTTTGGTACATTGGATAGGTGACAAGGGATGAGGATGGTAGGGTTCGAACTCCCACCTTACATGTCTTTCTAAGCTTTCTTAACAAACTAGGCCAAGAAGCTGAAGACAGCTACCACATATGTTTGACGACCTTGTCAATTAAAGTTTAATGATGAATTGGTCAAACTAATAATTATTGTTTCTTTAGCGGAAACTCCTTGCTTCAAACTATTACACCTACATGATTTTCACGTAAACGACCCATAAGGGAATCCAAGAATTTGATGATGCTATCCCATTGACTACTAGGTGACTGTTGGGGAAGCCCTCCAGGAGATCTTGATTTTCCAGCAAGCACTCGGGCATTCTTTGGCACCTTCAAAATTAACAAACAATATCCAGTAATTAGAATTTTGTTTCAAAGAAACTAAATCTCTGATGCTTTCTCACAAGAAACCGAACAAATATACCTTATTTAACAAAATAAATATAAATGAATAAGTAAAAGGATAGCATATACATGACAATAAATGTGAAAAACAATGTGATCAAACCATAATCTGACAGTGGACATTTTTCTGCTTGAGTTGCCTTTTACAGTGTCAAACAACTTAACGGTGAAAAGCTTTGCGCTTGAATTGTGTACATTCATCATCTAAAACAGATGTTCGGGACATAATCCAAACAGGGCTAAATGATAATTAAAACTGATCTTGGGCCTAGTACTTCATGAATTTAACTTTCAGCTTTTGCATCCAAACCTGCATAAGATCTAACATTCAATACACACCTGAATGCACAACCCCAAAAGCGGAGATAACTCTTTCTTGATATTGTCACGAATCAAGCCAAAAATCTTTTCAACACAGGCTGTCAGTTGTTGTTTGAATAATATTACTGGATATCTTGCATCTATATGTGACATACCATCCTCGAACCCAAGGTACTTGAAAGGAGATTTTAGACCCTGGAGGTATAACAAACTTAAATCAGCTTATTTTAGACAAAAATGTTCAATGAAGTAATAAAACTGAAACGAAAGAAACACGACCACTGGCCTCCATGCAGCAATGATAAGTATTATTAGAAAAAGAACATCAACAGAAGACTAGCTTTATTCACCATTAGAAATGCAGGTGACAACTAGCCAGTCATATCATAACAATAACATAAACAACATTTTCAGGAAATAATTTTATCTGGAAATTGCATTAAAAATTAAATGAAATGAAGACAAGGACAATACACTAAATATAACTAAACCACAATCCAAAAAAGTCTTAATTTCTAAATATTGTGATGGAAATCACATAGGCAAGCCTCCCAGGTAAACCAGTATTTCCTCCAGAACGTTGAGTAGTAGCAGACAAAAAGCCATTTGATCGTAAATTTTTCTGCAGCAGACATAAAAGTGCCGAGGAGTTGGACAGCCAATAGGGCAAGGTAACATTTTCGTCTTCAACCTGCAAAAAAAAATTCACTTTGAAATATGGAAAATATTCCCAAATAACCGAAAATTATTAAAAAATATTATGGGATTGAATAGAGAAAAAGAACGAAAGATGACTCATTTTATTATCAGTATCTATTACATCTGATGGCCCTTCAATCTCATGAAAGCTTGTGAAGATGACTGCAAGTACCTTCAGAACATCATTGATTCCTTCTATTATGTAGTCAAAGATAGCTGTTCGCTCAGACTCAAAGCAACGCCAATGATGAAGACATTTGCATATGATACAAGCAGCCAGTGGTTTACCATTGTGAAACCCCAAATTTTCTTTGATACATCTTGAAAGAAAATCATAATTTTCCTGTGGACAAAAATTCTAATATTTTAAGTCACACAAATACAAATATTAGTCACTATCAATTTAATAACTGATTATCTTGTTCAAAATTATGCTTGCAATCTACTACAATATCTAATTGAGGATCAAAACAAAAAACTTAATGATGACAAACTATAAACAAGAGACCTGTTGTCTCTCTGCTGTTAGTTTTGGCCGTCGCGACTCCGACATGCCATGTGAGAAAGGTACAATAAGTTTTGAAGGTGTGGGAGATTCCTGCACAAAAGAATGTGATGGGAAAATCTTAAAATTTGTGTAACAGTCAAGCTAAAATTATTCAAATGCAGCAATATCTTTTTTCATAGGGAAATAAAGAGAGAGGTGAAGTCACATCTTACATATACAGGCTTCCGGTCAGTCTGATGAAGATTATGTGTGCCATATTTCTGGGTCATCAAGAAATCAATAATTTACACAAACCACTGCTCACTTAGTCCAAAGAAATGCAAATTTAAAAAAGCAATTAAAAAAAAAAGGAAAGAAAATAATGCGCATCAGACCAGCTTTATCCAAGACATGCAAAAGCTACAACTAGAGCAAAGATCAGACTAGCTTTATCCAAGACATGAAAAAGCTACAACTAGAGTAAAGATAAACTATCTAAGATAGAACACAGATACAGACACACATGCACTTACATCTGAAAATGACTTTAAAAAGTTAGCACGGTTGCTTTTTGGGGATGGGGTCAATGCTTTTTGTCGCAGAACATGATTTTCATCTTCTAGATGTGAGAGCTTCTCCTCCAGACTGATTAAAAACAAGCAAAGAAAGCGAATCAGGAAGAAAAACTAATAAAATTTGCTAACCAAATTAAATATATTCAATTCAGATGGCAAGAAAATAAAATATATCAATGTAAGAAGCAGTCGGCAGGAAACTAAAAGTATAGCAGAACAAAAATCCAATATTAGCAGCAGGAACAAATAAGTAAAATAAGCAGTAATCAAGCAAGCATATAATATGTATGCATGTAAGTATAAATCTAATATCATAGTTTCACGTGATGAAAGATACCTTTGCATGTTATTCTGGAGCTCAATATTCTTTTGCTCTAATTCCCGCAACTTTTCAATGGTATCATTGGTGTCTTTTAGAGCCTTCTTGAGCTCAAGCTCCAGAGTAGAGTTCTTCTTTTCCAAAGCATCCAAAGAACTCTGTAAAGTAAATGGAGGTGCAAGAAAACTCCTTATTAATAATAAAGCAGATGACATATATGGAAAGATGAGCCTAGGATGCACGGATTTGGAAGTGCAAACGTAATATGTATAAGACACGACGTGAACACAGTGGCATGGCAACTTTTAAAAAATTAGCACATGGGTACGGCAAGATACAATAATAAAATTATTTTCTATATAATAATATACAAATATTAACGTATTTAAAAAACTAGGCTTTCTACTCCCGCTCTTTCCAGCAACAGCATAAGTCATCCTCCCATCTTACTTGTCTTCTATGTTCTCTTTCTTCATTATCTTCTTTTCTTTATTTTTGGATTTCTAGCATCTGACTTGCCTAGGATTTGGGTTTTGATCATTGTTAATTCCAGATTTGGGGGAAAAATGTGAAAAGAAAAACTTTCATCCTGTGTCTAGCTGAGTCCGGACATGTCTTGACCATGTTTTAACCGTTTCCAATTTCCCTTTTGTTTTTCTGGCATGTCCATTAAGTATCCTGCTGTTTTGGAGGCATGTCTGTGATGGACATGTATCAGACACTAGTACACGGGTACACATCTAAATTCAATTTCTAAGGAAAAAGTTAAATCAGAACAAAGGTCCCAAACTAGAAACTAAATCTTTTTCTAATGACTAATCATAAAAAAACAGTTAAGCAACACTAAAACACAAACCTTTAGTAATGCATTTTCTTTTCTCATTTCAGCCATCGCCGTAAATTCCTTTTCCAATGCGGATTTCTCTTTTATTGATAATTCCAATTGATTTTGCAGCATTGCATTCTTATTGCACTCACTAATTGTTGCCAGCTTAGCTGCATCTAATTCAAGATTCAAAGATTCCAATGCTTTCTGAAGTTTGGAAATTTCAACTGACTTGGCATCTTCAGCGGAAACCTGCAGTTCAGATTGTCACCATAAAAAATTAAAAAAACAAAAGGAACCCAGAATGGATTATTTTTATTAAAAAGAAAAGGATAGAGGCACTAGAAAACAGATCTAAAAATCAGATAAGCCACAAAGAAGTGCAAAGTGCAGCACAAACTTTCCAAATTTATACAACTATATAACTTTTGTTAAACAAGATTTCAAAAACCACAAGTAATACCCGCATTCTTTTTTCTAGATTCAGCCGCCAGGTGAGATCTTCTAACTGCTTCTCAAGCTTGCTCTTAGCTAACCGTAAGGCACCTGCTTCATTAGCCTCCTGCAAAAAGTACATGCAAAAGCAGTGATGAATCACAAGAAACTTCTTAAGATGTGGACAGTTTGATGGAGAATTGAGATTGTAATGGATTTACAAAATCAGGGTAAAGTGGGAAGATTCCCCATCATTGTATAGACAAATCTGATCCTTAAATGAATGAACACTTTTCAAGTCAAACTCGAGAAACTAGATACCGTTACTGATTGTTTTTCTACAACTCTTTAAATCCATACATGAGTGTATCTATAAGTATATAAAAACATGTACCACACCTAGAAAATTTAGGACTTTGCTTGACTAAGTTATAATACGCAAATTTTTTACAGTCCATTTAACTTGTTAATTAAATACATACAACCTTTACATTTAATGAGCCTAAAATATCAATCCAGTTTTACACTATGTTTGGATTGAGGGATGGAGAAGGAAAGGAAAGGGTAGTGGGAAACCCTTCCCTCGTTTGGATTGCGCTTAAATTAAAAGGAAAGGGAGTTGAGCACCCCTCCATTTCCTTTAAATTCCCCATCTTTTATTTCCCCAAATTGGGGTAAAAAGAAGGGAAAGGAAAGGATTAAAACTTTTAAAAGGTTAAAATGATTATTATATCCTTATTTTCTTCTTTAATTTTAAACAAAACCACATACAAGCTTTACAATTTAAAAGCATCTCTCCACTTATAACTCCACATAAAATTCTGAACTAGCTTTATGCATCTTATCATCAAGTTCCCATTTGGTCAAAACACAAGCAAATTTTCTATGGACTTTTTAATCAAAAAGAAAAGTTTTTTTGTTTTGACTCTTGGTAAAGATTTTATAATAGCACACCTTCTCTTTGTTAATTTTTAATTAGCGTGCTATTGTTATTTGCTTAGTTAGACTTTTTTCTCAATTAAATGTTGGCAGACCATAAACTAGAAAAACAAAACACTTTGTGGGATTTCATTCAAGGATATTGTATTGGACACTTTTTTGGCGTATCATTTTTTAGCTCCAGACATGGTGTCTTTTGATCGGGCAAGGGTGATATTATACCGTTTTATAATTTTTTTTAACAATAAATAGTAGTGTACTTTAGTTAAACAAAACAATGTTATTAGTAATATTATTATTAATAATTTTAATAATTAATTTCAAAGCCAATCACATTATACACAAAAAAAATTATTTAAAATGGTATAATGAAAAGAGTATATTATAATGTACCCTTTCCTTTCCACACCTTAAATGAACAAAACTTAAATAATCTCTCCCTTTCCTTTCCCTTTATCACTTTTAACTATCCAAACAAGATCATTTCGTTTCCTTTAAAAACTCTTCCATAAAAAATGCAATCCAAACACATTGTTAGGATATTCAAATAATAATTTTCATCAAACAAACAAGGATTCTCTTCTCTTCAAATATGTTTTTCTTGGACCTTGAAGGGTTGCATTGAGTAGATAGCATAAAACACATTTAACATGGAGTTTACAGTGAAAGGAATCACAGAGTAAGCACTTCCACATACTTGTTTAAGCCTCCGGAGCTCTCTCTTTGCAAGTTTTTGCCTCCAATGACATTGCATTGCTATGATAGATTTTTTATAATGATGGAAAGCAGAGTGGAATCGGTACAATCTCCAATGAGCCTGCTCAATATAAGAAAGATAAGACATTACATGATCAAATAGCAGCCTGCAGAGGATTTTTGGCAACTCAAAGACAAGCAATAAAGGTGAAAACAACTTCAAAATAAGCAATTGAACATAAGCACGATAAAAACTTTTTAGGACAGAGGGGAAACACACTACTTATTGTTTATCACACACATACCCAAAATGCAACTTCATAAAACCTGGATGAACATAATTCAAATACAAATTGAAAACCACACATGACAGCACAGAAATGCATATATAATATGATCAAGTTGTGTTCACCTGGATTACAGCAGCAGCTCTATGCTTCTTTCCATGCAAAAACTTTTGACGAGTTGAAAAGCCACGGATGTTAGACTGTATAATAACAGTTGCTGAAATTAGCTTCAGGTAAGCATGCCTGAACAGCCAACTGCGGACGTATTTCTGTAAGCAAACAGCAGCTGCTGCCTCTCTCCTTGCAGCAAACATCTTTCGAGCAAAGCATCCTGAAGAAATCATGAAAACTTAGCAGTAAAGCAAAAAGCAAATGTATGAGACAGCTGATCCCGACTAACAAATAGTTAATGAACCAATGACATTTTGTTGGAGAAAGAGACTAAGTCACTTTAAGTATTTTGTAATTTTAAATTTGATTTAAGATTATGTATTTTTTTAGTTTTGGTTTTAGAATTTAGGGCTAGTTATGTTACTCAGTTTTGTTTAGGTTAATAAGGGATATATTTGGAATTTCCACTTATTAGAACTATGGTTTTATGAATTTTCATTACAAATACTTTATTTGAACATCAAGGTTAGTATGTTGATAAATTGTATATCTTCCAGACTTGATTCTCTAGCCTCTTCTGTTATTCCTCTCTTCTGCTAATTTCTCAGTTCCCTTTTTTCTCACTTTTCTCAATTCATATTCTATCTACCCTCAATGTCCTATACCAGGAATTAAATTTTGCATGAGAATGAAAATTATAGCAGAACGTAACCTCAGGGGAGAAGACGTGATAGACAGCTCATATCACTTTCAAGACTGCAAGCCTTAATATCTGAGAGTTTTGGATACAATTCTACATCTGAATTTACCATTAAGCTTCTATGGCCTAAACCAATTGATAGAGCAATTTTTAGAGTTTTAAGCTTCCAATTATGTGCTTAATATCTTTGAAAAGTGCATAGAGAAAAATATTAAAGAAAAAGAACATGACTAGCAAAATAAAACAAATAAGTGAATAGCAGATTATTCTAGGTTAGAAAAGTAGGTGTCCAAACCTCTGCAATATGCTTGGACTGCAACTGCAGCAACCCTGGCTGAGATAAACTTCCTGTGTGCGATAAATGTCCGCAATCGCCGCTGAATACGCTTTGCAGCAGTATCCAAAACCTCAGCCCGACGCGAATCTAATACACCAATCTGACCAGCCCTAAGAAACACTTTTGTCCTACCCAACTGCAAAATTTGAAAACGGAGAATTAGAAATATTAGGCAATTGAATAAAGATAAAATTGCAAAAGAAATGCAAAAAACAGCAGAGGAAAATTAGGAATAATTAATTTATACAATGTTAATCATGCATACCTGAAAATTTTCAAGGTTTAACTTTCGCAGAATTTTCTCTGTCAATGCCTTCTCATCATAACTACAAATATATAACTTTATACGTTAAAACAAGAAAAAGAAAAACAAGTCTCAGAACAGCAAAGTGGTGGGATTGGCCAAAAAAAAGAACAACAAATTACTGAAGAAATGAACTTTCTTAAAAAAAAATCTGCAAAACACAACCATGGAAAAGCAAGGATGCATTTTATTATTCACAAACAAAGAATAACAGTTTGAAAGTAAATTTCTTGGAAAATGAGATATGCAAGGCATGGCACGGGCAGAGATTTTAACAGAAATAACAAAGGATTACCATATGGAATATAGGGAAATATCAACCATATTTTAACCATCCTAATAAGAAAATTTATAAGAAGACAATATGTTAGTTTCCAGCTAAGGAACATTAATTTTTTATATGTAGTTTTACATGTGCACATGATGATCTGTATGTGTAAACAGGCGTGCTTGAAAAATATTTACAACCTTGCATCCATAAATTCTGGAGCTAACAAGCCAAAGCGATCCACAAATTCTGAATAAGTCCTTCGAGTTGGATAGCCAGCTAGACTTATTCGAACAGCCTCCAAAACACCCTTTCCAAATCAAATAAAATTTTCTTTAGCAAATCAAATCCATAGAAATAAAGAACAGGAATGGAAGGATAGATTTGTGCCAGAAAGAAAAAAATGCAAAGGAAGTCACATTGATATAAAATGGAAAACCACTCACGAATTAATCATGTGTATCACTTGAGCCAGGGATCTCTCCCATCAATAGAGTAGCACACTAAGTATTTAGCCTTATTAATGCTATTGGAAATTTCATGTAATAAACTCTTCTAGTCTAGCACTTTATCTGAAAGAGACATTTTCAAGTTTGATTGAAAACATAAAAGATATACCTTCGCTGCTATTAAGATTTTAAAATAATTTTATATCATTTATCAAAGAAAAACTCTACAAGTTGGACATTTGCATTAGAAATTCTACAAACTTAGAATTCAATGTCGTGTAGAAACTAATGCAGATTCGTAATTCAACCACAACATAAAAGAATTTCCAGAATAAAATGAAGTCACATACATGGATGTGGTTTCCATGTTAAAAAAAAAAAAAATTTCAGTCAAAGAGCTAAAAAAAAAGTGACCAAGAGCAGACAGATGTGTAAGAACTAATAGAAGGCCAAGGTCAAATGTTTCAAAACAAGATTAATTGCATCAAGTGGAGAAAGCTTTACAGAGATCTTTCCATTGAAGATTGCTAGCACTAGATTTCAACAAAGGAAGCATAGACAAAAAGAGACTACTCACCCCACAGCGTAGTTGATGAAGGATACTGAGGTTCTCAAATTTGTGAGGTCGGTTCAGTGAGTTTGGTTTCACACAGCGTATATAATGAGGCTCTGTTGAGTTGAGTGTTTCCATGAGTGCTTGAAGTTGTTGCTATAAAGAGAAAGGAATATTTTAACAGCACTGGCCTTAGAGAATTATAACAGTAAGTCCAATGTGCTTACAATAAACAGAAAGACCTCATCAGTAAACCACAAATAAATAAGCAAGTTAACAGGGAAATCCTTTTGGTAATTAAGCAATTTGATCAACACCACTAACAAGGAAAATAAAGCATCAGAAACCTTCAAATCCAGCCCACTTCCTAAAAATAAGATCCAACAAAAGAAAAATATTGGCACCACAAAAAATTAGTAGAAGGAAAGTGACCCAAAACTCCATTCACAAGTTCATTACCTTTATAAACATCATCAGTGACATTTATGCGTGCCTGAACCTTAACAGGAACTCTCTTAAACAAGAGTTCAAAGAACTAAAAAATTTTAACAGTTTTTGATCCATAGATTAGACTCCTAGTTAACTTCTGGAGTGAAAAGAATATGAATATCAACAAGAATTAATAAAATTTATATGAATATCCTAGCATGCCACGACTAGTGAAAAAACCTTTAATTTTTTAACTCCTTCGAAAAGCCATCAAAAACCTAAAATCAGATCCATACCTTAAATCTTGTGGCCACCGAGGAGAATTTGTATGATGATCTTGAAGATTCCTCAGGTGGAGAAGGGAAAAGACCCGCCACAAATGGGCATTTAGAAGAAGCCAAGAGATTGCAATGGTCTACCACAACATAATCACGATTTTTGTCTAAAAAGGTATCTGTTTGATAAGTAACCTAAAGAGAAAGTAAGAAGTACATCATCACAATATCTGTGAGATCAAAACATAATTACATTTTTTAAGACAGTGTTCTATTACATGCCTTGCCAGCATAATGTGAAACAGTAAAATCTGTTTCTGAAAATTTAGCCTTTTCCAACCTTGAGTGACCTCGGAAATTCTGAAACAACTTGGTTGAAAATGTTTCATGTGTTGATTTTGGGAACATGCTGCACAAATAGGAAAATCAGGATAAGAATTAACAGCACAGATTCAATTACAAAGCAACACGCACCAATTTATAATGGACTCAAATTGTACCAAGCTTCATCCAAGAGAGCAATGATCCCAATTGGTTTCTACAAATGCAAGTAAAACAGTATAAGGCCTATAGGAAATAAAAAAACTAGAACAATATTTAAATGGAAAGAAAGAAAAAAGAGAAAGAAGTCAAATTAAATATATTAAAGAAAAAGTACAACTTGGCATTACATATTTGCTTGAGCAAAATTTTACCCAGCGATAAATAAAATTTAAAAATAAAAAACTGTACCTATATGTAAAATGCTAATCTTATTCGCTAAATATACAGATGCAAAATTCATGTACACATCATGCAAGTTAGATTCATCGTACCCCTGAAAGAAATGCTACATATAATAACAGCACCAATAAATGACACAGAACTCTAGGGCATCCAACTCTATTAGGGGATATTGCATGATATTCCAAATAAAACCAAGATGATATGGCATAATATTAGATAAAACTTTTCTCATGCACTTGCAGTCAGTAGCATGCATTATTCCATATATCTGACATGTATTATTGCACATCTTATTTATATAAGGATGTTTAAACTAAAGGAAAGCATAGAGATTAGATCCCATACTGATTGACTAACATGATCATATTATTAAATTAGAAAAGTTTAGGAGGTGAAAAATAGTTAAAAGTAAAGCATGATAGCTAACGGAAATAACAAATATGAAATTAAACAAGATGAATAACTTTTTTTAAGATCAAGCTTGAAAACCTTCTCAATCAAATCCAAAACATCTTGGTTGTCTATGAATTCTATGTAGCTCCAATTAATTTCTTCTTTCCTATATTCATCCTGCTCCATCTTGAATACATGCTGAAACAAATGAAGAAAAAATATGTTAAAAAACAGAGTAAACCGGACAGCATAGCATAATCAGAATAAATGCAATCTTTACAGAACAGAAGAATGATTACTAACCTCGTTGAAATGCTGCTGAAGCTTTTCATTTGCAAAATTAATGCAAAATTGCTCAAAACTGTGGCACAGAAGATAACAATCAATCAAAGAAAAGAAACATGGAGATGTGTCTATGGAATTATTGACAAATGTAATGCACTGTAGAACCTAGATCATACATACGTACATACGTACATACATACCAAAAATAATAATAAGAACAACAATAGTAAACATTAAAATGAACATACAAAACCAAAGAGTTGATATTTACCTATTACACTTAAAGCATTCAAATCCATAGATGTCCAAAACTCCAATTTGTATATGGGAATTTGGATCTTGCCCCACAGACATATTAATCTTATCAACAAGCCTTAAAAAATAATAAGAAAATTTCAGAAACAACTCTTGATTATCATACAAAATATATGCATAGGATAAAAAGAAATGCCTATAAACATGAGTTGACATAAGCATACCAATCAAACAACCGAGCATAAACTGTCTTTGCCAATGCATCCCTACTAGCCACAGCAGCAGCACAATCAAGAGCTTTAACAATACTTCCTTCACGGGTTTGAATGGTACGAGTACACAATGTTGCCAACAAGAGGTTCACATCACACCTGCTAAATGAGCAGTGTTGTAACATAACTCATCAAGAGAATGGAATATACAAATTGATTAATGGAAGTTGAATAAATCAACCAGTGGTTGGCTTGAACTAGCCAGCACCCTACTATTTGATTGCAAAAGTGCAAGTTAGGTGCTATTTAATAAACTAAAAACCTCCGTGCCAAAGAAAAATAGGTGCTGAAACTTTACTACTGAAATTTTAACTAATTATACTATAAAAATCGTTGGTATACTACTAAAGATTAAATAATGCACAGATTTTAATCATTTTTTTTTGTAAAAGATATATAATCCAACATTTCTTCATTGAAAATATCTCATTAAAGTGGTCACCATGTTTAAGTAACCAAACTCAAAGGATAATCTTCAATGACTTATAAAATAGCACATTAGTCATATATTAACATAAACAGTCAATTGCCAAGTAAACAATGTGATTCATAATCCAAACCTCAAGTCCATATGGTAATTTTGCCTTACAAAAAAAAATCTATCCAAAGATCCAAGAATCCTGATAGGCTCATCAATGAATTTGAATTGCTTGCTTTTTATGAAAATATGTTAAAACATTTGAAACAACTTTTAACACTTCTACAACTGTTAGTTATTACATTATTAATATTACTGTTTCCATAGCATTTGTAAAACTAAAAAGAAAGAAAGCTCTATAATTGATATTTTATTAAAGAATATACGACTAAAACAAGACAAGATTCAAAGATATCTTCTAGGATCACGCACCTAAAAAGATCAGAAGCCATCTGCATATGGAAGGTAGATTTCTGATCTTTAATAACTGAAGAATCATGCTCTTTTCCAGGAGAAAATTCAACATTTCCCAGATGTAAAATAGCAGCCAAGGTGCGAAATATAGATTCCTGATAACAAATGACAAGAGCATAAGTTAATCCAGTAAAAAATAAATTAAAGGTAAAAGCTATGTGTAATATTTCCAAACCTGATCCTCGTGACTAATACCAACAATATCCATTGCCCTCCTTGTCTTCATATATTCCTCTGCGCTGCTTACTCCTTCAAGTTCATATGTCTTGCTTTGATTTAAGTAATGAAAGTGGCTTGGATGGCCTAATTTGTACTTTTCTGCATCCTGAACAAACAAAGTGATAAGGGACTAAGTTATCCAGAACTTTTATTTTATACCCAAACAAATATGAAACAGGCTTCTAATAATGCAATGCAAAATCGCCTAAAACCATATTTAAAAAGTAACAGTAGTACAAACATATCTCTGCACCATTAAACATACTTCCTATAGGCATATATAAAATATGTTAACAAAAACATACATCTGTAGGAGACATCCATCAACACAGAGAGTGGGAAACAAAGAATAGATGCACAGTCAAACCAAAAGGTAAGAAAAACAGACGGATTACTTTCCCAAACGTGCACAACTGATAAAAGCAATGCGAATTCCTATAATTAGTAACATTAGAATGTACAGCTCTATACAACATTAAGCATAATATTCACAAGAACTGAACGTGCAGCTCTCTATGGTATTAAACAAAATATTCACAACCCTATATACAGTATGTACACAGTACACACACATACATGCAGTGAACAAGAGAATGAAGAGGAGGAAGAGAAAGAGAAAAGAGACAAGCACAGCCAAAGAAAGAGATAAAAAGAGATGGATTACTTTCACAGATGCACACAATTGATAGAAGCAGTGATAATTTCTCTCGGGATCTGTTATCTGAACAACACGGGACCGTTCAAGAAGGTATGTTCTGATTGCAGCACCAGATATTTTACCATTTGCATCAAACTGGATCTCAACAAACTTGCCAAAACGACTGACACAAACCAAGTAGAAACGATTAAACTTTAAACAAGAGTAGTAGAAGATAATTAAATTATATCCTCTCACTTCCATCTTGTCAGCATACAACAGCAAATTGGCATGTAATATTGAAATAGCACAAGCTTAACATATGACAAGTTGCATTGCTATTAATTTATTTGAAATAATTCAAATAGAGTCATCTTATATTTCCCATCTGGTATACATTTAAAAATATACAGGTTATAATATATTGATACACACAAACAAATAAACTACTTGGTTTCATCTGTCTTGCACAACAACATATGATCCTATAACACAACCATAGATTGAATGAAAAGTCTGGATCACTCTAAAAAAGTCAGTCACAAAGAATGACCAAACAAGAACAGTAGCATCAATGGCAGAAAGACTACAACATGGATTAGTAGGATCAGACCAGCAAAATTTTAAAGGAAGCCAACCACTTGATTTGAGCTTCATAACAATTAGGCCTATTTGAAAATGACTATAATCTGATAAATCACTGATGGAATTTATAAACTCCACAAGCATGTATATACACTAGCCACATGTATTTTATCAAAAGTGCTCTAAAACTCACCTCGAATTGTCATTTCTAACAGTCCTTGCATTGCCAAATGCCTCCAATAGTGGATTTGACTGAATCATGAAGAAAGTGAAATCAAGAGCACATTGGCAGCAAAGAGAGGATGCACATTTCAAAAGTATGTAAGAAAACACGAACCACGCTAAACCCAATCATGTGTTCATAGGGATCCTTTAGTAAGCTTCAATAAAACTACAAAATAAGCAAAATAAAAGTTTGGCCATTCTAAAAATAATCTGCATCAACCAAAACCAAAAACTGCTAGTAATTGCCAAACTTCCTTAAGAAAGTAGCTACCTGCCACACCACTTGACCCACCCACCCCCAAAAAAAAACGAGGGAACATTTTTACCAGGAATAACAAAAACCAAATAATAAAGAAAGAAAAAAAAAGTTATATATATTAATAACCATTTAAGTAATAATAAAGTCAAGACTCATGCAATCTTACTTCAAGAACTTGCTGCTCAACAGATCTGTCATCACCAGCCACACGACCTCCAACAAAAGTAAGATATTGCATAATTAGTTTTGTCGTCTCAGTTTTTCCAGCCCCACTTTCTCCACTGACTAGTATAGACTGGCTTTGACCCTCATTCATCATTGCTCTAGGTTATAAAACAGAGGATTCAATAGATACAAATTAAATCATGCCATCAGTAGCATTATGGATCAATCATAAGGACCAAGATGAGATACCTATATGATACATCAGCCACAGCAAAAACATGGGGGCTTAGCTGACCAAATGGAGCTCCCTTGTATTGCTCCATCATATGCACATTGTAAAGATGAGGAAGCTTTGTAAATGGATTAACTGCTATCAAAATGCTTCCTGTATATGTCTTTAAAAGAGAAACAACCATGTAAAGTCTTGAGCTTTGATAACTGAAAAAGTACCAACTAAATAAATAAAATACGTTAGTCTCTATTACCTAAAGATCATTAATAACAACATAAAACAAAAAAATATCAGAGCTCAATTGCTAATAAACTCATAATGTAACTAGATAACCAAATTCGAAGGATGCAAATTTAGTCAACAATGTCTTATCAAATGAATAAAGCAAAGCCAGGAACAGCAAAAAAACCATACCTAGATAACTATGATAAGACTCCACATTAACTTGTTAAGATGGCATGCTGATTGAAATAACATAAGGTGAAAGAAACCTAAAGTAATTAAATAATGCAAATATTCTGCTGCGTGAAGAAACTGCCAAAAGGTGTTGTTATTCGGTTAATACCATCTGGTAAGCAGAGCAGGAAAGCAAAAATCTAAATTTGGCATGGTAACTACTCGAAAGTAAATCTCGTTTACCACCGTTTCCATCATGACGGTCATAATTAACAAATAAACAAAAAGGAAAGAATTGTCGTCATGCCTTCGAAGAATCTCAACGGTTTCTTTATTAATGTAAGGGGACAATTAGTTTTTCCATGCAATAACACAAGCAACCAAAAGTCAAGCATTTATAAGAAACATATTTTTAACCAAAACCAGAATACAGGCTGCATAGTTGATCTCCAACACTATAATTTCACTGAAACCAAACTCAAAGTAAAGTGTAACGTGGCATTTCGGACGTCAGCACAAGTTCTACATCCAATATTTAACTAACAAATTTACCATATTGAGAACAAGTCCTAATCATTACCATTTTGAACATCTACAATGAAAATAAGCGCACAAAACAATAATTAAGTCCAAACTAAGCATAATTTTAAACATCACTTGAGTAATTAACGGAATTAAACTTACATAAATATCATTCAAAGCATATCTCCTGTCGAGATTATAAAGCACAGCAGGCTCATTCAAATAAGTCAACTTCGTCATATCATCAACTCCTCCATGTTCTTCCTCTTCATCGGCATCTCTGGGAAACAATTTCTCCGGCAACGCCAACACCTGAACAACAAAAAAAAAACCAAAAATCCAAAAAGTAAACAACAAATACTGGCAAAGACTCAAAAAAACTGAAAAATAAACGGAAGTGAATGAAACTTGTACCGTTTTACCGGAGGCAGTTTGGACTTGGACTTTTTTGCCTTTTAAATCAGTAATTTCAGCTGCAACCCATGCCAAGTTCTTGTCCTCAACCCACACCTTAGCGCCCTTGCTCAAATTCATGTTTGGTTCCTGAGAAAATTTGAAAATTCAAGAAAACGAAAAAAAATAAAAGGAAACCCTAGAGAATCTCGTTTTGTCTGTTAGTTACGGTGGAGTGAAGTGTGAATGTGCGAGTGTGATTTTGGAAATTTCAAAGAAACCCTAAACGGACACAGAGAGACAAAACAGGGAGAGAAGGAAAGGTTACGGGCATGTTATTCGCTGTTAATTTTTTCGGCTTCCCGCCCTAACTGCTGCTGTAGACTCCAAGTCTAAAACTATATTGAATAGGTATTATATTTCTTTTTTTTTTTTGCCCTTTTAATAAATCGTTTTCGACACGTCATTCTCTACAGTGCCTTGCCTAAGCTTTGCTTAGGTTTTGCCCTTTTTTCTTTTTTTGAATACATTTATATAAATTGTTACAGCTGGAGCGGAACACTTTCCTTGACCTGATGACCGTTTGGTTGCTGGGAAAATCAGGGAAATTGAAAATTTTGAATCTTGAAAACCTATTTTTAAACTTTGAATTTAGGTGTTTTTGTGGGGCAACCAGTGAACTGTTGATTCAGTTTACTTTTTCCTTTCTTTTCTCTACGCTCCGTTTCCAATTCCTTTTTCTTTTCTTAATTTTTTAAGGAACAGAATACATGCAATATAAGTACTGTTTTGCATTAATCAAAAGGAATTTCATAATAAAAGAAAATTCGCCAAAAAAAAAACTTTAAATTGAAAATACTCTCTCTCAACTGCAGTCTTAAGTTGAAGGCGTTTATTTTTCTCATTTGAAAATTCAAATTTCAAAAACTAATAATAATTGGAACCATCTTCTGCAGTTTTTCAAAACTGACAACTTCTTTCTATATTTATTGGCACAAATGCAAAATTAATTTCACACGTATTTCTTTTTTTTCTCGACTATTAAATATTTAGACCTCGTTTAAAGTTGTATTTGGATAGTATTTTTTTTTTAATCTGTTTTCAAATTTTCCAAATTAATTTCACACGTATTTCTTTTTATTTTTTGACTATTAAATATTTAGACCCGATTTAAAATTGTATTTGGATAGTATTTTTTATTTCTAATTTATTTTTAATTTTTTTACTTAATTATATATTTGACTAAATAAAAAATTACATGTTTAAATTCTTTTGAATTAATAATTTTTAAGTCTTAATTCTAATAACATATCAATTGATCTAAGAAATAATTAATAAATATATAAATAATGTTAAATATAATGATTTATGTTAAAAAAAATTTTGACTGCTAAAAATGAGTTAATCGTAAAAAACTAAAAATTAATTAAAATATAAAAGTTATGGTTTAAAGATAAAATTACCAAATATTTTATTTAAGTATTTATTTTTAATAAAAATAATTTATTTTTTTCAATATTATATATATTTTAAACATTTAATTCTTTACAATAACATTTTATAATAATACTAAATATTCAAAATTTTTAAATCAAATCTTTTTATAATATTTTTTCTAAGTCAAAATTTTTTAACTTCAACCGCAATATTAAACCAGACGTTAATACATTCACGTCAAGAAAACAGAAGCCAATTAATTAAGCAAAGGAATTAAGGAAAGGGTGGTTTGGTAAATTCAGTGAAAAAGGAAATGCCACGAGAAGAAGATTCCTCCGGTTTTTGGCGTCGGGGCTTGGGGGAGCGTGTGGTTTGCCTTTGATTCAGCTGAGAAAGCTAATGACGTGGCAACTTTTTTTTTTTTAATAATTACCGATTTTGGAAGAAATCAAATTGATGTGCCTGCTGCCCCATTCACCTGCGTGGAAACTCAGCTAAAATGAAATGTAGTGCCGTTACTTTTGTTTGTTTCCTCCAAAATTCATTTCTTCTGATAACTTTAGCAACACTTTTTTTTTTATGGTTTCAAAGAGAGAAGCTATTAAAAAAATAGTGGGAACAAACAACCATTAAGCTTCAAACTTAAAATCTTAATTTTATTCTATTATATTACAATGTCGGCAATGACAATCCATGTTAATTTTTGTAGGAGGTAGTCCACATATTTCCCGTTCTTAATCCTATGGTATGTATTTATTATTATCAAACCAAATGCATATTGGGTTGTCATTGATGCTCTACTATAATTAAAGGATGACAAGTTGTCCATTTCACCAGACAAAAATGCAGTTATCCAATGCAATTTCTTCTCTGTCAAGGAGCAATCAATGAGAAAAGGACTTCCATGGCTTCATGTCACTCTTTATGTTTCGATGAAAAAATTTCAGTCTGAAAACGATAAGATGATACGATAAAAATATTTTGCTGATTATCTAAATAAAACATTAATTAATTAGGCTTTTGCCTCATTGCCATGTTACCTTTCAATCTCACCTGATTTTTTTGGGCATTATACTACAGCAAAGAACTGAAGACAAAAACAAAAGAGAAATTGATGATTCCTTTAGTTTTGACACAATCTTGTTTCATAAATTTAACAATACCCTTTAATAAATGTGAAAATTATGTGACATTTAATCGGTTAAAACACCTGAGATTCTCATAATAATTGCATCATAAATGGTTACAACCTTATTTACATATATATAAACCTGCACATTGAACCATTTTGGGCAAAGCAAATTAAAACAGTAAAGAGAAAAACAGATAGGAGTGAAGTGGGAAGAGAGAGAAATGGGAAGAAGAAAGCTAAAAATCCAAAGACTGGAAAGCATGAAAGCAAGGCAGGCAAAATATTCAAAGCGCAAAGCAGGCCTTGTGAAGAAGGCAAAAGAACTTGCTATACTATGTGATGTTGATCTCGCTCTTTTGCTGTTCTCTCCAACCGACAAGCCAACACTTTTTGTTGGTCAGGACAAGTAACTTCGTTCCCTTTTCTTTCTTTTTTTTTTTTTTAATCTTTGTAAACAAAAAAATATATATTACTGTTCAGATTAGCCAGTGAAAATCAATTTGTTTATATCAGGGACTTGAGTAGTGTCGTTGAGAGACTATCAAATTTGACTTTGGGAGAACGTGAACAAAGGTGACAAATCCTTGTTCATTTAAAAATAATAACAGTAATTGTTAAATTTTCTCAATTTATTCACTTTGCTGATTGACTGATGGATTGTTGATTGTGTTTTGTATATTACCAGGAGGGCCTATACAATGAAGGCAGGTCCCAACCCCAATTTGGGGGCTTTATTTCTTTTTGATCCCCTTATCAATGATCATGCAAATTAAAATTTCTCCCCAGGGAAAAAATGTATTGTAGTAATAACTTTCTTTTTGTTTGTTTATGAAGCTGTTGAAGAAACTTTATGCAAATTCCAACTCCGAGGATGATCCTACAAACCTCTCCCAAGACAGTAGCAATAGCCTGAAGGTATATGGTTCTCCTTTTTTTGAACCTTTTTTCTTTGAAATTTGTTTTATTTTTTAATCCAAAATTTGTATTGCCTTGCCTTATATATAGTTACATGAAGATCAACTAAACGAGCTGAAGGAAAAACTTGCTGAGAAGAGCAGGATACTAAGGTTAGCAAAATACAAATTCAGATTTTGTATGAGTAAGCGCGCATATGCATGATCTGGTAGTTCAAGAATGTTTTTGTGACATTGCTTTGACAGGGAATGGAAAAACCCGAATAATGTTGAGGACCTGTCACAAATAAAAATCATGGAGGAGCATCTCATTGCATCTCTTAACAGAATCAAAAACAAGAAGGTATCTTTCTTTTTTTTGTCTTTCTAATAATAGAAGACTATTTGCAAACAAATTGATTTGAACCAAGCTGCATTTTACTTTTTGTTAGTAATAGAAGACCATTTAATCATGTCACTCACCAAGATCATTTCTATGGTTGCATGCGTAGCATCCGCCTTATAAATACATGGATGTGAAGGCATGCATGAACTGATGAAACTTCTATCACTTGCTTTTTTACAGAGTCAATTAGCAAAGGAACTGCAAAAGAGACCAGAAGGTTTAGAGGTTCGGTTTTCATTAAACGGAAAATTTTCCGAGAAAAGTTCCATAGAAATTCTACTTTATATGAAATAACTGACATGTGATATTTGACTGTGCAGGGGAGTACGGTGGACCTGGAAACTTAAACTGTCATTTCCTTCAAAACCCTTTTTTTTTTATGCACTGTTTTCTAAAGACTTTTATGGCTAATGGGATACCTAAGGTATGCTGCAGAGATGCTAAATGACATGTGATATGCTTTAGCTAATATGGATAACTCCATGAGATGACTCCGGTCCTGGATATGTTGAAAAAGAAAACTAGAGGAGATAATTTGAAGTTTTTATTTTCTGCGTTTTCTTTAATAGACTCTTTTTTCAATCTTCTTATACTCGTTTTGCTTAGTTATTTAAAATTGTTCAGACTCCGAAACAAAAATGAACATCCAGCTCTAACCAGATATCAATGTGACAATGTCACCCTGCAATCTGCATCATTCATGTCAGGAAATCAGACATCTTAAAAATTCAAGATGAGAAATGAGTGAAAAACTTTATCTTTTGGATCTTGGCTTGTTTAATCATACCGAACTGTCTTTCTATTCAGCAGCGGATCTTGATTTTGGGAGCTAATTAATAGTATATTATATTTTAAGGTTATGTTTGTCACATAAGATTAGTTGAATAATAGAATACTAATTATTCTATAATATGTTTGTTATGTACTTAAAAAAAAAAAAGATTGAATTATTTAAAGGATTAAATATCATATACCTATAAGATAACTCTATCATTTGGAAAAGTAGGGATTATTTTTAATCAATTTGATTAAACTTACACGTTTTATTATACTCTTAAAAATTATATCAATAATTTAAATTATATAAACTTTGAGGACAGATAATTTTGATTAATAAATAAATTATCTTATTTTAATTATTGCATCCATCAAACATAAAATAGAATGATATTATTTAATCTAATCATATTTATAATATTATCTTATCATATCCTATCATAATCTTGTATACTAACCATTATCTTAAGTCATGTTTTATGCATATGATTATTGATAGGATAATATAACAATCATTTTATATAATATTTAATTTGTATATAAAGATAGGAATAAGGATTGTAATGATGATTAATATATTATTGATATAAGATTATTCAATCCTCTCGAAGTGAAGAAGATTATTTTTAATCTATAGATTAAACGTACATATTCGATTATACCTTTAAAAATTATATCAATAATTTAAATTATATAAACTTTAAAGAATAATAATTTTGACAAATAAATAATTTATCTTATCTTAATATTTGCACATGTCAAACACAAAATATAATGACATTATTTAATCTAATATTATTAATAATATTATATTATCTTAACTTATCATAATCTTATGTATTAAACATGATCTAAGGTTATGTATAAGATGATAATTATTTTGTATTATATTTGGTTCGTATATAAAGAAAGAAATATAATTATAATAATGATTAATCATCATCTTGATATAAGATAATTCAATATTCCAAAAGTAAAAAAAAGTATTTTTAATTTATGCTATTGAACTTACATATTTTATTATATTCTTAAAATTTTTATCAATAATTTTAATTATATAAAATTTAAGAAATTATAATTTTAATCAATAAATAAATTATACTATCATAATTTTTGTCATATCAAACACAAAATAATGTGACATTATTTAATATAATCTTATTTATAATATCATCTTATATTATCCTATCATATCATAATCTTATATATCAAACAAGAGTGTGTATGTACCAATCAAGGGTGTGTTAGTACCAAACAATAGTGTGTTTGATATATAAGATTATGATAAAATAATATAAGATAATATTATATTATAAATATGATTAAATTAGATAATATCATTATATTATGTATTTTATATGTGCAAAAATTATGATAGAATAATTAATATTGTATTTGATTAGCAAATTTGAAAGTTAAAAAAACTTAAAAATAAATTGAATTCAACTTTTTTATTTACGTTATAGGACTTTTAATTTTTTAAAATTTACTCAACAATAACATGTCAATATGTGATTTAATGATAATGTATAAAGTTTTGTACACTTTCAATGCATCAAATATAAACCCTTAATATTATATATAAGGTAGAGATAAGGAATTGAATATAAAATGATATGGATACAAAAAATTGTAATTAGCTTAAACGAAAAGAAAAACCATAACAATCACGATCTATGGATAAAATATTGAACTCTTAATTATAGTATATAAGATCAATAATTGACAAAAAAATATATTTAATACTTGATTAGAGAAATAGTATTCTTAAAAAAAAAAAAAACAAGAAAATTAAATTGCCTTTTATTAAAATCACGTAATTGTGATTTAAAATTTATAACAAAACTCTTAATTTTAAGAACTCTTAATTATAGTATATAAGATCAATAATTGACAAAAAAATATATTTAATACTTGATTAGAGAAATAGTATTCTTAAAAAAAAAAAAAAACAAGAAAATTAAATTGCCTTTTATTAAAATCACGTAATTGTGATTTAAAATTTATAACAAAACTCTTAATTTTAAGAAATTTTAAATAATAATTAGTGGGTATAATAAATAGATAAATGATAATGTGATTTTAACCCATTTAAAGATTCGTTTGATCAGCAGAAAATGACTTTCAAAAAATAATTTTTGCATTCTTTTATGTTTATTCGGCAAAAATGGTTAGTCAACAAAAAGTGATTTACTGGTTAACAGAAAAGTAAATTATTTTTTTAAAAATTATCTTTTACTTAAAAAAAAGGAAATAATTAAAAAAAAAAAAGATGTCCATGGTTAGTATAACTTGTCACTGTACTTTAATATAATTTTATTCAAGTCAAACTTTATACATGATGTTTTAAACTCAAATTTAATTTGATCGACCAACGGTATTATTATATTAATAAATAATATTTTTATTTAATTTTATTTAAAAATTTAAAATATTAATATTAAAAGTTTTTTTATATTTTTATTGTTTTACTCAAGTAAGATTTTAAATATAATATTTTAAGTTGAGCTTGATTTGACCCAACTTCAAATATTATTAAATTAATAAAATTATTTTATTTAATTTTAATTAAAATATTATATTATTAGCGTTAAAAGTCATTTGATATTTCAATTTTAAATATCTCTATTTGGTTTATTATTAAACAAAAATATTTTTAATAGTTCAATAATAAATAGTATCACATTATTATTTTAATAAGTATTAATAACATAATTAATAATGGTTTTATTGTTTTAATAATTAACGTTAAATAATATTATTATTTTCATAATATTAATATATTTTAATAATTTCTTAATATTTTTAGTTTAAAATATATTATTTTATATTTTACTTATTAAGGTATTTATACTACTATTTTAATAATAACTATAAATAAAAAGTATTTTTATTATGATTTAGTAATGGGTACTTTCAATATAAAATCTAAATATTTTAATAGTATAAATATTTTAAAAATAAATATTGCTATTTTAATATTATAATATTAATAAAAATAATATTTAAGAATAGTAATACTATTTTAAATATTTTAAATTATTAATATAAAGAATAAAAAATAGTTTTGTTTTAAGTTTTTTTTAATTTTAATATAATATTTTAATATTAAATATTATTATTAAAATATAATTATTTGAGAATATTAATAATTTTAATAATAAATAATTTCAATATACTTTAATAATAAATAAGTTTTAATATTTTAATAGTTATGTTAATATTATTTGAAAAAATAATAAATAAATAAACAAACAATAAAAAATATTATTTATTTATTTATCCAAATAATAAAAAATCTCTACTTTTCCAAAAAATGTAAACATTTTTCAAAAAACATTTTCTAAAAATAATTTTCACTAAACAAACAAAATCTTAAATTGTAATGCATAAAATTAAATTATGAAATCATAAAAAATAAATAATATTAATAATTTTAGTTTAAATGAGCCAATTTAAAATTATTTAACATAAATATACATAAATATTCCTATTATCTAAAGGTTTTCAAAAATTTGGAGAATAAAGCCCTTTCAACGTTAAACCACGATTTGCTTCTGTTCCTAAATTTATTAATTTTATAGAGATTAGGATGGTGACGATGATGGTCACTTTGACCTGAGTCAAGTGAAAGAAATCAGTCACTTTTGCCAAATCATTCTCATGATTTTGATCACATGTATGCATTTTAAATCCAATAAATATATTTGTAAAGTCTCTAAGAACGAAAAAATCAATGTTCAAACTAAAAACAAAAAAAGTACAAAAAACTTTGTACTCAAAGGATTTTTAGAGTTTCAATCAAATGCATATGACAATCTTCTTGGCTCAAAGGTTTTTAGAATTTCAACAAAATGCATATGACAATTTTCTTGGAAAATCAAATGGTCTGTTTTCGTTATACTCTTTTTATGTAGTTGTTGTATGTGTATGGTAGAGAAGCCTTTATAATGGATTTATTAAAAATTATTGTAGCATTGATATTTTGACATCTATTCTCACTTAAAAATTGTTGAGCATCAATCATTTTGGCATTTGACACTTAATAATTATTAGATGAAATTTCTCTAATAATCTCCAGTATAATAAAAATCCAATTCCAACTTTTATTTCAATACTCACTGCTATTTCACTTATTTTGATAAGCTTTCTAGTTATCATTAATATTTTATTTTATTATTTTATATTTTATAAATAAGAATTTTATTGAAAATTCAAAAAGCAAATATTAATGGAAATTCTTTATTACCAAAGATCAAACCCAAATCTCTAACCAGAATAGTTATTACCGAATATGAAAGCCAAATATCCTAACCACCGATTCTGCTTGTTTATATGTTTATTATTGGTTCCTTAAATGCCATCTGTTATTTATATGCTTATTATTGGGTATTATAGGCGCCTTCTAAATGCCAACTTTTGATGGAGTATCATCTAATGGTTATGTCTCTTAGATTTTCAAAACTTGTGACTGACTTTATATTAAATTGTACAAATAAAATATAAAATTGTCTCTATTACCTATGTAGTTGCTGAGATTATTTTCAAAAGGTTCATAATATTAATTCTTGCTGGATCACTGTCTCTTTAACGCAGCTGTCTCATTAAAATTTTTAAATCAAAACTTTTTCACATTAGACTAAATTTTAATTTCCTTTTTTTTTTTTTTAAGTTTTTAATATAATTCTGTATGATTGCAAAAGACCAGACAGGCTTGCTGCTATTGAGAAAGTTTCCAACTAAGTTTTTAAGATATCAGCAACAAGGAATAATAAGTATTATTGAAAAATTTTGAAAAAAGAAAACGCATTAGCTAAACTAAAAAAGGTGGCGACATTTGAGCATGGGTGGCCAAATAAGATGTAGAGCAGAGACAGAAATAAGTAGAAGAAAAAAATATGACGTGGATTAATGGGTTATGGGTAAGTTCACTTGGTAGTTTGTGTGTCAAACACAATTGTTTTTCCTGTTAATTGATTGGATGAAAAAAATAAGGATAACTAGATTTGAGATATTTAACAAATTTTAGTAATTTGAACGATACAAAATATTTAATTGGGTAAATAAGTAAAGTCGAGTGAGTAATTATGTAATTCTTTCCAAAAAAAATTATTATAAATTTAATGATATTATAATATAATTTTTTCTCTCTTATTCAACAATAAATATAATTTTATTAGTGTGGGGATTCAAATTTATTTATTTTCATACATATTTATAAATAAATTAAATTTAATCAAATTAATTTAATAAAATCATTATTTTCAGTATTTTGAAATATTTGAATTAAAATTTATTTTATCATCTCTAACATTTTTTATGAAAATAAATAAAAATTTTTTTTAAAAAATATTAATAACAAATCATGAATGTCTATGAGAACAATGAATGGGATGGTGACATGTTATATAAGGGAGGCTTTTACGATGTTTGGCCGTGTCTAATCAATACATAGCTTTTGGAAAACACAAAATTTATAGCCTTAAGATGTTCTAAGTGTCATTATTGATTGACCAGATTCAACATGGGCGGGTTTTTTGCGTTGGCCCTATCGAATTAAAGTTTGAGATAGTATCTATGACCGGGTTTAGCCCATGAAAGATGGATTAGGCATCATCGACCTTATTGATTTAATTTCACACTTAAAAAATTTTATTCATTAATAATTTCAAAGTATAGAAGTAAAATCTAAAACAAGTCCTTCTATTTGACTTGGCTACCACAATTACTCCATTAAGAATTATTTTCCTCTGCTTTAACCTAATTTTCCCTTTTTCTTTTGTTTACTAACTACCAGTAATTATCTTTTTTTTATTTGTTTTCAAACTCCAAATATAGTGTTAGTTCTTATTGCTGTATTTGGATCAGTTAACATAAAATTTTTATATATATAATTTTTTTTCAATAAGATAAATAAATTAAATATCAAAAGAAAAAAAGGCGCATCATTTGGGGTGGGAAGCCAGACAATTCTTCCAAGGGTCGAAAGCCCCTTGGACCGAAGCGAACCAAAGCCTAATGCCATTGGACCCAACCCAAGGTTGTATGCCTTGCCCTAATACACACAGCAAACAAAGTAATATATTACCAGTGTGTAATCTTCCCGAGATAACAGTTTTAATGATCCATTTTTAGTACGGAAAATCCTGTTCACATTTAATCTACCACCCATGCAAATGGAATGGATGAACATGCATTGTTTGAAAAAATTCATGCTAATGATTCTGATCACACCCATATATCAACTATATGATCCCCCGTCTCACTGGAAAATAGATTACTATAATCCTAGTTTGTACGAACTTTTATTAACCACACAAATTTGCTGCGTCTGTCTATCACCAGAATCAGTAGAATGCGGGAAAACCTAGGGAGACTTATTTTGATCATTCAGCACCACTTGTGGGATGAGTCACAACCCCCAACAACAAGATTTTTAAGATGGTGATATCAGAGCAAATCAATGGTTATCTTTCAGCATTCAAAGTTTCAAATCGATGTACTGATAAATTCCAGGGAAGGAAGCAGAGCCCAGCTAAGGCTTCTCAGTGCATTATTGCTGGTCACGCATATAACGAGTTTATGCAGAGCTGCAAGGACCCTAGTCTCCCTGACCCTGAAACTGTAACCCCACCAAGCCAGAAGTTTTGCTGCCAGAGAGACAGGTACAATGCCAAAATTACTACCATAATTTCATATAGTACAATGTACAAGCAGGAATTTTAAAGCCATTGCTACTAAAGTAAGTCCCACCCATTTCCTTTTTCTCTAAGCTACAATAATTGATAACAAAGTCTTTATACATATTTCCCCATCAATTTGATCTTCAATCATCTAATGCTCATTCTTGGAATACTGATATTACATCGATGGCTTCAACTTCCTTTACTCGCTATTTTGAGATATAACCTCTCCAAACTTTTGGAAGAGTTGGGCATCAGTGGTACTCATAGATGGGCAATTGACCAACTGTGGAGTCTTGAGATTTGCATACTCGTCCTTGTAGCTAGTCACCTTAGTAGATGGAGGAGGCGTTGGTTGGAGTGAAGTTGGCTGTTTTGGTGGGGTGTCCAATGGCATTAGGCTTCCTAGAACCCGTGTCACTTCATGCATTGTTGGTCGATCTGATGGGTGTCTCTTGGTGCATAGAAGGGCAAGCTGAAAAACTTTCTTAACTGCTCCAAGATCTTTGCAAGTAGCAGTGATGTCTGGATCAACAGTTTCCATAACAGCATTATTGGCAGTCTTGGACAAAATCTGATACACATGTAATGCCAATTGAGTTTCTAAACTACGCGTAAACCCAAAATAAAGTATCCTGTCAAAATGACGATAAGGCTCATTATATTTCAACTTATAAAGATGGATATAAGACTAACCAAATGATGTAGATTGCATTCGTTGTCTACAGCTTTCTTTCCTGTTAGTAATTCAAGTAGAACAATCCCATAGCTGTAAACATCAGATTTCTCAGTAAGGCGAGAAGTTCGAGCATATTCGGGGTCTATATAGCCAATGGTGCCCATTATGTATGTGGAAGTGTGAGACTTTGATATGCATAAGCTTTTCGCAATGCCAAAATCAGTAAGATGAGCCTCAAAATCCTTGTCCAATAAAATGTTACATGACTTTACATCCCTGTGGATGATTCGGGGACTGCAGTCATGATGCAAATATGCTAACCCTTGCGCTGCTCCAAGTGCTATCTTCAAACGAGTATTCCAATCAAGCTTTTTCTTCTTGATAGAAACTGCATTAAACAAATATTTCCAATTTGTAATTCAAAAAGGGAAAAAGATGTTTTTTTACTATGGATGATAGAAAAAATGTGTTCCATGAGGAGATGAGTCAAATGGGTGTAGAAAGAAGCTAGAGAAATACCCACGTATTCTAACACCAGAGTATTAGCAATTTAAACATGCAGCATACTGCTTCATTTTTAGAACACAAACTTACCATGGAGGAGATCCCAAAGACTGCCATTTTCCATATAGTCATAGAAGAGAAGGTTCCCAGAAGGGGAGAGAGAATATCCCTGAAGGCTGACCAAATTTCGGTGCTTAATGCTGCCTACTGTCTCAAGTTCTGTCTCAAATTCCTTTAAGGACTGTGGATAGTGAGAGTAGAGTCTCTTGATGGCAACTGGCTTGCAATTCTTAAGAACACATTTGTAGACTGTGCTTGATGCACCATTGCCAATTATATACTTCTCACTCAAATTCTCAGTCATCCTCATTATGTCCTCGTATACATGAAGTGCCATATTCATGTGAAGGATCACTAATTTTGGTGTTGAGTAGGTAACTGTGGTTAAGAAGTCCAAGTCAATAACAGGGGGCATACATTTCAATAAGGCATCTTTAAAAATAAGAAACAAAAACCAATTAACCTTTCATAATTAATTTTAGTATCCAACCTATCTCTCCTCCTTTTTCACTTCTCCAAATTATTGTAACCTAGTCTTGCTTACCACCTTATATTCTTAGATTTTTTTTTTTTTGGCATTTTTCCATTTGGAAACCCAAAATGGGACCTTGAAACTTACATAATAATTCTTTGTCCACCTATGTTCTATAATCCAAGGCAGAAGGACTTGCATGAGTTTACACATAAAAAGAGAAAAAACCTGGCTTATCCAGTGATCCATCTGGAAAAGCTGTAGGATTGTGTGGGCGACATACTGCAATCAAGATCATTAGTAGAATCACAAGGGCACCAAGTGCAATGCCCAGGATTGCCGCTTTAGAGATTGCAACTGCATAATAGACAAGAGTGAGCAGAACAAAATGAATAATCATCCAAAGAGAACTGAAAAGCCTTAACATACCAAGAAAATATTAACCATCTAAGAACAGGAATGATTATATAACAAATTTGATATTAACATGGAAAAAAATTCTTGGCACTCTAACAGTAATATTGCCGAGAATTTTGTGTAGATGTCGAAATAACCGATGAGGTAGTAACTCATCATGTCAGTGTCTATTTTCGAGTCATAAAGGCCCTTCAGTTTCAACTTCAGGTTAACTATCTGCTTTAAATTTAGAACTTCTTTTGGCAGCTTATGGCCACTCATTGTACAAAATGTGAGTTAAAAATGCTTGTCTCTCTAAGGTCATAATTACCTCTCTCTGTGGGATGAGACCCATGGCATGGAGAAGAAAGCCAATAGCCACAAAGCCCAGGATTTCCAATAAAACTGCACCCGAGATGTTGTCAGTTTGAAGTCAGCTTTGGTTGAAAAAAAGGGAGCAGCCACATTGACTTTTTTGTTCACAAATATTTGTACAAAATTCAAGTAAGCAAAACCTTACCTGTCTGGTGAGAATCTAGAAAAGTTATTGCCTGTGGGAATATCACCAGCAAGGTTGTTATAGGAGACGTTTCTGCAAGGTTTCAGGGAAATTTATAAGGTTATATAATGCCACTGTTACTATCCATTATGAAGGTAAAGCTATATTAAAAAGAAAGCACAAAATCTAGTGAATCATCAACCCACAAGATGGTAAGACTGATGCAGTTGATTAGTGACATCACATCTCCTGATAAGTTATTCTTTTCTAGTCTCCTGCACGTAATTTGAACCAGGGGATTATAAGGATGAAAAAATATATTATCAAGAAGTCTGAGAACCTTAATCCCTCCAGAATCAGTAATCCATAAATAAAAAAGAGCAAATGTCCGACTTGAAGCCAAGACCATCTCAAATAATTCATATAAAAGAACTTCAGCCACTGAGGCGTCGGCTTACACAAAGCATGGACCCATTGTTGCAAGGACTTCAATTGTGCACCAGAAACCATCCCAACACAAAGCTCTAAAAGGATGTAACTAAAACTAGAACCTCAGAAACAAATAGTTCTGCTTATGTGAAGGTGCTTTGCTAAGGCCATAAAATTGCCACAATTTATTCTGACATGTTCTCATTAATAAAAATGTCATATATACTGCCATGTTCTTTCTAAAACCTAAAATGTTCAAAATTGCAGTTTACACAGTTACTTACAATGAGAACATGTTCTGAAGCTGTGTGAGTTCCTGAGGAATAATGCCTGAGAGATGATTATTAGAAAGGTCTCTACAATGTAGAAGCATAGGACAAGAAGTCAGCAAGGACTACTGAAAGCTTTAGCATATTCATGGCAGTAAAATTAAGATTTCTTACATCTCCATAACACTTCTTAGATTACCAAATTCTGCTGGAATGACTCCTGTCAAATGATTTCTGCTTAAATTCCTACAAAAATAAATAAAGCAATACTAAGGTGAAAATCTTTGGTAGGACTTAAACCAGATACCGTTTTCCAGAAGCACTCACAGCTTCAGAAGGTGTTCCAAATCACCAAGGGATGAAGGAATAGAGCCACTAATATTGTTGTTAGAAATGTCCCTGGGAAAACAAACCACAAATAAGAACCAATAAAATGAACAAAGAGGCACAGCTGGGGGCAATTGATACTTACAGAGTATCTAAATTACCAATTCGGGAGAGCTCAATTGGTATAAAACCCTTGATATTGTTAGAAGAGAGATTCCTGAGGGGATATAGAGACATGATTAGAGTGATGAGATTCATCATGACAAAATTAAGAAGAGAAATTATGCATGATGCTGAACATTTGAGCCAAGCATTTAATATAACAAGGGTGAAGCTTACAGATAGGTCATACTCTCTAGCCCTTCAAAAGCAGGTGGAATGGTTCCATTCAACTTGTTTCCGTGCACATTTCTGTCATCAAATCAATCAATGATAACTACCTTATACCTGTTCAAATTTAAAACAAAAGTTAGAGAAATGAGATCAATGCTTACAGGCTGTTGAGATTCGTACATGAGCTAAGATTATCAGGAATTGATCCTTCAAGGTTGTTGTTGGCAACATTCCTGCAAAAAATTGTATCAGAGCTTATGATATATTGGGAACCAATATATATTGAACAATCAGGAAATTAACATACAGGTCAAACAATTCTGTTAGCTTCCCAAGCTCTGGTGGTATATGTCCTGTAAGATGATTATCATTCAGTTCCCTGCACAAGGCAAAATTATGCTTGAGATGCAGAAAATATTTTCTTCACATTCATTGGCATCAACATAACTTATATGTTACATGGCCAATCCAGAAATCAAAAAGCAAAACAATTCAGCAGAGGCTCCTTGGCATTGGAATTAGGCACAATAAACAAAGAAAAAGTAATCTTACAAGTAGTGCAGCTTTGTCATATTTCCCAGCTCGGGGGGAATTGATCCAGTCAGTTGGTTACCATGCAAATATCTAAAGCATGTGGCATATTCCCATCAAAATATTGCTCAAGAAATACACTAGCAGCTATCTCATCGTACTTTGAATTTCATAATATAAAACTTGCAGTTGCAATCAAAATTATACTACCGAGTATCAAAAGAACATGAACAGCAAGAACCTACTTACAATTTTTCTGTGTACGTCAGATTCCCCAAAATAGGAGGGATGGGTCCATTTAAATTGTTGCAACTTAAATCCCTGGATAGAACACACGAGAAAGTGACCAGACATGAGATTGATAACACAAGGAAAAGAAAGAATTCAAATGATGGTCAAAGGACTTCAACGCAGTTATGAACAAAAGGGACTTACAAGACAGCAAGTGCCTGCATCAGACCAATAACAGATGGAATCTTCCCTGAAAGATGATTACCTTGCAAAGATCTAACCAGGAAAATCAATATGAGAACCCTTAATAAAATACACAGTTTTTAGGCACATGATTATAATAGGAAAAAAAAGGAAAATTTCAGGCACATACAATGTGGCTACTTGCAAGAACCCAACATTGAATGGAATTTCCCCTGTTAGCTGGTTGTAGGACAAGTCCCTACCAATCACAAGGAAAATTTTCATTTAAATAATATATGCAATTTGGGCATCTGGCCTCATTGAGTTATCTGATGAGTACATACAAGACCTGAAAGGCAGTGCAGTTGCCTATATTCTGAGGGATGCTTCCAGTCAAACTGTTGTTCCTCACATCACTGAAAGCAATGTGGAGCTTAAGTTAGACTGGAAAAAAGCCTACATGCTAGAGTAACAACATGGGATATAAGGAAACTTACAAGTACCACAAACCAGTTAGCTGGCACATGTCTGAAGAAAGTGTACCAACCAGATTGTTTCCTCGCAAGCCACTACATTGAGGAAGAAAAGAAAAGAATTAAAAACATCCAGGCTAAAAATTCATGGGAAGATATCATTATATGGCAAAAACATTCAAATTGAACTGTTATACAGTAAAAGGAAAGGGTACAGTAACTATTTTGCACTCACAGATACTGTAACACTTCATTCCAATAGATAAGCCTAGGTATTTCCCCAGTGAGTTTATTTTGTGCCAGGTCCCTGAAACCAATATGTCACAAGTTAGAGCATGAAAAATTCATCCTCTCATCTGTGAATTACACGGCAATGTTAAGAAATTAGAAGAACTTACAAAACTTTCAAGCTTGGAATCTGTGACAAAGTTGAAGGTATTGGTCCAATTAACTGATTGTTTTTCAAAATTCTGAGTGGTGATTTAAAAAAACTTCAAATTAGTACATTGAGAATTTGAGTGACACGGTATAGTGAGAAATGCTTCAAAAGTAACTTACAGAAATTCCAGTTGTTTCAGCTTCGAGATTGAAAAAGGTATGTCTCCATGTAACTCATTAAAAGACAAGTCGCTGATAAACCAGTTAACAATGTCAAATCTAATTGACAAGCTACTTTTCTAAACTTTATAAAAAAAAAAATCCACAATATCAGATTCTAGAGCACTTTTCCACTAACCCACTTACAGGCTTTTCAAAGATGAACAGTCACCAATCTCATCTGGGATTTGGCCAGACAGACGGTTTCCTCTGAGGTCACTGATCAAATAAGACATAACCTTTATCAATCTCAATTCAGAAGCATTCCGTTTCATGTACAACAGCAAATAAGTATGGACTCCAATTGCTTCAACAATTCTTTTACAACAAAAAATGAGAACGGTTCAGGAGAATATACTTATTCTTTCTACCGAACTTACTATTTCCATGTAAATTTCCTACTAAAATGATTTTTAATAAAAAAGACAAACAGGGAAGAATAAAATACTATAAAACATAGATTGGATTTTAAAGAGAATGCAAGAAAAAAAAAGTACATAGTGAGGAGGTCCTTGAGATTTCCAATTGCCGGTGAAATTTCCCCATCAAGATTTAAGCCTGATAGGTTCCTACAGTGCCAGAACCAAACAAACATCAGCTGAAACTTTTACCATCAAGAATGATAATTACCAAGACAAAATCATAAAAAACAGTGAAAGAATTATAGTATTAAAACTTACAGCGCAACAACATTGAAGGTGACATTGTCGCAAGTGACCCCTCTCCAAACACAGTAATCTGAAGATGGTGTATCCGTCCAGTCATATAGAACATTGTCCACGTCCCTAAACGACTTCTTTATCTCCAACAGTGTTGCTCCTTCATTACATTACATTACATAGACAAAAGCACGAAATATTAGGTTCGTTGTACAGATACAGACTGACAACACATAAACAATCAATCTATCTTCAAAACCTTTTGAAAGAAAAGAAGTTAAAATCAAAAGATTGTTGCTCCAAGCATGAACCATAACTGTAACAAAGAATTGAAACACTCAAAAGCAAGAAGCTTGATTACAAAATCAGTAGAAAACAGTACACCAGCACCCATTTTTCTAAAAAGAATTAAAAGGGTAACCTTTAAAATTTAAATAAGAAAAGCTTCTGACTTTACTTGCCATTGTTTTTTTTTAACAATTTCGAAGTATCCAAACAAAACCCAGTAAGAGAAGGGAGACCCTTTATTATTTATGAGAGAAAGGAGCACTTACCATCTTCTGAATCCACAAAAGCAGAGCCCAAACAGAAGAGAGAAACCAAGAAGACAAACTCCAAACGAAATGCCAATGCCATCATTAGACAAAAATAAACCTTATTTTTCAAATAAAAACCACCCACACCATTTCTCAGGCAATGAGAAACAAACAAACAACGTTGTTTCCTGTCAGCACTTGAAAAACCCAAGCCAAAAACCTCTCCTTTTTTCTCTACTGCCCTACTGGTGTCACCGACATGGCAAAATGACGGAGAATATAAATGAGCTCACTTTTTTATGGTAACTTGCTGTTGCCCCTATTATTATTTGTTTTTCTTCTACCACATTTAGTTTTTTATGACTTTTGGGTAAAGATAAGGAGGGAGGAGGACAGGAAGAAGAAGAGGAAGAGCATAGGCGTCTGCTCGTTACATCACATCGTTCTGCCGCATAGACCCCTTCTCCCTATATACAGACCCCAGAGAGTTTGAGAGAAGTGCCAAACAGAAAAGAAAATTACTTACAACTGTTAAAAAACAGAGAAAGAGAGAGAGAGATTGCAAGAAAGAAAGAAGAATTATTTCATAGATAAAGTCAAAAAACCTCTCTGCCATTGCTCTGCCATCTCCCCTGCCTACTACAGCAAGCACCCAACTCTCTCTCTCTCCTTGCTCTTTTTAAAAACTTTTTTCTCCATTTAATAGGGGATAATAATAGAATAATTAATTAAATAATTATAAATTATAGGCTATAGATATGAAACAAATCATGGGTCGCTTTCTTTTATGTAATTTGGCAGCTGAGAAAATAATTCTTTTTGGGTTGACAAAGAACGCTTTTTTTTATTATTATTACTTGTCATGTTTTGAATATTACAGTCAGGTTAAATTTGGGTGAAAATTGGAATTTTTTACTGTGTTTTTTGTTTTTTTAGTCATTTGGGTGTAAGTCGTTTATAGAGTCGCAGTACTATATTTTGTAGGCTTTTTTTTTTTTTCCTATTTGACAGTTGCAAGTTACTTTCCGTTATTAACTGCTCTCCCGCCAATGAATCATCGCCGTATTTTTAATTTAGCTCGCCGTTTTGACTATTACACGGTTTTTTTTTTTTTTAACTAAAAATATAAAATAAAAAACATACTGCTGTCGTTTCGGTCGACATCTGATAAAATTGAAAAGATAAAAAAAAAAAACCTACTATTAATTTAGATGATCATATACATGCGGTTTTGACTAACGCTTGTAGTTTGTGCCAAATTTATTTATTTATTTTCAATTTCAACTTTACTTGATCGTATCATGTGATAAAAAAATGTAAATTTTTTATTATTTGAGTTTAAATTTATTAAAAAATTATAAAAAATAATTTTTTATAAATATATTAAATCTGATACAAAAAATTTTATTTGTATCAATAAAAAAATATTAAGTAAAATTCAATAATCCCTTATCATTCAATTAAAAATAAATTTATTTAAATCAATAGAAAAATAATATTTTCTTGCAAAGCTCAAAATCTCTTATTGTTCAATAAAAAACCTTAACAATAGTTATTCTTTTAAAATTAAATATTTTTAATCTTCTTTTTCTTAAATTTCTTCATAAGTAGCATTGATTTTTGGACAGCAGGAAAAAATTAAATTAAATTCTTTTTTATAGATTATTCTAAGTGCATTGTGTAATTTGAATAAGGATTTACTTACATCAATCTAAGTTTTATAATTTTAAAAATTTAATTTAATTTTGATTTAAAATTAATAATGTATATAAAATTCTATGTAAATGGATCTCTATTTACATAATTTATTTAAAAATGTAATTCATAAAATATTTTTTTATCAACAATTAATATCTAAAAATTAATTTAGTAAATACATATAAGACAATAGCACAAATTCGTTTATAAAATTAATAATTAAAAAAAAATTTAATTATTATCGTATAAAATAATGATTAATAATATATTTATTTTTTTATATTTCTAAGGAGTTTTTTTTTTTAATTTTCGAACGAATTTTATCATAACTGTAACATTGTTTATCTTGGTATAATAATAACATTTTATTATTATCAATTAAGATATAATTTATCTTAAATTGTATATTTTTATAATTCGATATATATAAAAATTTTAATTATTTAATAATTTATTTTAATTTTCATCAAATTTTTATATTATTAATTATCGATGTTAATTAAAATAACAATATAACAGATAGTAATGAATAAAAATAGATCATATATTATGATTTTATTCATTAATTTTTATTTATCACATCAATGTACTATTAACTAATTTGGTATATGATGCAAATGAAATGATAAATAAAATTAAATTATAAATTTTTATTATATCAATTTACAAAATAATATAATTTAAATATAAAAATTCATATTAACTGTATTACTATGACTGATCTGATTCCTGTAAAATCAATCATCAACGTGGTCAAGAGAAAAGGGAATTCAGAATCTTGAAAAAAAAAAAAGTAAGGGGCCACAAGAAAAGGCGAGTCGTACTTGTTTTGTTTTTAATTTTTCACCTTGGGAAGGTCATTTGTCTCGTCTCCTCACTATCTCTGACACCCGCTTCTTTCCATTGATGAAGTAACATTGCTGGGACCCCCCTCTCTCTTCTGACACTTTTGACGTCGTCACCTCCTCTCTCTCTCTCTCTCTCTCTCACGCCGTTAACGTTTCTGTCATCCTGTCCTTTTCCATCTGGTCCTTTCTGCATCAGATTATTGCTCTTTTTTCTTTTTTACTGTGTTTTTTCTTTTGGGGGGGGATTTTTTAATCAAGTTTTCAGAAGGTTTCCCGGAAAAACAGTATTTTCTTCTTACGGCAGTAACATGTCTTTCTCGATGGCCCACTTACACTCTTCCCTCCCCCACCTCTCACGTGACTATTTTTTTTTATTTTCTTTTTTTTACTATTTTTAAGCTCTATTATATTTAAGTTGATATTTATAAATATGACTAAAAATTTAAAATATATATTTAATTTAAATAAAAATATATATTTCATGTTTAACATATAAATATAAATTATAACATATTAAATTTTATATTTTATACGAAATAAACATGTATACAAATGATTAAGATTAATTGTATCTTCTCACACGTTGCATTCAAAAAAATATTAATGAATCCACCATTTATTTAATTTAAAATAATTTTATATTAATATTTTAATATTTTTACAATTAAAATTAAAAAATTTATTTTTATTGATATAATAATATCACCAACTTATGAATCAAATTTATATTACAAAATTTTTACCATACCATTTTTTTTTTGTTTGAGATTTTTAAGTATTTGATAATCATTTTAAATTTTGATTAATTCGAAATCGAATCAGGTTGAATTTCATAAATTGACAAATTTTTTTTAATTTATTTTTTTCATTCATAAAATTTAAAATCAAACTCTTTAATACTCAAACTAATAAATATTAATATCATATGATAATTACATCATATATTTTAAGACAACTCGAGTGAATAAAAAAAAATAGAGCATTTGTCATGTATCACAAAAAGAAAAGGAAAAGGTTCATAATGAAACATTTAAAATAATGTTTAACATATATAAGCTAAATTATTACAATCTTACTGAATTCCATTAAAACACAAAGAAGTTGTTATAGAGAATTATCCAAGATCGGTGATGGCAATTGAGGATTGTGGACAACCTTGTTGTTTGTGGACCCAATGACAAGTGCCTCAACAAATTTAAACATTTTTTACTTTTTATTTTTTCCTTTAATTTGTTCCATCTAATAAATGGCTTTTATCACTTTTTTTTTTTTTTTTAAATCTATTTTATACCCTTACTTGATTTAGAAGCCTCCCTATCATTTGATCAAATTATTAATTTAATTGTTTAAAAGGGCCACACATTTCTTGTGGGGTCAACTTCTTTCTTAAAATAGGTAATTTGCTGCTCTTGTAGACATTGGGAAAATTTTCCATATTAATTGTCAAACTTATAAGTTACATGTAGTTAAAATTTAAATGGCAAACATGCAAATAATTTGTCCTCAAATATTAAGTTAAAAATCGGATTTTAAAGGCTTTTAATTTGAAAGTTTCAAAGTAAAAGGAAAGTTGATTAATCAATTAGAGACAAATTATATTATTGTGCACTAGCTAATGTTGATTTAAGTGGGGAAAAATGTGTGTGTGTGTTTTTTTTATTATTATTTGAATTGAAATCTTTTAAAAATTTATAAGAAGATAATTTTTTCATAAAGAGAGTGATTATTTGCATGTCATTTTTTGTTCTATATATCTCATTTTTTTTTATTTTTTTAAATGAAATTATTTAACTATCTATTTTCTTATAAATAAGTTTTTGAAAATAAATTTTTGAAAAGTTTTAAAGGGTTTTTGGAAATGAATTTCCGGAAGTTCTTAAAGGTTTTTTAAAATGAATTTCCAATTTTTTTTTAAATTTTTTGAAAATTTAATTTTAAAAATCTTTAAAGCTTTTTGGACATTTATTTTTAAAAATTATGAAACGCACAAAAATATTTCAATATGAAATTTTGCAAAATTAAATATGAAATTAAATAAAAAAAATAAAATGAACAAATAATTTGAAGTTCTTAAAGGTAAAAAAGCAGTTAAAAATTTTACCAATTTGAAGTAAAAAAAGCATAAAATTAAAGATAAATTGCTTGTTATTTTTATTTTTTATTTGATTTTGTGTGTAATTTCATAAAATTTATTGTTGAAATATTTTTGTACAATTCAAAATTTTAGAAAATTCCCAAAAATGAAAAATTGAAAAATCATAAAGTTTTTTCGAAATAAATTTTTAAAAATTTTGAAAATTCATTTTCAAAAACTTGTTTTAAAGAAAAAAAGTAATTCATTTACAAAAAAAAAAAAAAAGAGTGTGAAGAGAGAAGAGTGTGGTGCATTTAGCAGCATTCTTTCATAAATTTATTGATTCAATGTAAATAAACTATTAGGATCAATAAAAAACAATATATTAAGAGAAATTTAAAAATTTCTTATCGATTAATAAAAATTTATATCATTGTGTAAATAGAAAATAATATATTAAAACATCATTTATAGAAAATTAAATTAAAAAGATATTTGCCAAAACATTTTACCATGAAAATTTCACATCTTAGCACAAGCATTGTGAAAATAAGAATGACATAGTAGCTTCAAATTTGTTAATTTGAACTTCCAATTCGCACCTCAATTAGGAGAAAGGTCCAGCAGTTGTGACCCATGGGAGCATGGCAACGTGCTTATATGCCAAAGTGGATATTTTCTTGGACCAAAATAAATAAATAATGGGTAAAGAACAGCATATATGGAGGGGTAGGGTGGACCCACCTATCACATGTAAAGCGTGTTTGCATGAAAGTCCTTTCAACTAAATGAGTTCCCAATCACGTGCCCATTTAATGTGTGATTATTTTGGTTTTTTTTTTTTTTTTTGGGCCGGGGGTGTGCGGGGGGGGGGGGGGGGGGGAGAGGGCCATTAGCTAGTAGCCATGGCGATGGCTCTTCTTTCTTCGTACGAAGTCACACCCAATTAGGGCCATTGCAATATTGTTGAAGAAAACTAAAAAATTAATTTAGTTTTTTTTTTTTTTAATTTATAAATGCGTGAATAGTGATTTATAGTATAATAAATAAACAAATAAATATGTGATTTTAATTTTTTTATATTATAATGTATAGAATCAAGTTAAAAATAAAAAAGTAAAATTAATAAATAACAATTTTAATGTAAAAGTTAATTTAATTCAATTTAAATGTATATGAAATAATTAATAAGATATATAGACTACCACGTATTAAAAGAATTCCACAGATATTCAAATTTTTACAAGATGATAGCTGTTCAAATTTACTATGGGTTAGATATTTATTTAGCTTTTAGTTTTAACATTTGAATTTGATTTTTATTTATATGAAAAGTTGTAATGAGATCTAATGGGATTCAATTTATCACTTTTTCATGAAAAAGATTTTTTTTTTCTATTTTGTTGGTGTGGGTCAAAAAATTTTAAACAGAAATAAAGAATTTATCAACAAATTTTTATGGGTGAGATATTTCAAAGGGCCTACGAAAGTATACTAAATTTATTAAAAGTAATTCAACTTTTTAGAAAACAAAGTAAATTTTTAAAATCAAAATTTAAAGTGACCAGAATTTAATAAAATTCATCGAAGTAGTAATGAAGTTTTATGAATTCAAAATTAGAATTAAATAAATTTATAAATAAAAATTTAAGGTTAATAGATTTTTATTAACTCTACTAGATATTAAAAAAGTATTAAAATTTTCAATATGAAAACTAATTAAATTCATAAAAAATAAATAAAAATAAATGAAACAAATAAAATGAAAGTCACAATTTTCATAAAAATAAAATATGATAAATAATTAATAATAAATGAAAATATGTATAACCAAAATAAAAATTATGTTACTCACAAAACCTCATACATTCTTTTACACATGTCAATATAGGATTAAAAATAGAAATTAAAATTTTTAAAAAATGAATTTCAAGAAAATATATGATAATATTAAATAAAAAAAATTAATTTCCTTAAATTTAAATCAAGGAATGATGAACCATTTTATACTATTTTTAATAAATTTGTTTTTATGAAAAAATAAATTTATTATAAATTATAAATTTTATGAATTTTTTACCTTTTAATTAAAATTAAATTAAAAAAATACTGCAACGAATTGCGGGATCCATTCCAGACGGTCCGCCGTTGTCAACGCCATTCTTCGCGACCTTCTGCTATCGAAGGTTGTTTTTTTTTTTTACCAATCCATAGAGGACCTCAAGACCTTTGAATTTCATCAATAGTAATGCGTCAATTCAACCCTTACGGAAAACGGAAAGACAAACAATCCCCTTGAATTGTGTGCCGCGTTTTAGACGTGTGGAGCTAAAAGAAGGATTTTCTCTCTCTCAGGTTCAGCTGATTTCTGCTTGAACCATGATGTGTTGATAAATTGCCATTATTAAATTGCTTTGAATATCAGCTATGACTTTTTTTCGATGAGTTGGGGGGCTGGAGGGCTTGATGGGGATGAAACGATGAAGGTTTTTCAGTTATTTAAAACTTGGTACCTGGTGGGGGAAAAAAGAGGGGGGGAGGGGGGAAGGGGCGCATCGATGGCGTGGCACATAGCTAATGGAAGATATGGGCTGGGAGAGGACCTGATAGCCTACCAGAAAATAATGGAGTTTTCTGTCGATAACTTAATGTGATCCATACCTACGTGCAATAGACTACGCTTATATACCGTGCATCATCAGTCTCTGAATCAAACCACCCGCTTCAATTTACCCTGCATGTGGATGTGGTTGCATCGATAGCTGTCTTGCAAGAATCAGTGGCGGTACATGCTACGTCAGGCCTTACGAAAGCTGACAATAATATTAAAGCGATAGCGAAAAAAGAAATTAGGTTGAGAAAAACGAAGAGCAGAGGAGAAATTTATTCGTGTTCTCTCTCTTAATCGGACGAAGAAACTACATTTATCATTAAGATTGACAAGTGCCCCCGAATTATTAGATTTTGATTGTAGAAGAAGTTTGGCGGCTTTGGTTCTTTATAACACAATTTCAACATGCTTTATTACAAACATAATAAACTACTACAAAACTTAGATAAAATTAAAATAGATATAAATGAAAAAGAGAATTGATGTGGGCACATTCTCATTTCACTCGTTTTTCTGCTAAAGATATTAACTTCTCAGGATATTTATTCATTGGATTGACGTACTTTGTTAATTCGGAGCGGCAGGCATTTGTGATATTTAGGCAAGATTATTCTTCCTCCTCTTCTCAGACCCATGGAGCCGTAAAAGCAAGGAATTTGTTACAACAAATATTGAGCTCAAGGCCATTAGCCCACCTAAAAAATTGAAGCAGCTTAGCCATAGCCATAGATACGAAGAATATATTCTGGGGACCATATATAATAAAAATGTGTCGCTTTTTTTTATTTTTTTTCCAGTTCACTTACCAGAAAGTGAAGGTGTCATAGCAAAATCGTATTGGGGAAGTAATACACCAGCAGCAATGGGGATGGCAACAACATTATATGCTACTGCCCATGATAAATTTTGGTACACTTTTGCCATTGTTGCCTGTGCAAGATCCAGAGCGTCTACTACCTGCCAGGGGAGTATTCAGTGAGAATGATAGAATCTTTATCTGACTGGTTTTCTTTGGGGCGGACAAAATGTAACCTTCTATAAACATGTCATATAAAAGCAAAATTGACTAGCTAAACAGTTTAAAGAATCAACTAGATCATTGCATGAACACTAGAATTAAGACATCAAACAAGAGCATACCTGGGAGAGTTTGTTTCCAAGAAGTATAATAGATGCTGCATCAGAGGCTGCGGTTTCCTGTGCTTCATTCTGTAGAGCAATCCCCACATCAGCAAGAGCCAAAGATGGAGCATCGTTAATGCCATCTCCTACCTTTTGAGAAAAAAAAGACATATTAGCTGAATATATTTTCTAATGAAGCCAGTGTTGCATGCGTTTGCTTTTGTTAGGGTCATCCTAAATCTTTCTCCTGAGCACAGAATCAGTCTGATTATCTAACACCTAATCGTTGGACCGAAAACAAAATCAATATGGTTATTTCAGTTAAATCCACAGGAATTTGGTACACATCACCGCACTTCCTCATCTAAGTAAGTGGAGCAAGCAATACTGCCTGCTTTTACTAAAATATGAAGTCCAATTATTGACTGGAGAACCAGATGCACTTTAAATATGCTTTATATCATTAATCAAATTTACATTCTCGAGGACTGATTGTTCCGGGAGAGATAGTTACCATAGCGATGTGATGTCCAGCAGTCTGAAGAGTAGATATAACCCATGATTTCTGCTGAGGAGTTGAGGATGCATTAACAAATTCACGCCCTATACCAACTGTCTTTGCAATAGTTGCAACAGCCTCTTCCCTGTCTCCTGAAATAAGGATTGTTTTGATACCCTTCTGCTGAAGCCTTACATAGACAAGGAAACAAAATAAACACAAATAACAAGAAGTCAGAAAGTAAGAATTGCTCATGAAACATTTTTATCAGCATTTTTATGCATTTTCAGCACATTGTTTTATAGAATAAATGGAGAAGGAAATGGAAGTTATAAGTTGCTACTCAAGTTGGAAAAATAAAGAATACAGCTTCATTTCCAATCATCATCGGAGAACAATCAGATGAGCATTGGCTACTAAAAAAGACTTGTACATAACGTACATGAAAAGCCAGGCACTGGAGAGAACTTGCCCCCATGATAAAAGAATATGAAAATATTACCCGCTCACGGTAGACTCAGCATCACAGCGCAAACTGTCATATATTCCTATGGCACCAATAATACCTTCTCCTTCACGTCCAACATAGACAGCTGTTTTTGAATAGTTTGATGGTGATGATGATTGATGCATTACGGCATGTTCTAAATTCATCAAATCCGATGGCCTTGCCTTTATCTGGAAACGTTCATTAACCCATTCTAGATTACCAACAGCAACCAAACATCCATTTACTTCAGCTAAAGTTCCAAATCCTGGTTCAACTAGTTGTCCTCTTGTTTCTGGGAATGCCAAGTTCAAAGATTCTGCCTTTTTTACAATAGCCTTAGCAATTGGATGTGCTGCTGTTCTCTCTACTGCTGCAGCAATTTGAAGAATTTCTGGTTCATCATATGCAAAGGAAGCCACTGTGGAGACAGTGGGTTTTCCTTCAGTGAGAGTGCCTGTCTGTACAAAGGAAAAGAGGATACCGTTAGAGTGGAATTTTAAAGAGGAGAGAGAGAGAGAGAGAGAGAGTCATTATTTTCAGGTGTAGAAGTACTTTGTCAAAAGCAACATAGTCTACACTGGCCAAGCGTTCCAGAACATCCCCTCCTCTTATAAGTAGTCCTTGTCTAGCTCCTGATGATTTTCATTGCAGCAACATATAATTCAGTACAACAGAAAGTGAATTGTTGTTTGTACTTTGTAAAGCGTAAAGAACCAATAATAAAGTTAAATGCCCAGTATCCTATTCTTCAAATTCAAGAGTAGTTAAATGCTCTGTATCCTTTCTTCAAATTCAAGAGAATCCAACGTTCATGCTCCTCATACCAGTGAACAACATTACAGTGGTCTCAATATCATAATGGGCAAATGTTCCAAAATAAACAATATTTCCAAAAGTGGAGATTTGAGCATTTCCCAAAATCATAGTTTTCAAATTAAATTCTTTGCTATGTCCTCAATTTATCATTAAAGCACGAGCCAGCCAAAGCACTCCATATATTTACTTACCTATAGTTGGTTAAGGTGAATATAAGCTCTCCATATATTTACCTATACTTAAGGTGAACTAAAGTATGAACTATGAACTCTTTCAATTGCACAAACTATCTTCTAACCAGTGAATAAAAGTAGATCTGACAATTTGTGTCACCGTGTCGTGTAAAATATTATATTCGTTATGTGTTTTGTACGAAAATCGCGTGTCATAGTTCGTGTCGACACAAAAATATAAAATATAATTTTTTTGTTTTATTAAACCTATTTATGGTTTTTCTAAAATTTTAAACCGTGTTATCTTTGTATCCTTTATTCATATCGTTTTCGTATTGTGTTACCGTGTTGTATTTCAAATTGCCAGGTTTTTATAAAAGTATACTAAATGTTCACTGAATTAGTCCTAAACAGAAAATGCATTGAAATAAAAATTTATTGACATGCTAGGTAGTTACCAAGAGAGGTGCCAACAAGGATTGCTGTTGGTGTGGCGAGACCCAGTGCACATGGACAGGAAACTACCTGGAAAAAGAAAACTAGCATTACAAACTGATACTGCTAATAAATTTTATTATTCTCGATCTAGAGAAAGTACAATAAAACACAATATTAAATGAAAATTCTCTAAGAAAATTATGACATCTATTAAACAATCATCTGCAAGCGCTACCTTGTCAAACAAAACACACTTAAAATTTTTGTTTTTGTTTTTTATTTGTATATTCAATTATATTGTATCTTTCTGCATTTTGGCTGCTGCCATTCTTACAAGAAAATCTTCCCCAAATGTGATTTGCAACTTTTAACAGGAAAAGGCAGGACGGAAACACCTTTTAACTTGTTTTCTTCTTTTGAAGAAGATAAAAGAAGTTTCTTTTACCATATTGAGATTACTCTCATGACAAATAACTTGGCAACCAAATAGATAAAAAGGAAGACAATACAAACAATCAGGCAATAAGATGGTGAAAAAACTCAGGTAAACATAAGATTACTCACTAAGACATCCACTGCAAGTTTCAAACTCAAAAGCAAGGGATCTCCATCAGGACCAGCAATATCATTGAGCAAAACATCTGGAAATATGTGTGACCCGGCACAATACCTAGATATCGAAGCAACAAGGAGAAAGACACAAGAATTAAGCTAGTAGACAATCAGCAGGACGCTAAGAGAAAGTTAATAAATATCTATAAGCAACTAAAAAAAGCCCACAGAGACCAGCATAGTCTGGTTCTGAGTTAAAAACTAGCATGTAGAAAGGGAAATTAAAGAAATGCGTAAAGTAAATGAAGAAATTATAATTCTAGAATGGAAGAAAGTTTGGAAAAAAAAAACCTTGTCCAGCCTTTACTTAAATTAATGGCCCAGTTCTCACAAGCATATACAAGAGTAGAAGTATGCTCGGATCTAGGGGAATGATGGGGAGAGGATAACAAGAAACGAAGTGCAGATAAAATTGTCATAATCTCCTTCTAGATAAGATTTCAACTAATTGAACTTCACAAATTGAAGAACAATTGCCCATTTTGCTTTTGTGAAAGCATCTATGAGTTACATATGTATCTTGATAAATAAATTAGAATCCCGTTTTGTCCATCTATTTTAAGCATCTCAACTTTAATCACTCCATCCAAAGTTAAGACATCTGAAGAAACAAATTCCATACCAAAAAGCAAAGGTTGCCGCTGACAGTGTCATTATGCTATACACAAATGGCCCAGCTATTGCATCAGCAAGCCTTTGTACAGGTGCTTCTTGTCCTTGAGCATCCTCAACCTGAAAAAATGTTGCACATTTCTTACTCAGGCTAAAAGGAAGCAATGGTAGTCATTAGTTATAAGTATTAGATAAAGGGACAATTATACTCAGTGCAGCAGACTCATAGTGACTCGTATCAAGCATCAGATGTGAGAATATGACAATATGATTAATCCAATAAAAGAGGTTCACTAGGGCACTAACCATGCGTACAATCTTGGAAATAGTTGAGTTGGAGCCTGTGGAAGTTGCTTCAATCCTTAGAGGACCATCCTGAAATAGAACATCCATAAATATAAATGATGAATCTGGCCAAAAAAATGATGAATACATGGGTAAGTGGGTTTAATCTAAAATTCTTAAAAAATAATTTAGAAAGAATCCAAATGTAATCCCAACAATTAATCTTTGTCTAACTCTCCTCCTCAGGTTTAATTATCCCAAGCAGTCCAGCTAATATGCATTTTAATATAAAAGGTTATTCCTATATCTCTGAAATAAGCAATGGTCAGGTATTTCTCACCCTAAGGTAAAGCCAGTGGCATAAGTCATAGCATTTCAAATTTATATTCCTCCAAATCTTACCCAATTTATAGTTCCAGCAGAGACTGTAAGACCTTTTTCCTTGAAAACTGGAAGTGATTCTCCGGTCAGCATGGATTCATCAACCACACTTCTTCCTGCAACAACTTTCCCCTGTGTAGGGAGTTTTAATTTCAGCAGAAGTCCATTTGTGCCTATTATATTTAATCATAGTGATTATAAAAAGTTCAACTTAGTTTCATATCATTAGCAAGGATCTTATCAGCTTTAACTGAAAATACATAGGGCTTGTCTGTATATGGACTGAGTTTACAAATCAGAGTATGATGCAATAAATCCTTATGTTACAACATATTCAAGACTTACATCTACAGGAATTGTTTCTCCAGGCAAAACTAACACCATGTCTCCAACTCGAATATCGTCTGATGGGACTTCAATGCAAATAGCATCGGAGCAAAGTACAGAATCAACAGAGGAATCAGTGTCTGATGAAGTAATCACAAGTCTTGACTGAGTTGATATCAATGACTGCAAAAACAATGAAATCACATGTGAAATCAAACCATTGGCAAGTAGTTTAAAATTAGGGGTGAATATAATAGAAGCATGTTGTGCAAGTAAAATCTCAGTTTTAAGGATCCATAAAGCCCATAAGCCAGAAGTTATCGGTCAATGGCCGACAAAAAACAAGTGTAATAGCACCACAGGCAAGTATCAAGTCCAAGACTCACTAAAAGTTCATTTAAGTCACTAGATGCCCTAATCCTCGCTTTTTCTTCCAGAGAACGTCCCAGGAGTACAAAACCAAGAAGCATGACCTGCATACTAAAATACAAGAGCGCTTCATGAGAATCTATTATCAACCAAACCAAAACTATCAGGCTTCCATCTAAGTTGCTTCAGCATAAATGGAAATAGCTAATCAGTAGATATGCCAAAGGAGATCTTATCATGAGGCATTTGGTAGCTATAGCACAACCATGATATCAAAAATAAATATTGGAAAGGAGTAAAAGTAAGGCAAATCACCGGTTCATCAAAGAATGAAGCATCCCATTCAAGCCCAGGGTTAAGAAGTGAGACCTACAAATAAAAGGCAAATATAAGAACAACAGAATTTAGCAAATTGATTCCATCATGCTATATTAAGAAAACTGAATCTCAGTTTTCAAACCACAAGGTAAGCGAGAAAGAAAAATCTCACTGCACTAATGATAAATGCTGCAATCGATCCAAATCCCACGAGAGAATTCATATTGGGTGAGCCTTTCTTGAATGCCAATAAGCCATCAACTAGCAAATCTGCAAAACATTTTTTAAGCACTTTGATTGAAGTCAACCTTGACTCTCTGCAGTAATAATACATATTAAAAAGAGTTTTGCTAGCAACTGCCCTAAGACCAAGGAATATCTTCCCTAAATACATTTGAACTTATTGTCTTTAATGTAAGAAATTTCTTAAATACCGCCTAAATGTTAATATATGTGAAAACATGGGGAGAAATCAACAAACCTCTTCCTGGCCCCAACAAAGCCGCTAAAGCCAATCCACCTTTAAAATAAGAATTATGAAGGACCTCTAAAACCGATCCTGCATCAAACATAATTAAATCAGAGGCGTCATTATCACTTTTTTTTATTTAAATAAGAAATTATCTTTAATTGAATTAAATTACCATGGGCGATGTGAATCCCTAGCGAGTGCAAAATATGTGAAGCATGAGATCCGCAACAAAGCGCCACCAAAGTCCAAGCAAAAGACACTCTGTTCCTACTCTTAACCAGCAATTCCTCTTTCTTCTTCGACATTTCCTTCCATTTCCTCACATTCTCTCCGATTCCAAGCCCCGAGACCCTCCTCTTCGCCATGAACCCGCACTCAGTCACGCGCTGAGCTATACTCTCCGCAACAATCTCCACAGTTTCGCTCTCTATCAACTCTTGCTTCAACTTGATCGCCGCTGTTTCAGTTAATAAGTTGACCACGACTGAGTCGACTCGCTTGTCGGAGGAGATAACTGATTTGACTCGGGATACGCATCCGCCGCACATCATCCCATTTACATCTAGGAGAATCGACGAGTCTTTAGGCTTCTGTTTCGGCAGCTGGAGAGACGACCCTTGAGACTGTGATCTGGTTTCCAACGAATTGAATAAGACGAAACCAGGAGTTGACTGATGCCGGTAATAGAAACGCCTGCGACAGCGTCGTTGGAGTAAGTCAAAGCAGTCAACTTTAAGTTTTTCCCCATTACTGAAGGAGAGCTTTGGCTGAGTTGATAAAGAGAGTCTTAACAGATCCGCTGCCATTGCCATTTTGCTTTTGCAGAAAACAAAAGAAACGCAGAGAAAATAGATTTGGTGACGACGATCGTTAATGAAGCAAGAGGTAGTTGAACAATTAAAGCATTATCCAATCAACTTCGGCCACGTAATCTTGCAGTATATCCGCACGTTTTTTTCTTGCTATCGTTAAATTGAAGTTCACGTATCTTTACAGTCAAAAACAAGCGCCAGCCTGGCAAGATTGTGTCCAATTAAAATATTCAATTTATTTGTAATTACTAACGGCAGGGTTTATGTCAGCACAAAAGAATCAAAGCAATGATCCAAATAATGTCGCGCCACGTGGAAAATAAAAATCTCTCTTTTAAAATTCTGATCGTGCCACGTGGAAAAATTAACTCCGTCTTTAAGCAAAGCCTCTCGAATTTCCCTACTCTTCAAAAAAGTTAAAAAAAGAGGGACTGTCGCCAAGACGGCCAAAATAGAGCCCAAAATCTAAATCCCCAAACTCAGTTCCCAAATCTCTATCACTATATTCAGCATTTAATCAAACGGCATTCGCACCCCCATTTTTGAGACCATCAATGCCCAATCTCGTTCAAAATCAAGTTCTTGATTCAGTCAAGTAACCTTCACGAATCAATCGTTTCAACTGCCGATAAGTTCTCGAATTTCCTTGAACAAAATCAAGTTTTCAAAAATATCCTCGCCTTATCCTCTGAATTCCAAAGCTTCTGGAATGAGGTAGCTGATTTTATCATCTGTTTCTTTCATTCCGATACAAGTTCTGTGACGAATTCCAATTCCAATTTTTTTACGCAGGTATTTACTTGCAGAAACAACTACAGGAACGTTAATAATTATTTTCCGCTGTCAAATCACAATTTTGCGACGGTTTTACCTGATGATTTAGTGGCAGGGATCGTCGTTGCAAATGGAATCCTAAATTTCCATTTATAACGCGCTGTTAATTATAGGGCTGGTTTTGACTTGGTTCCCTAACACTCTTCCAGCCATTGTTAGTCCACTCAGGTACTTCCAATTCCATCAAATTTCTAAACGTTGAAATACTTGAATTCTTAATTTTATTTTAATATAAACTTTATCTTTTTGGTTCAGTACTTTATGTGATCCTTAACTGAACATATTCCGGGGGATAATTCCACCTCTATGAGGAACATTGGATTTATCTCCAATACTTGCATTTCTGGTTCTAAACGCATTCAATAGCATCGCCGCCGCACTTCCGGTGGCTGTGCAACCTCCTAGAAGAGCTTCATCTCATTCGTTGCTCACTCATTTAACCTCTTCGCGGAAGGAGTGGGTAGAATACTCAATAGGAGCCGGTCCGAGAGCCCCAATGGCACCGATTAAACTCTTTTTAGTTAATTGAAGGTTCTTTTAACCTTTTTCGTTCGGGTATATATTTGATGTAAGGGTGTAGATTTTATATACTATTTAAGGATAATCGCATTAATAAAATGAACAAGACGAAATTATTAATGTGTAAGTCTTTTAAAAGATAATAATTTTTCATATATTTATTTAAAAAATTTATATCTTAACAAATTTTCATTATTTGATTTATTGATATTATATAAAATTTATATAGTGATAAAATATATTGTTAATGGATAAATTGATATCATTTAATAAATAAATAAATAATATAAGATGGAGTAAGTATTTTAAAAAATATTAATTTTTTATATATTAATTTAAAAAATTAATATTTATTTATTAATAATATAATATTATTTGATTTATTGATAATATATAAATTTTATATAATCAAATAAAAACTCTTTATTTATTTTTATTTACTTTGTATGGGTTGTCACCAGAAATTCTTTTGCTATACAAGTATCCTTTTAAACCGCCAAATGGCTGCATTCCAAACTATTTAATGTAGCTGCCTATCGCAAAATTTCCACGTTATCTTTAGAATTTCTGGAAAGATTCCCGAGGGATATTATGGGTTTAAACTTTAAAGAGATTGCTTTTTACTTCAACCCTTAACCATGGCTGTTGGATTGGAATGTTTCTTGACCAGAAACTATATTCCAAATGGATGATCCAGAAGAAGAGTTCAAATATTGTCAAGGAAAATGAAGATGGGGGGATAATCCGCAGTAAGAAAAGCTCAATAAGAAAAAAGTTTGTTCCTCCTGAAATTTGTTTTTATGAATGGAGTCCATAGCTCCTACATGCAGGTCAAGCAGGTCGTTTTCATCTGAGAAATGGGTGGCGATTGTCTTGACCATTTTAGCTGTGGTTTCACCTCTTTACATCAACCAGAAGCCAGTTAGTGAACCGGAGCGTGAAGAGCAATCCATGGACTTGTCTTCATGTTTGAGTCGTGCTATTGATATTGGCTTTTCCTATCTCACTTTACTTGAACCGGAGCTTTACTAGGTTTGATCATCTTTGGATTGGGTCAAGCAGGTCTTCTTCGTATGAGAGACTGGTGGCAATAGGCTTGATTGACTTAGGTGTGGTTTCACCTCTTTATATCAACAGAGGAACGGTGAGTGAGCGAGAACCTGATGAGCAGCCCATCAACTCTGCTTCTTGGTTGCCTCTGCTGTTATTGATATTAATCTTCCTCTGCTGTTATTGATATTAATCTTGGCCATTGCTTTGTCACTTTATTGTGACAGAAGCTATACAAAGTTTGATCCCAACTGGATTTATAGAGTTGGTGGTTCTGCTGGAATCTTACTTGTTCTTCTGGTTCTGGCATTTGTTTTGAAGTGTAAGGCTTCTGATCTGAACTGAGAAGCTTGCTTGAAGTTGAACTTCTGAAAACAGAAAGTGCTTTATTCACGAACATAAGTAATGAAACTTCTGTTTCGGCCATGTTATGCAGATGAAGATACTCCGTTTCCTAGTTTCGGATTCCTTGTAAGTTGCAGGAATAAAGAGTCAACTCTTAAACTGGTGTTTTCCTGTAGTATGTTGTCAATCATTAGTTGGGGTTGTTAAGAGAAAACAGCGCATTGCAGCACAAACAGAAGCTCTACAGCTGATTATATTGAATGAATGTGTATGACCAAAAGAAAGAAAAAAAAAAAGGATAAACACAATTTTTTATGATCCCATGTACATACCATAAGCTTTTTGCAAATTCAGAATGCATGGTCGGTCCATTTTATATTCTCTGATACCATATATTTTAGAATTGTATAGGTCATCAAAATTTTATATGGAATCTAAACTTATAATTGGTGCATTTTTATATAATTCTTTAATGTGATTAGATAATTGTAGGATTGTGGATTGTAGTAAAAAAAAATTATAAATGAAAATTTTCGCACAGAAGAAAGCTCAATCATTCAATTTTAAACGCGTTACAAAGCATATCTTTTCTAAATTGGAATATTACACCTGCCACTTACCACGATCTAGCCTCAAGGTGTGCATGTAGTTCAACAATTTGTCTTAGTCACGTATGTTTAAGATGCAGACTCTAATACTTACCATCTCACCCTGAATTTGTGAATTTAAAACATTTTCAAACCTCAATCATATGTTTTGTAACTGATATAACAAAATTATCTCTGATCTGATGAAGCTGAAAAATAGAAGACAAGCACATAGAATCAACTGAAATATGTCAATAACGGCGAAGAATTCTAAGTATTGTCCGTTTTAATCTGAAGATCTTACGATTTTGTCATACAAAAAACGTCTCGTAAGTTTGAGTTTATATCTCTATATATATATAATTTCTTACCAACACATTCTTCAATGTAAAATTGGAGTGTTACACTTTTAATTGTTAGTGTTGCTGTTATATAAGAAGTGGGGTAAATTGAATATGTTCAGTTTTTATTTGTTTATATTCGTTTATTAAATTTAATAAATGATTTAGAACAATATTTTTATATTCTTTTATTAAATGAATCGAATATGAACATAGGTCCATTCAATTCGTAAACAAACTTATTTAAAATTTATTTAAAAGTCGTTTGTTTATGAATTCATTTATTTTTCGTTTGTTATTCATTTATTGTTCGTTTATGATAATATTAATATAATTATATTTTATTTTTTATTCTAATCTTATTTTAAGATTCGTTTATATTTGTTTGGATTCGTTTATATTAGTTTAAAATTTATTTGTTTAAATTTATTTGATCATGATTTATTTATTATTCATGAATATATTCATTTATATATGTTTATGAACATGTTTGTTTAATATTCATTAATGAGTTCGTTTAATTTAATTAACTAAATATGAACCGAACGCGAATATCCTATATTTAAACAAATCGAACTCGAATGAAAGGAGTAATTTTCTTACCTAACATGAATCGAACCGAATACTTCTAAAAATAAATGATCAAACCATAAATATATATTTGTTTGTTTATGTTCAGTTCGTTTACAATCACTTATATAATTTTATGAATAAAGTTAGACTTGACAATTCATCTCATTATATCATGTTTTGAGTCAAATGCAATATAAATAATTGACATAAACACAAAATAAATATTTAAATAATACGAATAACTTAGACATGGACACACTATATTTATTATACATATTACATGTAATATGATATGATTAATACATTTTAATCTATTTTAGGAATGAATAATAGGACATGATAGGACATAATTAATATGATTAAACATGATTAACAAGATTAAACACGATTAACATTAAAATATCTAATCAACAATTTAACATTAAATCAAAATGATAACATAATAAAAATATTAAAACCCTAAGCATAATTAACATTTTAATCATATGTTTTCCATGAAAAAAGGAACATAACTATAAAATAAATATAATTACATAACTATAATATAAATATAATTAATTATGAGAAAAAATCATTTAAACTTGTTAATATAATAACATGTTAATTAATTAATCGTATCTTAAATATATAACATGCATAAGACATGAAACACAACACATGACACATACATTATTGTGTCTTAAACGTGTTGATATGATTAATATATAAAATATGATTATACAAAATGTATACACAATTTATTACATATTTATTTTGTATCGTACCATTATATCATATTTAAAATTATTACATCTAAATAAAGCTGAGCCAGGCAAAGTGAGAAACCTTGTTATACTATAGGTCCATGAGTACACCAAGATTTTAGTGTTAGCCTTTGAAATACATGATGTATACACATAATTGATTCTTTTTTAACATCAGTTTTTTTTTTTTAATCTAACAAAAAAAGTCATTTTATTCTTTTAATTTTAAAAAATGCAATTACAAAATAGTTAATGTTTACATATGTGTATGTTTCGTACGTGTATATAACATTGGGCAAATAATAAAGGTCTTGATATTTTACAAAATAATAATAATAAAATAAATAAAGCTCTTGATTATAAGAAATTTTAGTTGAAGAAAAAAAAAAGGTCCATATAAATTAAAGAGGAAATGAGGATAGACGTTGCAACAATCATTGGGTATAGTGTCACGGACCTAAAGAGAAGTCCTGAATTTCATATCGAATATAAAATGAAGGTCATTGGGGTATAAAAGGATTCACATCATCTCTTTTTTGTGAGGCGCCTTTTGTTGGACAAAACCGTGAGGCCAGGGGGCTAGAGCGGACAATACCTTACAAAGGTGTGAACCGTGACGGTCAGGCTGATCTGGAACGTTGGATGAGTGAATGCCCGGGTCCTGGAGCCGCGTGGATTCGGAGCTTAAGTCTCAACCTGCGACAAGTGGTATCAGAGCCAGCCCTAAACCGTTCGATCCACTCTAAGTGACTTGAGAGAAGTAAGTAGGGTGGCCAGCCTCTATGATGAGGACGTCCGAGGTTGGGTGGGGAAGAATCTCATGGACCTAAGAAGGAGTCATAAATTTCACATCGAATATAAAAAGAGGATATAAAAAGAGGGTCACTGGGGTATAAAAGGGTTCACACCATCTCTTCCTTGTGAGGTGACTTTTGTAGGACAAAACCGTGAGGTCAGAAGAATCAGAGCGGACAATACCTTACAAGGGCTCACGAGAGGCCAGAGCGGATAATACCTTACATATAACAAAAAATATATAATAATAATAAATTTTTTTTATATATTTATATATGATATATGATGATATTTATATATATTTATATATGATATTTTATATATTTATATATGATATATGATAATAATAAAATAAAAATTTTTATAAGAAAATTTTATATAAATTATATATTAGTACATAACGAACGTATAATACTAAGTCAAATCCAATAATAATAATAACGAAATCAAACTCATTAAACCCCCCCCCCTCTTTTTTTTCTTATGGTAATAACTTATGTTAATAAATAGGGTAAAGTTAAAGTAAGGAAAAAAACAAACTTACTGGGATCAGAGTGGATAATACCTCACAAAGGTGTGAACCATGGCAGGTACGCTGATCTGGGACACCGGATGAGTGGATGCCCGAGTCCCGGAGCCGTGCGAATTCGGAGCTTAACTCTCAACCCGTGACAATAGTACTATTTGACATTTGCTTATGTTGATCCTGTATATCGAGTAAGATTGAAGATCCAAAAAAGGGTAAAAAGGAAACTATGGGTCATTCCATTTTCAGATTGGTTTAACTGAAATAAAATGTAACATGAAAGATCTAACAAAAAATCCAGTCTGAGCCTTTTAGAGCACCACAGGATTAAACTGCAGATTTTTGAAGTATATCAATCCAAAGAAAATCATCAGTAGGTGAGTGATGAAAAGGAAATTTAGCTGCTTAAAGCCCCATTCACATCTTTGTGTATGATAGCTTCACAAGTCATGATAAACAACATATACCATTCCAAGTAAAAATAATAATTGTCATTCCAAGTAGGTTCAATCAATTTCAAAGTTTACAAATGAAACTGGGGAAATCAATGGCATAAAGTATGGACTCTCTAAATGCGAAAAAAGTAATCAATAAAATTATTATAACATAAAGCCAAAAACCTACTAGAGAGGCCAAGCTATTTAAGGCAATGGACTGAAACAGCCCGCAGAATGAACAATCAAGTGGAAAATAGTTGACATGCTACGGGATATGATCATAATTCATGACCCGAAGGCATATCCCACAGCAATAAAAGCTGTAACAGCATACAGCCACACATGACCAAATCGGGATGAATCATCAACCCCACTGCATTGATCGTTGGCACCACTGAAGCATCCAGGTCTTGTAATTTTAGCCACACCACCTTCTAGAACAAAGCTGCTATTTTGCTTACCACTGCCAAACAGCACACACCAGAAATAGGGAGCCCCACCATCTGTGCCTGTCACTGCAGCCCCTACTTCTGTGTGGTTCTTATTGTAGAGAAGTTCCAAACTCTTATCGTTTTTCATCAACATTGAGAATGCTTCAGGAGGCTGGACATATTTCGATTGGCATCCAAGTAAACGGCCAGTGATTGGAGAGAGGGTTGAGGCATCAACACCACAGTTGGGGGCAAAAGTTTCAGCAAATTCAGAATCAGCAGGCTTCTTGGCATCAGGCCCTCCTACAGCATTACAATCACCTTGATATGCTTTTATATATTGTAAAGCAATGCAGGCCAGGCCTGGGTTGTCAGTAAGAGATGATGACTTGTGTGCCGTTCTATTGGCATTAAGCACAGCCACCAACTCATCCGCAGGGTTATCGGTTACTTTGGCTACAATTTGTGTTCAATTGTTAGGTCTCAAGAATAATGATACAATCAGATCATAAACTGAAAGCATAAAGACTATCACATGCAAAAATTTGAACCTTGAAAAAGGACCATATTAGAGCATTTAACAGATTGAAGAAATACATGCTTTACTGACTAGTTATACACTATGGATATACGGTTACTGATAATAATTAGTTTTTGTTCCATAAGGTGCTTGAAGCAGAGGAGAAATGTTCTTATATGATGTGACTAAAACCAGCACGAAGGAACCGATACCAGATAAACTACAAAATTAAAAAAAAGAAAAGAGAAAGAGTTCTACTCTTCATGAGTTGATACATGGAAAAAGTGATATTAGAAGGATGTAGCATTCCTTGGACTGGATGCTGAGGATGTCCTAAAGCTTTATATCCTCAGTGGTTGTTCAGCTAAAATTTGGAATTATGATGATGACCAGAGACAGGTGACTAGAACAGCAAATACAATCAGGTTTAAACTTATGCTCTCTTTTAGGGTATTCAGAAGGGAGGGATCAAATACAATATGAAGGTCCTCAAGATGGCTAACGTCCCACTGTGAAGTTGACGATGTTTTATCATGCCTCATAGATGTTGATAAGGGAGAGAGATTGGAAACAAGATAGCTTTTCTCTTCTTGGTGCGTTGCTTAGTTTCAGTAGCAATTGTGCTAACTGGGGCAATTTCCTCGTCTCTCTTCTACAAGAGATGTTTATTCCTCATCATAAATAAGGACGATGCATCTCGACATCAAAGATTTTCATCTGGGTTATATCATGGCTACTATTTTGTATTCTAAATGAGAAATTGAGATATAGATGCTTACAGATGCCAAATTCTATGTGGAATAGTATTGGACAATTCTACATTTGACTCGTTTAAACACAAACATATACCCACAATAACCAGTATTTCTCTGATCTGAAACAACAGAATTTGCAAAATACCTACAAGCTGAGGATCACTTTCTAGCTGCCACAGTCCTTAAGAAGATCTATATTGAGAAATGATGGACGGGTATTTAAATGCATTAAAAAAGCACCCCATCAAAATGCATGGAAATCTAAGATCCAAAAGTATCACAGCTAAATAAAGCGCTAAAACTAGAAACAATTGCTAAAAAAGTCAACCAACTAAAAGACACAGCTTTAAACACGAGATCCAGCAAACAAAGAAAACTCAAAGAAAAACCTCCTGCTTTAAACAAAAATCAAGTCAAATCAAAATGGGTAACCATTAAAAGTTTAGAACTGCAATGCCTGAGATTCAGATCAATTCTATATCTAGCCAAGTTACAAAAAAACCACTGCATTTGGAAAATATGAAAGAAACCCAGAAATAAAAATAGAGAAAGATATAATTTTGCAGTTATGAAGCAGATCGATCACTTACTAGAACCAATAATTCATTTACAAACCAAAAACATAAATACATTGTACAAAGTCTTTTTACAAAAAAATATAAAAAAAAACTCTTTTTTTTTTTCCTTTTGGAACAATGGCTAAAGGGGGATAATTGAAAGAAGAAGGGAGGGAAACTTACTTTGAGTATTGGCAGAAACAGAGAGGAAAAGAAAAGGAGAGAAAAGAAGCCATAAAGCCATTGCCATTGTTGTTTTTTGTTCTGTTGCTTCGACGAGTAACTCAGAAGATTTGAAACAGAAGAAAGAAAGAAAGAAAGAGAGATGGAATAGATGAAACAGAGAGAATAGCCAGTAAAATGTCCACTTCGTTTCGGTTGCTTTACAGCCATGGCTACTGCTTTGGTCTTTATTTGCCGACATTCCATTTCCACCATCCGGGTTCTCTGGGTCCGGCCCGAACCTATCTTGAGACAAAATAAAAAAATAAAAAATAAATATTTATTCCTTGAAATAACATATTCACCTGTCATTGTCAAGTCGTTTGTCAATATAGTTTATTTTAGTATAAAAAAATATATTAATTTTTTTCAAGAAAGAAAAATAATTTGTATTAATTAAATCCAGAAGAGGTTACAGGATGCATGTGAGGACGGCAATTTTTTAAAGCTAACTAATTTCGTTCCTAAATTATTTTATTATATAGTCCCACATGTTTAACTTTAATTTTTTTATAAAAAATTTAAGACGAGAAGAAATTTTTTTGCGAGACGAATAAGTCGTAATTTGTTAAAAAATTTTATATTAAATTTACAAATAATTTATAAAAAAATTATTGACAACAAAATTGAATTTAAATCTTATAAATTATAAATTTAATATTTATCAATTCAAAATTTTAAATTAACCAACCGAATTCTAAGTTCAATTACTATCTTGATCCGTAAAAAATTGCAAGGTTAAATTTGTGATTTTTGGACAACGTCCGTCCTTGTCGTGGTAAAGACATAAACAAACGGATAAGACCGTTTCAGTTTTTCTGTGGACCAATCCACCGATGGTTTGTTCGGAATGGCCACAATTCACACCCACGCCCTCGTTGGCGCCTATCTTTTCCTTTCTTCGACCTCTCCTCGCTTATTCCCCTCCAACTTCACTGCTAAACCCAAGCGATTCTCGGGAGTGAGGTGCGCGGTGTCAGCACCAAAATGGCAGAAGAGCCGGCGATTGGTTTCAATCTCTCTGCTTTTCTCTCACTTGCTACTTGTACCCAACTGTATGTTTTGATTTTACCTTAATTGCACAATTCGTATTGCCAAGTTAAACCAAACTAATGGGAAATTTGTTAGTTTTATATTCAAGCTTTTTCTTTTTTCCCTTGTTATTTTCAGTTATAATACTCTCAGTCTTAAGAGTTGCTTCAAAGCTAAGTCATAGACTGTTATTTTTTGTGCTGCAGATGCCATTGCAGGCAACTTTTTCGACAAATATGTGAAAAGGTAATTGGTAAATTCTTGGTGAATGTTTACTTTGCAGTAGTATAAATTTTTTTTTTGGTCAGAACTAATTATTAATGATATGTGATTCAACAGGAAAAAGCTTGATCCACTTGAGGTTTATGTGCCTGCTGTTATATTGACTCAGTTACAGATTAAGGATTTGGGTAACTCTTTTTGTTTTTATCTCGTTATTATTAGTATTATTTGGGATTAAATTAAACTCTTAGTTCTTAATTGTGAAATTGAAGTTCATAGTGATTAAAAGCATTCCTGCTGATGCTATTTTTTTCTGCTGAAGAAATCATTTTGTTTCGTTTTTATTATCTTGTTCTACGATTGAGATGAGATGATGGACAGAAGTCGATTTTCATTTCCTTGTTACCCACTAAATGAATCTCCCAGTTCCTGTTTTATAAACCCTTTTCGTTTTAAAATTTATGCATACGCTTAAAAAGTATGTTATGGTTTGATAGTATGAAGAATTTTCTGAAACTTATAATTTATCATCTAACCACTACAGAGAAAACTCTGGAAGTTGATAAACCAGAATATGCCACCTGCAGATCCCTACTACGTATTGGACCAGCTGCATCTCTACGTGTAAATATTCGAGCTGTAAGTTGAGGGGTTCTAGATAGTTGCATGATCTTCTCATTTATGTGTTTCGTTAATTGTTGGCACATCTAAGAGTTATTTCCAAGTTGAAGAACCAAAGAACTATAGTTTCCGTAAAGAGAACGTTTTTACAGTTTCTGAAACTATCTGCTTGGCGAGGAAATTTTGTTCCTTAGCCTACTGGCTATTTCTGCTCTTCCCTAGTTTTTGTCATATGATGTCTAGCATGCCTGAGAGAAAAAGCAAGACAGAAAAAGAATGATGTCTTGTATGAGAGGTTATGCTGTTGTCACACTGGTGTCTTATTAGTGGCCAAGTTAAACCATCTACATTCTCATTCCACTTCACGTTATGGCAGTTTTTTTGTACATGAGTTCCTGAGGTTTGAAAATTTTCTTCGGAACTTCAGGTTGCACAGTATGCTTCTGATGCTGGAAATGGTGAAAATGCTTTCAATGACGTTGATCAATGTCTCAGGTACCCCAGTTAAGCTCTGGCTGAAGGTTTTAAAGAATTCTGTTCAATTTATGTGGGCCGAAAATCATGGACAAAGGCCATATTCTTGCCATTTTGTTCAAGTAGATCCATGAGTCTGCATGCTTGCGACTCTGGTTGTTCCAATATGTTATTACAGGAGCTTCTACATAGTAAATAACTTGGGTATTCTGGTCTAGAGATCAGTATGCAATGGTTTATCTACCTGATAGAATTCGTTGCTGTCATTTGAGGATATGTAAGGTCAATGTCGCTTGTATACTTAAGGAGTATAGTTCATCCAGGCACTGATACTAAACTGCTGCTTTGTTATAAACATATTTTAACATTTTCTAATAAGAAAGTGCCGAAATTTGAGAAATATGTTTACATGGTTTCATGGAGAATCATATGACTAGGTCAGCTAGAATAAATTAGACCAAAAATTTGACTCAACAAAACTCTTCTTGTTTAGAGCGTTGGAGGAACTAGATTCCTTGCTTTTACATGCATCAAGAGATGACCCAGAAGCCTCAGTAAAATCAATGAAGGCAAAGATTGGTACTGCCCTCAATGCTCTGGACAGGTATTGCTTTATAGTTAATATATCATTATGGTCATGACTGGAACATCTACATTAAGGCAATTTTCTTATAAGCTTTCCATTGCAGCCTCCTTCAAACTGTTCCATCCGATGTGTTAAATCAAGGAAAGGAAATTGCTGATGCCTATAGAGCCCCTGAAGAAGACATCAAGCCTCTAGAATTGGACCCTGAAATGAAGCAATTGGAATCGCTCTTATGAATCCGTATATGCTCTGCTCTATAATTTTCTCACACTAAACCTGATACTGATGTTCTGTCCTTGTAATCTCTATAATTTTCTCAAATTTAATGCCAGATACTAAATGAATTTCTATGGGGGTCAAAACTAAAACTTGTTACAGTATGCTACCAGAATGTAATTTTAGGATTTCAATGGCCCCATCATGTGGAATCATGTGGGTCCCAATAATTCCGATCAACGGTCAAGAAAAGATATGGAAAAGATCTGGGCGGTTCATCAATGCTTGTGATCCTTGCTCTTCCTAAATGGCCGACCGCTTGCCACCCCATTCCAAAAATGCGAAGATACACATTAGACCAAGGATCACAATGAGACTTTATGTGATTTAGTGGACTAATTCAACATTTTTCTATTGTTTTACTTATTTTTATTGGCCTATTTAAGCAATTGTATTTCTATATAAACATATGCTTGTTTTCACTTGTATTTTTGTTTCAGTATTTATTTGTAGTTTTTTTTTTTTTTTTTTTAATAATGGGCCTAATGTATTTTCAAATCTTGCTTGAACCTAATTGTTTTTGGTATGATTTTAATCAAAAGTGCATTCTCTAATTGATGTATTTGTGATTTTATTTGTATTTTTAAAGAAATATATTTATTATTAAACAATTTTAAAAGTGGAATTTATTAATTCATTAATGTTTTATAAATCTATAAGTAATATATTAAAATTAAAGTAATAAATTATTATCACATCAAATGAAATAACTAGTCAGTAAAATTTAATGAAAAGTTTTAAGTACTTTAAATTTTCTTATGGATCATATGTACGAATATTTATTTTTTCATATTTTTATATATGCCATATATAAAAAAGTCTTATTTTTCCATTTATTAAAAAACATACATGAAAAAATAATGTAGTCTTTTTTTTTTGGGTAAAGAAAAACACATACCCAATTCATCATGGATTAGCATACTTTGTTTCCCAACTCATATTCCTCTGAGGAATTAGGTTGATGAATTTTATAAATATCTGATGTTGAAGATGGACCTGAGTTTTTAGGTAGGTATGAATGGGCCTGACCCTATAGAGATATTACTGATTTAATTTTGGATCCAATTGCCCGGCCTAATTGAGCCTACATTATTGGGCTTAACCTTTTTGCAGCTGGTGCCCAGTTGTTGGACGTCGGAGACCTCAGTCCTCAGATTTTCTCATAACTATTATAAGTAACTGAAAAGCAAAATTATTTTCGGAATAAATTCGAAATTTAATTTAATTAATTTATATAATTATTTTAAAAAATTATATCCAATAAGTCTCAAATTCAAATATTAAAAGTTACTATTTTAACTGTAAAAGAAAAAAAAAAGCAGGTACTCATGGATAATATTTATGGGTCAATGGATGCCATATTAAATTTTCATTTAGATACTTACTATCCAAATGAAAATTCACCCTTAAGGAAAAATTTAGAGCAATTAAGAATTGTAGTGTAGTACATTCCAAAAGACATTTACCTTAGACAAATTTTTTTTTTTTCTCGCTTTGTGTTAGACAGTTCACCCCTAAACCCAAAACTCTCTCTTATCATAATTTTGTCTTGTTTTCTAGTGGGATTCTATAATGCAATATTTCCTATGAAATAAAGGATAAGTAATTAGTACAATTCTTTTTAACACAATCTTATAATTATCAATCACAATGAAAAATTATGTAAAAATCCATCACTTGTAAATGTGAATTCCCAATGAAATTTTAATGAATTTCACACAATTTTAAATTATTATTGGTTAATTATGATTAAAAGTGATACATTCCAACAATTAGTACAACGATCAGCTCATTTCGCCTTCTTGTTTGGAATCACTGGTTTATTAATATGAATAAGGATAGCTTTCTCTAAGCTGGATCACCTTAATTGTTCCTGTCGTCTTCTTGGCCACACTAAAGGACGACATTGGTAACTTTCCCTTAACACCTTTGGCATGGTCTTCGCTCAAGACAGTTGTAGCGAACTATTGGAGAAGGAGAGGAGTGGAGCATGCTCAAATACTTTTTTGGATCATGACCATAGAATCAGACATAAGGAAGACTCATTGCTACAACTGTAAAGTTCACTAACTACGAAAAATCAATTTTTTTTTTTTTTTTTATAGTTATTCAGAAGGCAGCAGTCTACTCCAACTTTGTTTTGTTTTGTCTTGAATTTTTAAACAATAATAATATGTCACTCTTTTTTTTTTTAATTTTTTTGAAGTTTATAAAATTATACTTTTTTAATATCTAAAGCTTTTACTTTTTATATTTTAAAATTATATTTTATAAATTTTTTGACATTAAAAATTATGAAATTTTAATTCTATAAAAAATTTAAAATTTAAAATTAAATATATTAAAATTAAAAAAATTTTATTAAATTTCATAAAAATCAATGACAGTCAAATAATTTGGGACATAGAGAGTAATTAAAAGATTAGTACTTGAAAAGCCGATTATCCATGCTTTTGGCTTTAGATTTGAATCATGAAAAGAAAAAAAAAAAATTGAAATATCAATCCAAGGGGAATACTCCAAATGAACTTTTGATAAAACTTAATCTCGAATGCATGCAAAGTGGGCTCTTTCTTTCTATCAATGAAATTTTCTTTTTCCTTTTCTTTTCGAGGGAAATCTAGTGTGGGAATATTATTCTTTTTATAAAGCAAACAATTTACTAATTTACATGCTATGCAGCGTCCCATGCACGTTATCGTAGAGGATCAATTGATGTTATATATTCGAAAAAATCATCTCGAAAACTGTATATTTTCAGAGGACACAATGTCATATTTTGGAATTATTTTTCTCAAAATCAAGATTAGCATTTCTAGAAGTACTTAAGAGAAATGCATCATTGTATGTAATCTTGATTTCCTACTGTCAAAAGATATATAGTATGAATAGAAATAGCACATGACGACAGGGTAAAAATAGTATGAATAAAACTTATAAAAGTAATAGCAGCTTTATTCGTCAATTAGAGCATTAAAAACGCATGAAAAACAGGTTGAAAGTACAGTATGAAGGGTAAAAATGAGCATTCCTTTTAACACCATTCTAATCCAAAGGGAATACGTCCGTGCATGACACGATTCCTAAAGAACGTATAGGATGCTCTGCATGGGATTAAACGAGGAAACCTTTATTGATTGGTTGGGGCATCTTACAAGAAATCATGATATTATAATTAATGTCTAAAGCTGCCGTGGAACCCACTTCCAATTTTAACTTTTCTCTGCTTTTAAGATGGGGGAAAAGAAAAGAAAAGAAAAGAAAAGGAGCCTAGAAATGGAAAAAGAAATCAAGTTGATTTGATTTGCATGAACCTCCGTTCAATCCCCGAGGTAAACAAGAAGGAAAACCTAATGGTTAAGGAAAAGATGGGAAAAAGCTATAAAAATTACTATTGAGAGAGTTTTGATCTTTTGTTTTGAAAAGAGAATCCGATACCAAACTAATTCCCAGCCTAATTGATTATACACCTTTTAGAGTTTCATATTTTTATTTCTTTAAGAGTTTTGAAAAGATTAGTTAATCTGATAATTTATATATTTTTATTATATAAAATATTGATAATTTATATATTTATATCATATTTTATATGAAAATTATATATTATAATTTTTGTCAAAAAAAAATAAATAAAAAATATATTTTTAAAATTTAATATATAATTTTTATTAAAATTTAAATCATATCATGTTTTCTACTATCTTAAGTGAAACATCAATCCCACTTGAGATTTATCTCATATATGACATGAATTCAACTATGACGGAGTTAGATGAATCAAAATAGAGTCTAGAGGAGGGTCATACGTTTCAGTCTTAGGAGCTTTTTAGTCAAATCATTTGCTAGTTGAAATGTTCCAAGTCCATTTTTTTTTTGTTGGCTTTTCTTCGTTTCGAAGATTAATGTGGGAAGAGAAACCAAAAATAACAAGAACCAAATTATCTGATCAAGACTTTTTTTCCTTTACATTGATAATCCAACGTTTATTGTCTACCAAATGCAAATTGACATGACTTGACCTGACCATCAATTAATGAGAAACATTAAAGATTATCGATTTGGTATGCTGAATTAACAAAAATTACAATGGCCTACTCATTAAGATTGATGGGTCCTTGTAAAAATTTTTTGTCCAGGTGCAAGGATGGCCATAGGATCAAAACTGGCCTTCCTCTCCACAAATCTTGTCCATTGATTCCCAAAATGTCGTTTCCAATCCTCTTTTGACTGGTAGTGAGGGAGGTATAGCTTGAAATCCAAACCCTCTTTGATGCACCACTTGACAATCTCATGGTTTTGTGCAACCGATTTTTCAACCAATGGGCCCTTGGGAACGAACCGGAGCAACGCCACGAGGTAGAAGATTTCACCTTCCGGTAGCGCCACAGACATTCGATTATCCCATCTGAAAAAACATTTGAAAGCAACCATGCATGTATTAGAATAACAAATATATATCTATCCATTATTCCATTTTATCCAAAAAGATGAAAGTAGCACTAATGAATGATTCTCTCTCTGCTCTTTTTATTCATTATTCTATTAAAGAAAACAAATTCTATCTCTCTGCCTAGTATGCCCAATTTGAAATGTAAGTTTGAACTAAAAACTATATATATATATATATTTATATCTTAGAAAAGCAAGACAAGAGTGCATACCGGTCACAATTTTATCCTATATATATAATTGAGTAAGTTGGGACAAAAGAATCCCAGTTTTCCTTTGCATCATTTCTAAAATTATTTCTCTTTTCTGGACAAATTTGAAGCGGCATAACAAATTTGGTTGCTTGGCTGAAATTTACGCCACCAAACCAATGGGGCTAGCTCTCTTTCCTTTTTGACAGGTCTGAAGGCAAATACTAGTAGCAAATATTTCTTCCTAGCTAAGCCATGTAGAAAATGCAGGCCGAAGGCAGCCCACGGTAGGTGCAATTTCGGGCCAGAGAATGGCGAAAAATTTGTTTGTCGTTTCTCCAGGGCAAAGAGCCCAAGATTGACACCGAAAGTTAGCTCACTTGGAAATCTAATTTTCGATGAAAAGAGTTACCCTCAATGACCAAAATACCCCAATTCTTGACTGATTGGACACAATTCGGACAGTGAATTTTTTTTTATCATGGTGGGGCCCACGCCATATATTTCTCCCACAAAGTCTTTTTTTTTTCCCTACGTTTGCTTTTACGTTAACACACCACCGCTGCACCAGACACACCTAGCATGACGTAAACTGAAAAACAAAACGTCAAGTACGGATGTGATCCAGTACGGTAGAGCTCAGTTTAAGAGTGCACAACAACCGCTGGCATTTCGGATTAGTTGGTGATTGATGTTCTATCGTGGGTCCCATGTGTTTGACTCTTGAAGAAGAAGTAGAAATTATTATATAACCCTCATTCGCAAAAGGAAAAAAGAAAATTCTTAACTACCCGATTTAAAATTGGTTCAGTGAGAGAGTCAGCAAATCAAACCAAAAAGCTCGGGTGATTTAGGTGTGAGGGGTCGTGATTCAGTGTTGTTAACGACAAGGAACAAAATTGCAAGTGGGCCCCAACGACCCCACGTATGAAACGTGTTGAGAGTGTAAGCTCCTGGTGAAAACCTCGTCCATCTCACACGTGACAGACATGCAGTTTGGACATATAATTGCGGTATCCACGAAATAAGTAGGGGGAAGACTGGAAGACTCACTTGTTTCGCAAAAGAGGGTAGATCAACATCGGTCCACCGACTCCATCTTTCACCATCTTTTTAAACACAGTTCGATCAAAATCAACGATGTCTGATTTGGAGACGAAGAGGTTCAACCAGGGGTGAGGGCTGTCCCAAATGCCATTGGCTTTCGCGTGTTCTTCCGCTTGTCTGACACGCAATAAGAACTCCGTATAGCTGACATCCAACTGGGACTTCAACCCGTCCACGAATCCCAGCCGACCAAGAAGTCTGCTTACTGCCTGCACGGGGAATCGTCAAGTAAAATAAAGAGGGAATCAGTGGCAATCACACCACTTCATTAGAGAAAAGAAAATGCCATTCGTGAATTACAGATTCAAGAAGTTAATGGGTTTTTTGGCCATTTGTGGAACTGTGAAGACCGAAACGTAAGCCAAAATCTCAGTGGTCAGCGATCTACGACATCCACTGCTGTAACGTTACTATTTTAACATCGACAAATCCCTGATTTCACGAAAGTGACTGAAGCATGAAAATACGAGAGAACAAACGGCACCGTCCCATGCTCGTAATTAAACTGAAGAGAATGGGCACTTTCAACAACATTTTTTTGTCAGAAAATCCAATGGAAGATACATTTCACTGTATAGTAACTTTCAAACTATATAATAGTTTAGAATTATTATATCATTATTTTTTTGTCCTTGCTACGATGGAGGAAGAGAATAACCCCCTCCTCCGTCGCTAGGGGTTGCACAGGTGCAAGGAAACTCTGATTTTTCTTTCACTTTTTTTTTTTCATTGTCCGGTGGGAACATGGTTGATGGTAAGACTCACTTTTTTGTTCGTGGTCAACAGCTTTATAAGGGACCCACTTAGCAACACCTACGCCAAAATTTAGTCATCAGTGTAACACAAAATATATATGTGATCCCCATTATGCATGATCAATATATATGTGTGTGTGCTCCACAGTTTCCAATTCCGGCGCAAAACTCCATGTCCTCCGTTTCTTTTTCTTATCACTCATCGATGGTTACCAAATTAAGGTTCTATCTTGATATGTTAATACAAGGGATTATTAAGCCAAAAAAAAAGAAAAAATAATTACCGTATCTACAGTTGAACGGTGGTCACAGTTGCGGTAATGGAAAGCCACTTCGAGGCAGTATAGTACTGAGCCAGCAGTTTTAGGGATGCGAACAGGGTTGAAGCCATGGTCTGGGTCCAATGGCACGGATGGCCAACCATTAATCGGGTCGTCATTGTTGGAGAATACGAACCCTTCTACGTAATCAAACGACTCACCTTCTTTCTGAGAAACCAGAAACTCAGCATCCCGAGAAAATTCCTCAAACTCGGAATACACTACCCTTATCCATCTTACCTAATCACAGGAAAAAAAAACGAACCTTTAAAAAACCAAAATTACGTAGCTTCATCGTGTCACTCATGTCTCATGCACTTTAAAAATGTAGAATTTCTGAAAATCAACAACAAAAATACTTTTTTTTGGGTTAAAATAGTAAAATACACACCATGTCCGGAGCTGGCTGCAGCTTAACCCTTGCTCGGGTAATAATGCCGAATTGACCAAGCCCACCGAGGACTCCAAAAAAGAGTTCGGAGTTTTGGGTTTCGGAGCAACCCGTTATTTCTCCTTTTCCAGTTACAACTTCCAATTCTATGACGTTCGATGTTTGGGGACCATAACGGAAGGCTTGCCCACTAACGCCGGCGTTTGATAAAGTCCCACCCACCGTCAAGCTCAGGTAATCGGTCCACGACCTCGGAGCCAAACCAAACCTCGACACGCACCGTGTCAAGACGTCTTCCCATAATGCCCCTCCGGAGACATCGATATAAGGAGAGCCATTGATGGTCAAGAATTTGAAATGGTTTCCCTCCGTCGAACGCATGTCTATGACGAGTCCTTCATCAGCCATCGCTTGACCGTTGATTGAGTGGCCGTTACCCCTCGCCGCAACCGTGAGATGAGAAGTTTGCGACGCGGCCTTAACGACCCGAGCTATATCCTCGGCTCCAAACGGTTTAATTAAAGCTAACGGCTTAACTGAATAAAGACCACCGAAATCTTTACAGGCTACGCCGTTAATATCAAAGCTGTCGATGCTGCCTTGGAGGTCTAGGGATTTAGATATGCTGGAAACATCGTCGCCGGGTTTGGAATCGGCGTCATTGCCGTGTACGATTCGTCCCAAGCAAGCTATCATCTTTGTAGGCTGTTGGAAATGGGAATATAACCGGTAACTGTTTTCAGTTTTCCTCTTTCAGTTTCTGTCTGTTCCTCTCTCTCGCTCTTTTTTATTTTTTATTTTCACAAAAACGAAAGAAATGAAAATACAAAGGTATTAGAGTGGTGTCTAAATCTCTGTGGTGGGCATGGGAGGGAGGGATGGCTTAAATACTGCTGAAATTGGTGAAGGTTTTGCTGTTTTTTTTTTTGGGAGGGGGTCAAAGGAAGGTTTTTGGAATTAAAAAAAAAAAAGATCAATTTTTAATTTAGGAACAAAAATGGATGACGTCAGCACAATTTTCAATGCCTTTGGTTGACGTTATTATCCTATCGGCACACTGTCTGCCACTTTAATTTAATGGAAAAAAATAAATAGAAAGTACTAAAAAAAGTTTTTCTTATTTTAGAAAGATAAATTTTTAATATAAATAAAAAAAAAAAATTGATTCGAAATCAAGGCTTTCAAATACTAATAAAAGTTTGGTCTCAGTGTATACCTTCACCTCGTTTTTAATATTTTTTATTTTTAATTGTAATCTTAGAAATAAAAAATCTACAGTCATTTTTGTTGAATGCAACGTTCGGTAAAACATGAAATTTTTTCTGTTAACTGATGTATCTGATATGGAAAGGTCTTAAATTGATTTGATCAGGATATGCATTATTATGCTGTGAAAATTTTTGCCCTTGGGATGTAACAATCTTTCATGCTATTTACTTATAGTAGTATTTTATTTTTTAAAATTAAATGAAAAAGGTCATATACATTTTGGAACAAATATTTTTAATAATTGCATTTGTGGTCATTAGAAACTTTTAGACCTGAAATTTTAAATAGGAAGGATTTGTAATCTAAACAATATATGAAATATTTTGTTTTTGATGGCAAAAAAATAATAATGAGTTAAATATTAAAGATTATAATTTATTGTAATTGATTTTAGATAACATTTTAAATTAATGATTAATTGCTTATTTAATTCTCAAAATCTTTTCATAATTATCTTTAAAAAAAATGATAATAGTTAGCAATACTTTCGAGCAATAGATTGAGGCATTATCTCGACCTATGCCAATTACTGCTTGGTTTTAATTATACGTTATGATAAATATGTTAGAAAATTAACAGTCATTTCTAGAATAATGAATTTCATCCTTTTTCTTACAAGAGGTTCATGCTATCTCTTGTTTTGTACACAATTTTTTTTTATTACATCTATTTTTGTCCTTAACATTTTTAAAATTTATAATTAATAATTAAGATAATTTTTCAATATAAGTTGGTTTTTATATAATGGCCATATAAAATTTAAACTATGCAAGCACGATTTGATAAGTTAGAGCTATAAGTCAATGAATTAATTGATATATTATTGTTTATTAATTATTTATGGTTGAAAATTTAATGAGTCAACACTCAACAGAAGCACAGGTTAGAGTTACGACTCAAAGAATTTTTTAAAATTGTGGCAACAAAAATTAAAAAAAAGAATGATTCAATTAAAATGAGTGCAACATTTGAACTACTAAAAGAGTACATTGAGGCTGCAAGGGAGGAGTGGAAAGGAAAAAAAAAAAGATTCATGAAACCCATTGAAAAATTTTAGATTAATTTTAGTTTAGTCAAATAAATTTTTAGTTATGGAAATGCTAAAAAATTTGATGGATGAGTTAGTATGAAAACTTAGTCAATCAAATTGATAATTTTCTTAGGGGGTGGGGAGTAGGAGTGTAAATGATACATTAGTACTCATAAATTATTCGAGTTCGATTCGAAAAAAACTTGAATTCGGTTCGATTATTGTCGAGTCGAGCTCGAACTCGAGTAATTTGACTTATCGATCGAATCAAATTCGAATATTTTTATATCTGACTCGAGTAACTCGCGAGCTTAATCTAGCTTTTATATTTAAATATATTTTTATTATTTTAATTAATAAAATATTTCGAGTCCGAATTCGAGTTCAAATTCGAGCATGAATAATCGAACTCTTGTCGAATATACGAATCGAGCTTATTTTTACATATTAATCGAACTTAATCGAATGAACTCAAGTAGCTCGAATTCGATCATGAATCGAGCTCGAACTTGAAAAATAAAATTCGATTGAGCTCGAACCGAGTATCGAACCCCGAGTTATGAGTTGAGCTCAAACTCGAGCTTCTTACTACTCAGCTCGACTCGACTCGTTTACACCCTTAACGAGGAGGGATGAAGTAGCGGACAGTCAAATGAATTTATTATGGATTTATGGGCTTACAAAAAAAAAAAGAAATCATTTTTAATTCAAAGCCGGCTAGAAAAAAAAAAAAAAAAAACTCTCTTGGAATCTATCTTCTGAATATTTTATTTTAAGCCGGCTGCAAAAATCAATCTTAATTCTTAAATTATACAACAAAATTAACTAACTATTCAGTGACCCTAAGCATAACCGAAGAGCTCCTTGGCTATTCCATATATATATATATATATATAATTTTTAATTAATTAAGGGAAATGTTTAAATAATGTTTATAAGCATTTGTTAATGTTAATGTGATGTATGAAAAGAAATTTGAAATTAATATATTATATTTTTTAATTTAGTAAAAATATATATTAAATAAAAATATTTTTCTAAAATAATAAAATAATTAATCTTAAAATATATATTTATACATATCCCTGTCAATAATTATACGATTTATCAAATTTTTAATTCAAATAAATTTTCCTCACAATCAGACATATTAGTAAATATTTGCAGCGAAACAATTCAAGCATCTAACTGCTCCTTTTTATTTCTAGTTATTTTTCTCTCCATTGAAATTATGACAGATAGGGAGTAGGCGAAATCGTTGAATCCTAATGGCCAAGGCACAACATTTAATTCACTCCACTAGTAATGTTTGCACTTTTATGATGATAGAAACAACCAAGTGCATTTGGGAAAAAAAAAAAAAAAACCAAGTGCATCAACTTGTAACATTTGTATGGCTACTATCTTATAAGATAAATAAAAAGCTAGGCAAAGAACCATGACATATTAACTCAGTTAGTAAATGAAGAAATATATATATATATATATATATTTGTCAATTTGAGTTTAATCTTCGTAGAAAGCACTTCATGAATAAAATCTTGAATATATTAGATTGATGTGAAGAAATACATCCTTAGAATTATTTGATAAAAAAAAAATTAAACCTTGACAAAATTTGAATATATCCTTGATCATATTAATAAAAAATAAAATAAAATAAAAATGAAGGGAGACAATTGAATCCATGGCATTCCATTACTCCTTAAAAGAACAAATCAAATATCCTAAAATTCCAAGATTTGGATAGCTTTTTGCAACTACAATTCTTCTAGTCAATTAATTAACTAGTACAAGAGAATTAATTGATGTTTAAAGCTTAAACTATTAGTTTTTCTTATATGTTAATTTTAGTGAAAGAAGGTTTTTTTTTTTCTTTTTTCTTTTAGTCTAATTATTCTTTGAGTTAGTATTTGATATATTATAAATATAAAATTTTAATGATATGAACAAGATTAAAATGGTGACACATGTCACATTTTTTTAATTAATTTTTTTTATTTTTTAAATATACCTAAACAGCATGTGTTTTCCTTTTAATACAGTTTATATAATTAGAATTTTATATCGACAATGTATCAAGCATTAAATTTTATTATTTTGAGAGAAAAATGTTTTAGCATACTAGCTAGGTAGTCATATTTTACATTTCCTTAAAGATAAAAGGGAATTTTAGTACCGATAAAATTTTGTTATTGATTTATCAATTCAGATAGCATCATTTTGTATTCATGTATTTGGCAACTAGGGAGAAGGATGACAAATTTGCCTCCATTTTCGGTTTTCTTTAATGGCTTTTACTAATTTTTTCACATTTTTTCTTTTATAAACAAAGAAGGGGGGCATAATGGTCCAAAAGACAAGGACTATGCTGTCATTTTGGTATATCTAAATTAATTCAGTCCATTTTTATTTTTTATTAGGGAGATGCTCACACTATATTGTGGTATTGATTGAAGTTATTAAAATGATGAGATTTATAGTATAAAGATGGGTAAAATATTCTAAAAATCATGAATATATAAGATAACAGTTAAAGTTTATAGGATAATAATGAAAAAGACTATTCATAATCAGGATAGATAACAATGTTGAAATTGTTGGTTCTAATCATGCTAAAAAGACAATAATCACTGATATTCAAATGGTTATCAATGACGAATTTCTTCCATCCTTCTGTGAATGATTTGTTTTGAGCATTGTAACGGATAGTCTAGGATTTGTTTTCTTTAGAAATCAGTAAGGTAATTAAAGTATATTCATCTGGGAAATACTTATGGAAAGAAGCTGGTATTTTCTCTATATATAACATGAAAAAAAATTCTTAGTAGATATTTTGAATGCATGGTTCATTTAGTTTTTATTCTTTAGTAAAATTATATTGTAATTTATGGTAGTAGTTTATATGCAATTGTTTACCAAGATGGGATTTATTCCAACATTTGTATTGGTCATCAAGCAGTTAAACACATGATTATCACAGTAACCATCATCTTTAATTTCTGCATGGTAATCAAAATTAAAAATTGTAAAATTTATTGGTTTTTCTTTAATTATACCATTTGTGATAGGGTGTCTTTAATGGTTTTAAATGGACTGAGGATACTATATCATTCTTGATCAATTTTAAAAATAGTTTAATATAGATTATGAGGATGGGATCAATGCGAGCTCTTTCTTGATTACCCCTGGATTTTCCAAATCACTCGCTTGATTATTAGGCCTTAGAACTAGTGTAGTGATAGGATTAGGCCCATACATCGGTGCTTGAAAAGTTGGTTGATAAGAGCTGGGTAGATGTTATTCATGATTGGATAATGAGCCTGGTAAGGAACTGATGCAATATTGTTAATTGTAGAGTAATAAGCAAGATGATCAAGTGATGGATATGAAACATAAACTCTAAATTGTTACCCCTCAAAATTTATCGCTTGGGTTTTAGCTTCTTTCTTCTCAGGTATTCCACCTTTTTTGGCATTGCTAACCTCTCATCCCTCAAGCTTGTCACTCTTGATTGCATTTTTAATAATCTTTCATGAGATCATCATATCAACAAAGTTCTTTATAGTGTTTCCTATTATCTTTTCATAATAAGATGCCTTTGGAGTGTTTACAAATAAGATCATTATTTTTTTTTTAGTCAAAAGAGGTTGAACTTAAGCAATCATATCCC